CAACAAATAAAGGCAATTTCAACATGTCAAGTGTCTGCGAGATAAGATCTTTTTCTCGGAAGCTGGTCGCCGCCTGTGAGGTCGTTACCAAGTGTCTCGCTCGGTTCAACTTCGCTCTACTGAACTTTGATTATAACGTAAAATAAATTCGTTAAGTAAAAGTCTTGAATTCATTCTTGTGCAATGCAGTGTTCGAGGCCTTGAGATGTTTCAAGTTTACTGTTTGAAAAATAGCGTAAGAAATTCACTAAAGAATTCTAAAACTTTTGTAGAATAAGTGAAAGCTGCTATACTTACTTACTCACTCAGTTAAAGGACACATTTAATGATTTTTCTGTGTGTAAGATAGAGTTTATGAGTTCAATAAATACGTATTTTTTGCTATTACATTAATTACCTACCTCGGTAATTAATTCATGCGTACGCACGTCTTGTTATTTAATGTCACATGTCAATCACCGTGAGGAGCAGACTAACACCACTACCTTTAAGGTACCACAAGATAAAGAACGCAAGAATTTGGTCATATGACTTTTACCTGCAGACCTAGATGCTACCTAGGTATCTTTACTATAAAAGTGCTACTTCAGTTTTGCATACAATGCAATTTACATAGCTAAATATACTGCTTCACGAATTCGATGACCAGAGCCAATAATTTAATGTCGATTCAGCTTTCTTGAACTTGAAAACGACAGCTGTTCTTAAAACGACCATTTGAAGGTCTACTTCCTAACTAAAAATGGTTGCCTACGAAATGATTAGACCTAACAAACTTCAACAAATAAGCTAATTGAACATATTTGCCTCTTCCCGATTACAAATACTAAGAAATCTAATCTTTCTGTCTTTTGAAGAGAATGTAACTCATAATATGTAATTCATTCATAAGAAGATGTTCATTTACATATTACATTTTTATAGGAGTCGAAATTCATGGTTGTGTACGAAAATAATATGTTTGAATATTAATATTGATTTTATTCACACATTAATCACACATGTAATTCAAACCCAAAGGTGTGTGAATTAAAATCAATATAATTTGTGTCTTAATTAGTTCACTTGAGTTTTAGCTTGACACGGACAATATGATAAATTTTTATACTTAACCGTAAGTTTTAAAACACTTCTTCTTCTTTCTTAAACTTTCATATTCCATCCACTCACATCCTTCCATATTGGCGTCAATATACGTTGCACCACATTCCACCACAATGTCGACAAATATTAACGTCTTCATCCAATACTTAATCAATGTTGACAATGTAACGGCTCTTGAAACAGCGTAACGCTCCTCGGAAAAGATAACTCCTTAAAATCTTTAACGTGTTGAATTTGCGTCTGTCGAAAATATGAAGCCAAGGCCCACATCAAAACAGATTTGAATGGAACGCAAAATGAAGGCAGCAGCGCCGCGTCCGAGATAACGGCTCTTCAAAAAAGGGAAATGTTAAAAACAAAATTCAAAAGGGAAAGAGGAAGTAGGTACCTAAGTAAATTATAAAAGTGCGACGAGAGCCTTTTGTTTACGAGCCGCTACTGTCGGTGCTCCGCCATTATCAGCCAGAGCAACCGCATTCACAAACAGACTGCCAAGTTATGCCTCTAATTCGTCGCTAAAAGATGACATAGTTAGGTTTTTGTCAATTCTCCAGTGGCACCCGCGAACAATACTGTAGCCACGACACTTCTTTTATCTATAAAATTAAAGAAAAAATTCTCTGCGTATTTTTTTCCAGATAAGGAAGTTAAAAAGTCGGTAAAACGTTACCTATTTACTTGTAGGTATGAAATATAGATGCTACTTACCTAACACGGCAGTCGTAATGAAAGCTAACTTGGTCCCCAGATAGTAAAAAGTTTACGACATAACGTAGGCATATAAATATACTGAGCAGCGTTTTTATAAAACTTTGTGAAAATTGTAATGAATTTGTATACAGGAGCAAAAATAATTCGGTTCTTTGGAGAAGACCCGGGGATATGTTAAACGATTTACCGTTTGAGCGTTTACTTTGTGTGAACGCCTTTAAAATTGGATGCTGAATGTTACACTATCTGCGAATTCAAAGTGGCTTGGCGAGCAATGGAGCAAGTTGCCGCTGTCGTATAATCTTATGAATATACGGAATATTCCTTACAGTTTTAAAATTGAAGTGTATTCGTATTCCGAAACGTGAATGAGTTTCCAGACAATCCGAAGACTTTTTGAGTGTTATCCAGTACTCATCATTTAGAGGAATAAGGGATTGATAGGTTTAGTGTACTTTGAGCTGTTAAAATTACACACAAAGTTACGTAGTTCAATTTAGCCATTTCCAGTGGTAGCCTACACGTGTGGAGTGAGGCACATGTTTTCTTTTGAACAAATTAATACGAAGCAGAGTCGGCTCATGATTCCTCCGTCCTAAGGGTGGGGGCGCCACGGAGCGGTTTTCATTAGAGACCCCATTTGCATGTTATTCATTACCTTCCTACATCATATATATTCATATTATTTCAGGATACTAAATGTTTTTACGACCTTTAATTTTATTATATGCAGTTCTTTTTGCTCTTTTGCGGTTATTCCATTACTAGATAAGGTTGTTTGAGATTGTAGGGGAAATGAGGTAAGCATAATCGTCTGTTTGTGTAAGAATTGTATTGATACTGTAATTAATTAGATAAAATATATAGTAGGTTATTAAATCCTGAATATATTATTAAATATATTTGTGACAGTTTAAAGTAAATTGAGTTAATAATGTTTCACTGTAATGACATGTAGTGGTTATTGATCAAACAAAACTAGAACAAAATAAGGTCGACGGTTGAGGTCTACCACAAACGCCACGAGATTCAATTTCAAAAAATAAATATGTTGATAATTACTAAATTTATTAAAAAAAATATCATTAATGCAGATAACCGTTCTTCTGTATCACATACCAAAACGTAATTATGAACAAAAATAACACCCACAAATACGAAACATAATCGAAAAGAAAAAACTTGCATAAATTAATACCTGAAACACATTGATTGCTCAATTTTAATGCATTGCAAAATGATTGACAGAAACAAGTGCATATTTTATAAACTCAAACGTTATCGACATAGTTATTCATATCGTTTTAATGAAATACGAATATTCATATACACCCGCTGTATTCGTATTAAAATACATTCAATGTAAACAGTGATCGAAGACACGCAGATATCCATATAATTAATATTAATTTCAATTTGCACAAACAAGCTAAGGATTACGTTAAATAAGCTATCTATATTACTACGATATTTTATACAAATATGTATTAATATACATTAATGTATAATACCTGCTTAAATCTTTATGTAAGTAGGAACTCACAAAATTTAAACCGTAAAATTTTCACAAGAAAACCGGTTGACGGATTCCTTTTGTGCTGAAATACGATGATAGAGCACAGCGTTTCGTTTAACTGAAATAGCTAAATATGTTGTTCAGTAAGAGTAGGTTTACTTTACGTACATTTTATTTATTTATTTTATTTAAAACTTTAATGCACACATATTTACAGAAAAAAATGATTAAATAGAATTAGTTTGTTTCAGAAAAATTTTATGACGAGTTATTTTTTTATGGCATAAGCCGGTAAATGAGCAGACGGATAACCTGACGGTAAGCAATCGGCGTCGCCCATGAACACCTGGAACACCAGAAGCGTTACAAGTGCGTTACCGGCCTTTTGGGGATTAGGAGTTTGAGGATCGTTGGGGATTCAGGGATTGGCGAGATTGGGGAAGGGGAAGGAAATTGGGCCTCCGGTAACCTCACTCACACGACGAAACACAACGCAAGCGTTGTTTCACGACGGTTTTCTGTGAGGCCGTTGTATCACTCTGGTCGAGCCGGCCCATCCGTGCCGAAGCATGGCTCTCCCACACTTTGTATTTTGTGTATACCTAACAATATCAATTAAAGACTTCTTCAAAAGTCTCTAGTTTGAATACCAATGATATCATAAGAAAATCGGATGTCTTCGTGGTGTACACTAAAATGCTTCGATATCATGAGTATCCTTTGCTAACAATAAACTGACGAATTGTTGTACAATCTTCCTTTAAAGTATCCTGGAACTAGCATTGTTCAGTTTTAAAAGTAGTTAGTCAATATTTTAATACTGTTTGGTATGAAATTAGCCACAGTCACAAGCTAAATAAAATTGGTGTCAACAAAAGAATAAGAAATAAGTCACATTTTCCTTCCTTTATTCCTTTTTCTCTAGTTTCTTGTAATCAAAGAACCGTCGAGTGTTGCTAATTCATTACATTTTTCCATTAGCTTAAGAATAATATTAACATTTTGCACTATTGGCCGAGTCCCGGCCAGACTTTCTGTATTAACTCCATTTGCCTTAAAATGGGTAAAATTTACACCAGTTTCTTACTATAAAATGTTCTAATAAGATTTAAAAGCTACGGTTTGGATTTTAATGCTAATTTAATGTAAAATACTGAATAAATGATTTTGTATAAAGATGTGTACTGTGTTATTAAGCGACATCCTGCACTGTACTTTGGTTCAAGAAAATATAATTACTTTTTAGTTAGGTAAGTGTTGGGTATTTTTTTTTTTTAAGGGGGGAAAATCATCGAGTGACTGCTCCCGCCTGGGTGAGGCGGAAGGGAGTGTCAGACTCTTACTGACTAAAAACCACCCCGTTCCTTCTCCTGCACGTCGAGCCGAGCCCCGGTTACCCGTTAGGTTCTCCGCGACAAGTGTTGGGTATAAGGTCTTTATACCTACGAAAACCAAATAAGGAATTGACGTTGACATCATGATATGTTCCGTACAATTCGTAGTAGTGTATTAAATGAAATGAAATTATTAGACACGTCCATCACGCATGTAAAGATAGGTAAATTCTCAATAACTGATTAGAAAAAATCTAAAGTGAAAGTAAAATGTGGAATATGAAATCAAACAAACTAGGATATTTGTATAAAAATAAATATATTTGTACATTTGTATTACAGCGGAACATTTGTATAATCCATCTCCTTAAATATAAGGAAAAGAATACAGAAACGTTATTTAGGCAAATAAATAAATAAGAAAACATTAAGAGCCTAGCACAAGTTTTGACATTTCCATAATTATTCGTTCAGTTCTATGTGAAGTTTCTAAGTTTGCAGTTGTAAGTGGTCAAAAAAGGTCAAGAGTCTGTGCTAGGCCCTCAACTTTCTTTAGAAGTTGTTCATCACTGGGAAAATGGTTCAGTAGTGGTAATGATGAGGCACGATGTGGTGGGTGCTGTGTTTCACATCCGCGTGGAAACTGGAACATAAGTAGAATTTTAGTACCTCCTTGTCTCATAAGGTATTACCACCCTCTAAAGTCAAGACAAAGTTCTTTAACTATTACAATAATTTAACTGAGTACTTCATTTGCCATGGTCGATTACCTGTCGAGCAACACCCGCTTGATTAGATTCAATTTATCATCTTCCAAAGAGTAGTTTAGTTTTTGGATCTTTTATTTTCAAATTCGTATTTTGTATTAAACGCAATGCACTTGAGAATAATATAGGTATCTAGGTACTGAAATATGGAGTCCTGCCTTAATAACAAGTATATGATTACGTCTTTTCGAATTAATCCTTCAATTACATCTTATATGGAACTCACCCGCTGTGGTCATCGCCATGGTAGTCAACATGTCTGACGGAGCCATCAGGTTGATGCAGGGAGTAGTGTCCTTTCACCACGTCACCGTCGCGGTACTCATGCTGCGACTTGAAGTCACCAGTGTGGGGGTCCTCTACTTCATACCCGAACTCGTATTTTGGGTAAGTCTAGTGAAAAAAGTAGTTAAGGATTAGTACACCACTACATCAAAGGTTAACACTTTACGCTCTTTCTTATACAATTTATAGTATTTAAACGTCTACAATAACATAAGGGTCGTTGCAGAAAAGGTTTTTTAGAATATTATCAGTGAAATTCACTTTATATTGTACAAAATAACGAAAAAGTTTGTTCGTTTTCAAATTACTTCATAATGTTTTAATGCTTTATTAATGATAAGTTTGGACATGGAAGAGGAACATGTAAAAACAATACGGTAGTTGACAACTAGTCAAGTTCAATACTTTTATTGAAATGTCAAATACGATACTGTTCTATGAATTTTGTACGAAACACCATCTTATGACGTCATCATTATGACACACACTTATGCCTAACAAAAATACTAGAATAAATCTAAAATTAAATACATCGGCAAATCAATGAATGAAGGTGTAACTATTTTTCAATATTTAATTGGACTAAAAATCAAAATAATTTATTTTTGAATAAATAAAAGTTGATAACGCTTACGTAGTAATCATGATGGTCGTGTCCATATCCGTAGCCTCCGTAGCCGCCTCCGTATCCATGGTAGACGGGCTCGTGATGGCCATCGTGACGGTGGATGTACTGAGAGGAGTGGGCATAACCTGAGACCACGGCTACAGCCACAGATAACACGCAGACAACCTGGCAATTAAGATAAAAGAATAATACGTAACTGACGGAACATCAGACCGTTTATCTGGTAATATACCTTGGTATATTACCAGATTGGTATATTTGGAATTTCAAACAAATTCCAAATTAAAATATTCTGTTCAGAATCAATATTGTGTAACTATCACTTCTATAAAAATTGACAGGATATAAACTCCAGGCAAATATAATTTGAACACTAAAATCACTCTTCAATGACACTAATTGCATTTCAGTAGAAATAGGCACATCTTTGAAGATGGTGCAAGATTGAAAGAAACCCTTTCAAACAATAATAAAACTGATGTTTCATCGCAACACAACAAATGGTTCTGTTCGAAAATCCAATCCAATACAAAGCAACTAATTTAGTAAGGTACTGAACAGATAAACAAAACTTTTATTAATACCTTGAAGAACATTTTTAAAATTTTTTGGTTTAAAAACTGAGATAAGATCACAATTCTACTTCCAGAACTGGATTGATACATATCGAGTAGATCTCCCGTCTTATATACGACATAGCACTATGTCCAAGGTTCGATTTCACTCTTTTATGTTGACTATAAAAATCACGATATAACTATTACGGTAGGTTACGCATTGACATTGTTTTTGTAAAAGTCGTAAGCACGTGGTTGCATGCAAAGGTCATTGATACAAACTGTATCGATTCACGTAATTCTATGGTGCCCTTGTCATAGTTTTTTGAGACTTTTTCTTACAAGTTACAGGTAAATTATGGTTACAGAGTTCGGCTAATATATGGGTGGCCGATTTTATTCAATAAGCTGTTGCCTGCGACTTCATTTGCGTAAAATTTGAGTTTTAGGACATAACCTACCTTAGTACACTAGCTACCTGCCGTCAAAATAATTCCAGCCATTTCAAAGATTAGCTAGCTAAAAAAAAAATTGATATATGTATCATATGCAAGTAGTTATTCAAATTACAAACAAAAAAACGTTCTAAATAGGAATTTTGAATGTTTTTTAGAATGTGTATGGTATATGGTGAATTCTGGATACGTTACCCATTTAATTGCCCTCGTGAAGGACTCACCGGGCGTCGGGAATCGCGGGACGATCTCCGGCCACCGAAGGCGCGGGACTGCGGACGGCGAGCATGGGTGGCTCCCATGGGAGAAACAGACCCGAGCGTACTGCGCGTCGCGTGCCGCGCGCGCCTCAAAGAGCCATCAGACCACCACAGATGGGGCCCAATAGGGCTGATGCCGATTCGGAGTCGCGGAGAACCTAACGGGTAACCAGGGCTCCGGCTCGACGTGCAGGAGAAGGAACAGGGTGGTTTTTAGTCAGTAAGAGTCTGACACTCCCTCCCGCCTCACCCAATCGGGAGCAGTCATTCGATGATTTTCCCCCCTTAAAAAAAACCCATTTAATTGCATATTGCATCGTTGGTTAAACTGATGGGCTTACTGCCCATCTTCTGAGTCTGGACTATAGGGATGTACCTACTCCGAAAAAAGTATGAAAGAAGAAGAAGAAAAAAAGAAAGAAAACCAGTGTAGAGTTTAAAAAAGACAGTGAACACGGCGCAAAAAGGCGCTCAAAATCTTAGGTAACAAAATTTTGATTGACCCAGTAATCGAACATGAGTCCCTTGCTCAATGGTCGCATTTGTAGCCACATGACTAAGGAGCACTCTGAATATAATAGCAAATATCCCGGAGTATTTATTAAATAAATTATTATTATGGAACTTTATGAATTGAGCACAGATAATTCAAAAACATTTAATAACCATGTGTTGCGGTCTATGGTTACCAGCAGGCTTATTACATATAATGATGGACAGACGGCATGTCAGCCAACATCATTTGCTCCCACGTCGCTCATTAATTAATATTGTGTCATCCGCAAGGGAATCTTGCAAATACGTAACTACCTAGTCTGTTGTTTGGGACATTGATCCGCTTGGATTTTGGTCATGGGGTGAATAGTGAAACCGCTGTCGGATTTTAATTTTGTTTAAACATTAAACGATGGTAATGAGGCTCTTTCTTTTGTACAATATTTCATGACATGTTGATGACATGACATGACAAATTATAATTTAATAATTAGTTACTTAACCCAATATTTAGCAATAGTTTTCGGAACACGATAGCTACTGAAGAAAAGTTTAAGTACTCAATGTATCTAATAACGGCAGTGAGCTTCCTAGCTCTACATATGAGAATTTGCGATAATATCTGTTTGATAGCATTGTATTTGCCAATCTTTATAATAGATCCATCGTTAAATATAATATAGATCAAAAGTTAGATGTCTAAAAATCGATACAATGAGAAAGGTAGATTCATCATTCAGCTTTCTTTGCAACCGGTTCTCCGATTCCAATATATTTACTGAAATCTAAATGGATTAATGGAAAATATTTTAACATATAACATAACATCACGCCTTTTATTCCCGAAGGGGTAGGCAGAGGCACATTACGGCACTTAATGCCACTGTACAATGTAACACCCACTTTTCACTATTTATGTTATGAGTCCCATGTAATAGGGGGTGAGTCTATTGCCATATACTGGGCACAATTCCAGACTCCGTGCTACTACTGAGATTTTTTTAAAAACCCATTAGTACTTTGCTCGACCCGAGAATCGAACCCGAGACCAATTGCCCGGCAATCGCACTTGCGACCACTTGGCCAACAAAGCAGCCTATATTTTAACATAAAGTAATATTTGACGATTAGCTATGTATCAATAGGTAGAGTTTACTTTCTATCTTTGGACAAACTAGTCAGAAGGATGCCTATCAGAACAAAACAAAAGAAAATCAAAGAGAGAGATGAAACATTCTGTTTCAGATATAAACGTGTTCAGATAAATAGAGGTACACACCTATGTGTAGCAAAGCTGAGGAGTTTGTTTGTATAGGTGGTTACCTTATCTTATCAAATTTCTAAGTATACGTAGACATGACTAATCAGCCGATTACTAAAGTAATGGACATAAGTAATTACATTCTGAAGTTAGTTGCAAAAATTATCTAGGGGCTTACGCCTACGTAAGCCCCTAGATTTAGAAATTGAGTATATTTACCACGTGGTAAATATACTAGATTTCATTTGAGACATTTCGAAGTACCTCGAGATTCCAAAGTAATTATCTAGTTTGGTGATTAAGAGGTCTTAGTTATGAGCTCGTAAGCGAACTCATTGTACCGTTAACTTTAATAAGAACCCTTACGTCTTATGATTTAAATCAAAGATATTAAATATGTATTTATTAATGCCTGGAGCAACTGCTGATCGTTAGACTGATTTATCGAGGAAACATTTTAGCCTTTGTCACTTTGGATTAAGATCCACTGAGATCTTGACGTAAATGTAAGACATACTACCTTTAGAAACTATATCGGATAACTCACAAAATAGCATAAGTAAGAATATGCCTTTGGAAAAAAAATATTCTGGTACCGACTGTGAACCTCACAGTCAATGACATACAGACTGTTTCAGAGACCCCCCCGTAGAGAAATACAGAGGTTCCATTATTACTCTTAGGATACGGAACTTTAATGATGATCACTTGTCAAATATCATTTCAATCCATTCTCTATGTCAAAAAAATAAATATGTTATCATAATAACCGAATGAATAAACATCGAACGCTTTCATGTTCCGAAGTAATAAAACACTGCAATGAACAATAACATTTAATAAAGCCTCCATGGTAATTATGCTTCATAACAATTTTAAATCTTTTAAATCGGTTATAATACTCGTTTGCATACAGCATGTAATAGAACTTTTCGATATAGAAAAATAATCGTTACCTCGGAAAAAATAAGGTGGTGTATTGAATACATTAAATCTCATTAGATTTTAGAAAAGTGTGTGAGATATTATGTATTTGTATCTGTATTTAGATCATGGTTGTTGAGAAGCCAACTCTCAGAGTGGATATCAAAAGAAATCGTCATACAAAATCTAGGTAACCATAAAATCGATACGAATAACACAATCATCCTAACCCGAAGCAAAATGGTGGAAACATGACATGCTACTCGAAATACTTATGAATTCGCTCGTACAGCATTAAGAATGCATGACCAGCTGGCTGTGCTGGGAATGTCCAAACGTGCCGTATTTTTGGCCATTATTCGCACCGCACTTTTACACTACATCCTTCTATTTGTGACGTCACAGTAATTCAATAATGGCGCATTCGGTGCCTATTGCTGTCAGAGGCTCGATTTTTTAATCGCCCGTGAAAAGCCTATCTAAAATGTGCAGTTGCGTTCTATTTGAAACACAATCCTAGGTTTTAGAGCCTACATATTTTAATAAATGAAGTTATGTTGATTTGATATCAACCTCACACATTTTCACTACGTAAATCAACAAAAAAGTTACCAACCTAAACTAAAACACAAATAAATAACAATAAATTCTGGTTCAGAGCATAACTATTATCAGTATAATAACTTAAACTAAATTGCCATTAGGTGCTATCCCTTGCTTAGATATTCACTAACGCGTATTACCAATTTGGCAGGGGCCGTTTATGATTATCATCAGGCATTCGGGTCGGCTGGCCAATAGTGCTTCGGGAACAAATTGGACAGCGCCGCACATCGGCGGCTTGTGGCAACAATCCGTTAGTTAATGAAATGCCACGAACACTCGTAACGTCAGCCGACGTCACGCCGCGTCGACAAATCGTCCCACAAATAGTTCCCTATAAGTAATATGTGTGTAATAACTTATTACATGGACGGAGAGCGTTGAAATCTGTTTCGAAACAAAACTCGGTCTGCCATTAAATGCTATGTTTATAGTTTGTTGTTAAAATGCTGCACAGAGTCACAGACTAGGGAAGTTCGAGGCAGAGGGATTGTTTATTTCAAATTTGTACACATGGTGCTACAAATAGTACCTAGTACGTATGTTTCTAAAGATCGGAGTTCTTACAGGTATGCTTAACCACTCGTGCTTAAGTTCTTAGACCGCTACTTTCTGAGAGGTGAGGAAAGTATACTTTCCAATGCACAGTATGTCACAGTGATATATCAGAAATATATCACTTTATATCTGATACATTCCATGATACGGGTTGCAACTAAAGCACTTCGGAACATTACTTTCAAAATGAAAGTAGGTCTAGAATGCTTTTAGTTAATTTACATTTAAGATTCAAATCGCAAGGCTGTATCCACAGAGTCCACAGACTGCTAAGAAATTTAAAGTTACCTTCCAAAACGTCATTTCGCATGCATCAAAATCGCAAATCGGCTTACTAGAAACGGTAGGTTGCACCTCGCAGGCCGGATAAGGCAGGTGCAAGGCGGTGATAACGTGTGCGATGTTTACCCGGTATAAATCACTGGTTACCCGGGTACTCCGGGTATACGAACCTGCTTGCTGTCAATAACAGACTGATGCGACGCGACGGCTAAATGCAGATTCGAGCCATGTTTGGTTAGAGCCGAACCACTTGCTTCAGAATCGCGTCGCTGCTTGCCAATTGGGCAAATGGTGTTTGAGAGTACTTGTACACGTTTATGTAAAGTAGGCAGCTAGATATTTATCATCTGGACAAGAACAAGCTGTAATACAAGAGTAGTAGTGCACAAGCAAGCACTGGCTTAAAAATGTCCTAATGATCAGAAATTAAAAAGAAAAACGAGTATCATCAAAGGAGGTCGCATAACAGTTAATACTAAGAATCACATCATAGCAGCTACGTTCCAGCGGTGTCAGCACATTACGGGAACCGCCCGCCGCCCTCCCACGTGACACAGTAAATCGAGGTGTTCCAAAGAAAGTTGGCCCGAGCGGATTACGGCCGCCGAATGAAAACGGGCTGCTAATGAGCATAGCTAGTTAATTGCTGCGAGGGGGCGCACTATTCAGTTAAGCATCTTGAATGCTGATAACAGCACAATGGCGGACTCAAATATGCCTACCTACTGCCGAAGAAAATTCTCAGGTAGAACTATGTTATGCTTAGTACCTACATAGGCCCAATCTAATCGTAATGGAACTATATTTGGTGTTGAAATGAGATAGGCGACTGGTCGATCAAACACAGGTAAGGTACGTATATACTAACTTAAGTAAATATACCCAGTTTATAAATACGATCCTAATATCCTAGCGCAGGTTCTACTAAAGAGCCAGCACGCCTACACACAAAAACACTTAAATTAAACAAACTTACCCGTTCCCCTACGTACGTAACGACAAACCCCTTTTGCGGGAATTACGAGTCTGGAAAATAAGCTTAAAATGACGCCAATAAGATCTGGCAGCCACCCTTCAAGCAAATTACAATCTCCAAATTGAACAAAATTGGCACCAAGTTTGAAACTCGACTATAATTTGTTAAAACCAGTGCAAAACATCCAACAAGAAACGATAATGACCGAACAAAATGTTTACGCAAGAAATTGGCATTGACTTCTTGGCAATGTTTGGCAAATAGGACCCGCGGCCGGCGAGCCCTGCGTGTGACAGGAAATCTAATAACCCTTGAACGAATTCCACGTAGTATAAATTTTCTTACACAATCGCTATTTGCTTGCCCCTTCTGGAGTTCTGTGTTCCGCACTCATGTATAGTTGAAGGACTGCCCTACACAACAGGAAAATGTAAGGACCACTGTCCATTTTTAGAACCAGACCTTTTGTACTTTATTAGTAAATAGAACTAGACAAATGTTTGACTTCATCTGTGAAAAACTACTTCAGAAACCCCGTAGTTTGCTAGGTGTCAAGAAAAGCAACTTAGTAGTAGTTTTTTCACAAAATAAATCGAGAACAATAGTTTCCAGTTCAAAGATATATATATCTGTAAAACAAACGTGCATGGTATATAGGTGGACGTAGTTTATGGAATACGTGCGGTCTGTGTGTAGACAAATGAGAGCAAGGCGAGTGTCGGCCACCGCGCACCGGGACTCCAGCTCGATATACGCCTCGCCTTGTGTCAATACATTCATGTCATGCTACCCACCAACAACCTGGAGCCTATATTTTGTTTATGTATACGTTTCGGTCCTGTCCCACCTTTATTTAGATTAGGATGCCTACATTGGTAGATCCTAAAATCAAAGCACTGGAATTTACAAGAAAAGATTTAGAGTGGCTTGATAATAAGTAGGTGAAGATAAAGAAGAAATGCAGTTAGATAGTATGTTAGTAGAATATACAATAAATACTAACGACACTAAAACTAAGAATGTCTATTTGCATATTCGTTGATGGAATCAAGTCCATTAAAACGCAACGCAATCAAGAACTCAAAGAATCTGTAAACTCAGCTATATCCATCAAAAATGTCCAATTAATAAACAACAAACACAAAACGTGTACATAATTTAATGTAAACACATAAATATACCTGCACACTTATAAAATTACAAGGGCTTGGGTCTGAGCATATTATCCCGGCGAAACAATGTTGATAAAAGAATTTCTCCGTTCATGGAATGACATGTCCCTTGATCGTAACTCATCCCGGCCTCCTCATATTACTTTCATATGTGGTTGTAACGGTTAATACGCAACTTACTGTATGACTGTATGTCAGTATCAAGTATGGCACACACGACAGAAACCGTAAACGATTCTGTGTTGGCGATGCTGAACAAATATTGTTTTGCTACGACAAAAGTTGTTAAGCAAATACATGCTATGCTATGCTATGCTATGTTTCCGGTATGACTTTTAACTGAATTAAATTAATTAGTTTAGTAGGTACCTTATATTAAGAATTTATGACTATATAACATACACAAGTTTTAGACATTTACCACCATTTAAAAGCAATTTTATCTAAGACAGTTTTCTTTACGATTAGGTAAATTTTCTAAGATTATTTTAGGCCTTACAAACACGTATAGAATTTTTCGAACGAGAAATATGATGTTGTAAACATAACAATGGTTATTTTTCAATCTAACTCCCTATTTGGACCCAGATTTTTCAAAGAACTTGAACAGATTTAATTAAATACTAATCGGATAAAAAATCTATAGGTAATCATTAGATAATAAAATAAGTGTGGGAGAGCCATGCTTCGGCACGAATGGGCCGGCTCGACCGGAGTGATACCACGGCCTCACAGAAAACCGACGTGAAACAACGCTTGTGTTGTGTTTCGTCGAGTGAGTGAGGTTACCGGAGGCCCAATTACCCACCTCCCTAGTCTCCCGAATCCCCGAATCTTCCACAATCCTCAAATTCCCAACTCCGAAAAGGCCGGTAACGCACTTGTAACGCCTTGGTGTTTCGGGTGTCCATGGGCGGCGCCGATTGCTTACCATCAGGTGATCCGTCTGCTCGTTTACCGGCTTATGCTATAAAAAAGGTACAAGGTAAAGGTAAAGTTACAGGTAATTTTACATTTTATTCTTGCTGTTAGTATTTATAGTGTAAATTAAAATCTTAAAGTTAATTTATTGTTAGTGTTGGTCTTATCATTTCAATCATTAGATAAACATTATAAACTTTCATCCTCTGTTTCGCCCCTGTGAAATTCATTTAGAAAAACTAGGTACTTTCTTAGCTGCTGGTACTTTCAACGACATTTCAAAATTTTCAAACAATGTAAATAATAATAAACTATTTAGTGCTCATTTATAATGATCCTTTATCAATCTAAATCCTGATCTATCTATATGCCAAATTCCATCTAAATCCGTACGGTAGATTTTACATAGAGAGTTACTATGACCCATTTAAATGTCAACAATGATTTACAAGATCTACAAGTATAGATCATTGATAATTTTGTTACAGGCCGGCTCACTAGATGACACTGTACGTCACTTTTGTACATCGCGGTGTTAAGATTCTTCGCGAAAGAATGACCCTCGCCGGATTCGTCTATAGCGGCAAGACCTTACTTCATAGGATCATTTCTATAGTAAGCTCTTCTCGAGACTTTCACACTATGTGAGTCTTCACCAGTCACGTTGATGAGATGTGGCTCGGTGCTCTGAGCGTGAGGCGGGCGGTGTCAGACCTACCATCAGCCCTCGATGATCGTTCACTTCCCTTCACGGGGGAGTGTGGGGTAATGTCGCTTTCTGAGTGGCCTTTAAACTATTATAAAGTACAAAAATGTGTGTTCTAAAATGAGATAGTCCATTTGCCTTTCTGTATAAATCACACTAATATTATAAATGTTAAAGTTTCTTTGTTTGTATGTTAGGATGATTGTTCGCCAATCACGCTGAAACTACTGAACGGATTGTAATGAAATTTGGTATACTGATACAGGCAGGATGTTAGCTGACTAGGTGATGGAATTTTTATCCCGATTAAATGCTCCCATGGAAAAAAACAGGAATACGCGGACAAAGCCGCGGGTAAAACCTAGTTAGTAATAAATACCAGTCTATAGCGTAAATAGGTACTTTAATATTTTTTCATCATCAAATCAAATCATCGATTGAAACTTTTCCTTGTATTAATTTAATTGTAAGAATTTTTGTTTTATGCCATCTGGTAACAATAGCTAGAAACATTAAGATGACAGTTTGCCTACCAACGACGGATTCTACCGTTAGTTTTTGAGAGAATAAAAGTAGATGGCGCTAAACTAGCATATTTTCTTATCAAGTGGCTAGAAAGAGAAGGAACATATATTTCTTCATTGAATGTCATAGGAGTAAGCGAATAAAAATATTATTTATTGAACAAGAAAACGCATTTTGTTCTTCTGACGTTAGCTTAGCTAGCTATCGCTGTGACGTCATCACAAAGCAGCTGTTTTTTTCCCTTGCGTTACACCACTCGCTCGTCCGCAAAAATGGCAAATAATTCGTATTATGGAGAAAATAGTGATGTTGCAGCTATATTTTTTGATTTAGACAACACATTAATACAAACAAGAAAAGGGGATACTCGAGCCTGCAATAAGGTAAGTTTTTTCTATAAATATTATTGTGACATTGCCACGGTCATGGATTAGTTCGGAACGAAGTGCGCGCGCTGTCATCGTGGTTATCGCAATAGTTTTTACGTCGTTGATTTGCTTGTTGCACCCCGCGTGTTAAGCGTTCACGTTCCAGCGTATGTGTAAAAATAGTGTTTCATAGTTGGAGAACGTGAGCTCGACGTCCAGATTTAGATATTTTGGAAGAGAACTCACGCTAATTATAAACGTGATGTAGATCGAGCCGCTGTCGGAGCGATTCAACCGCGGAGCCAGCGCTCGCTCAGTGGAGCGCTTACTATTGCGCCTTGTAATCGCGTCGCGTGTTTCGTAATAATGGGTGATATATCGGAACCGATAAAGAAATGTATACTAATATTAAAAGCCGCCAAAAGCGATACAGAGAAGTTCGCGGCGCTGTTCATGGTGACCAAACTTGTAAAGAGCAAGGATTGCCAGACGCAAGCTAAGAAGGCACTCTTTGAAGCCATTGGATTCAAATTCTTGAAGAAACTGCTGACTAGTAACTCGGTGCAGGATGACTGCCCACCATCTGTGTACAAGTCAGTTGCCCTCTCCATACTCACCACCTTCTGCAATGATCCTGATCTTGCAACCCACCCGGAAATGCTGGCCAACATACCTGTGTTCCTCGAAATAGTGCAAAAATCAGAAAGTGAAGACTATGATGATGACCTTATCATTGTCAGTGAAGCGTACACATGCCTGCAGTGTATTGCTGAACAAGAGGCTGGCCAGAAGGCTCTCATTGAGGTTGGTGCTATCACTAAAATGTCAGAAATTTACTCTCATCAAAGTTTCCAGACAGATGAGGCCCTTAATATCCTGGTCAAGCTAGTCAGCCGGTATGGGCCTACCGCTTGGGGTGATGATCCTAAGCCGTTCCATGCTTTGGTAAATAAAATAGCCCTAGACTTTGCCACTGACCAGTCAGAGAGGAAGTTTGAATTGGCTACTATCCTGAGTGCACTTTTGTACAGCTGTAATAAAGCAACTGTCATACCCGGCTCTGCAGATGAAACATGGCCACAAAGTATCTACAAAGCTCTGCATGATATTCTTACCAGCAAGATTGGTAAAAACCAAAGAGATCCTGCTCTTAAACTTGCCGCAAACATTGTTGACCTTCTTGGAATTGAGTGGACCTTGAATGATGACGAAAATCCAAAGAAGTTCTTCCTGCTGCTACAACAACTTTGTGCCATAGAAGTGAGAATGCAACTTGAAGATAGGAGTTTCAAACAAGCATATGCCAATGCTGAATTGGTAACAGCTTGCTTTATTGTGTTAGAATTATCTATCAACTACATGGCTACAGACCAACTGGATTTGGAACAAAAAGAGAAACAATCAGTTTACACTGGTCTGAAAGGTGCTTTCAATGCTATAGTGTCTATGTTGACCAAAGTGTTCAATGACAAGAACAGAGACAAACTGCCTGATGCTGAAAAGGTTTATGTCTGTGCTATGGTCAGAGTACTAGTTGCTTGGATTGCACAAGAAACAACAGCCATGAGAGAACAAATCTACACCCTCCTGCCATTTATATTCTCTCTTGCAAATGATTCGTTCCATGCTTACAGAGCCAGGAAGATGGCTGAAAAGAACAAGTCTGAAGGTGAAGCTATGGATACCGATGTAAGTCTGATGGGACAGATTGACCTTCTCCGCTTAATGTTGCCAGCTTTATGCCATTTAGTAGTTGAAGACAAAGCCAGAACCATTGTATTAAACTTGAAGCAAGAAGATATTTTATATGAAGCGATGTGCTTCCACTGGTCCATTGTACACTACAAGAAGCCTCCAGTACCTAGATCTGAAAGATTAAAAGTCCTGAACCAACCTCCTCGTGAGCTTGATCCCCAAGTATTAGAAGATATGAAGGACTCTAGAGCGGCCATGGTCAGTCTATGCAATATCTTCATGAACCTTACAGTGCTGGCACCAAAAGTTGTTGAAACTAGTATGTTGTTTAACACACTACTTAAGTTCATTTTCAATGACCTGCCTGAACTCAAGGATATCCCTGAAAACTTAGTTCTCCATGGACATCTGGCAGTGCTGGGCTTACTCTTACTGAAACAACAAGCCAGTAAAGTGAAGAAGAATGACTTCTCTATATGCAGATATATCCAGTCCACCATCAGATTCCTATGGGATGCTTACAACATTGATGAGTCTAATGACCCCAGTGCACTTGTTGTATCAATGAGTTATAAAGAACACTGGAATGAAATAGCTGACCTGTGGTTCTTGGGCATGCAAACTATGAGTGGAGTGCTCACAATGGTGCCATGGATATCAGAGTTTGCCATAGAGAGTGGATGGGCCCAGGGCATTGCTGAGATGTTGGCTAAAGTTAAAGTTGGTACTCTGCAACCTAATGTGAAGTCAGCATTTGAAGATTTCCTGTGCAGACTAGTAGATTCCAATGAAAGTGTTATCCCAGTGTTGAAGAAGGCGGGAGCACTAAAGATGTGCAGGAACCACAGGTTAATGGAATTAGGCAAGAAATTGTTCGGAGATTAAATTGTTATTTAAAGTAATGGGTAGGTACAATACCTACTTATTTTTGTATAATGCAAACTTATAAACAAACAATACACTACATTTTTACAACAAAGTACTTAAACTGTTTTTTATACTTACTCATAATTATTTTAAAGTTTAACAATTCAGATTATATTGTTCTCGAGAACTTACTGTACATAAATTATAATTTGTTTTGAAGACTGTAATATAATTTGAATGGTTGCTTACATTTTTTATAACAATAATACTGTTTGGTTGTCAATAAAGTTTTTAATATAATTATCGTTTTCATTTAACATCTTACACAAACAATTTGCTAGAAACTCTGACACTGAGAATTTAAAAATTAAGGACACAAAAATCATTAGAAACATTTTACAATTGAAACTAGAACACTTTTCTTTTGATCAGTCGTTAGAATGTTTGATATTATCTTGCTGTAGATGAGGCGATACACAGGGTGATTATAACTCATTAACGAAACAGTATCAGTTTTCACACACACTGTGCCAGCTGCCAAAAGACAGGTGAGTGAACGACGCTACGCCGGGAACGTTGACCCCACGGCTATTCCCGGAGCCGACACTTCCTTAGATACAAATGCCATGCAACATCTTGTTTAGTACTGCTGTATTACAGGAAATTTAATATCTTGCTCCGTTAAGTTATAAGTTATGCTAATATCTAATGTATGGTGTAGACACTAAGACTAAAAGTTCTATAAAATATTAGTCCTGCATTCTATATTGGCATTTGGCATAGCAGAGTTTTGGTAATTAAGTAAATACAAGATCTCTATAGAACAAGCCCTAACAAAGAATTTTCGACCTTAATGTGATGCAACATGATAACAAATATAGCTTGTTATTTATTTTCCCCAGTTGTGTACCTTGAGCAGCTTCCAGTGTTTTTTTCCGGAATGAGGTCAAATGATTATGTTGGAGGGGAAAATAAAAACATGTTTTAGAGGAAATTGTTTACAAGATGTCTGAAAATACGAGTTGATCTAATTGTCATTAATAGTAATGAAGTAGGAATAATAATTATGTTTCCCAAAAGCTGAAAAAGAAATCGAAAATCCCTTTAAAATCTAGAACACAAACACAAGATACACAAAACACTTTACTAGATAGGTTCCGATTACAAAGAGAGGATTTGTATTTCCCTAATGTGTCACGGGTTCGATTCCTGTAAAAAGTTTTGTAGGTATAAGTAACTAATCTGTGTTGAATTTGTGTTTGCAACTAAGTTATAAACTGCTTTGTACATGCGTTTCCAAATGCCACGAATCTCTTTGGAAGCTTCCTGAAATTAAAGAGTAGCTGTCGTACTAGATCTTATGTAGAATACCTAAAGGATTTTTTTTAAGGGGGTAAAATCATGGTAAAATCGCCTGGGCGAGGCGGAAGGGAGTGTCAGACTCTTACTGACTAAAAACTACCTCGTTCCTTCTCCGGCACGTCGACCCGGAGCGGAGCCCCGGTTACCCGTTAGGTTCTCCGCGACAAAATACCTAAAGGATAACACTTTTCGGGCTCAATACATTTCTTATCAATAATAATATTCAAATAGGTACTTATAGATAGTTGTTACCACGATAAATAGGTTCCAATACTTATAAATAAGTACCTATTGGTTCTGAACACGTGACTTATTTATACTTCTCAGGTCGACCTACTCGCCTACAAAAGAGATAAATTAGTAATAGCTTAGATTACTTTAGAAAATGCCTTTTAGACTGTTATTCATTCCAGTTTCTAGTGATTTCAATATTGGTACAGAGAGAGTGTACAAACTAGTACGACCATACCTTTTAGCTTTAAAAAAGTAGGTACATACCTGCAAGATTTGGATCCCGAAGTGAAGTGGTTGATTTGTATTCAAAAGTAAGTATTAGCTTCCCTAGACTGCTGATCCAACATAGTATTCTGACTACTTCTATCTCCACGTATTTATTAGGTAACAAAGAATATATGAAGTCAAAGCATTTATTTCAATTAAACCAAAATTTGGTACTTTTGAAACGTCAACAAATACAAAATAAATAATAGTCTGTCAGTCAGTCCGTCAGTGAAGCTAGGTTAATATAATATAAAAGTGGAAACCAATAGTCTCCAGAATTTTCGGAATTAGGGAACAGCAAACCCTAACATCAATTAGAATATACCTTATGAATATGTTTGTGAATCCTGGTCTAACTTTTGTCTATCTTGTTCAGATTATAGAAATACTGCAGCAGCAATATGGGTTGAGTCAAGAAGCTGCAGTGGAGAGCGGGACAAACTTCCTCCGCGCGTTCAGGGCACGCCCTGACGATGACACGTACGCTCTGGATGAGTGGCCGGCTCACCTCTGGCGTAACTGCCTGCCAAAGAACTATAGACATATCGCCAGTTAGTATAACACTTATTCTTCTTTTCAATACGTTTAAAGTTCCTGAAATCAGAACATTGTTGTTCTATTAAAACCTGCTAAAGCCATTGTTGATAGGCTGATGGGTAGTAGGTAAGTCCCCATAAGGAAGCTTCTAGTTAGGTACTATCTATAGGTATATTCTGATATAAAGACTAAAATGTTATTTACTCACGTATTAGGTACCTACGTCCAGCTAAGTCTGTCTCCTCGGATCTACAGTTGAGGATCAAGGAAAGGCCACACTGCCCTCCATATATTAGAACGATGACACAGTAGTATATAAATGTCACTTGACACCTGCTGCAATTTAGCATTAACAAGTATATCGTGCCAGGACAAAGGATAGGTAGGAACTTAGGAAGGTTGACTAATGTTGAATTGAAAGCGTAAATAAATCTGCGTAGGTAATAGGCATAATGGCCTCTCTCTTAATTTGGAACCACATTATTCTTGTCAATCTACCCTTTTCTTTGAAATTCTTTGATTCGATTTTCAACTCTATCTTTTAGATGTAAAGTCGAAAATAGAATGACAAAAATTGACCCATTGGAGTAGGTTGATGTGCTGCCCACTGTACATTTCCCTCAAAATTTCCATGTTTTATGAACATAATTATGTTTAGTCATTTGGCACAAGCAAAACTAATATTATTACGGAATACATCTAAATAACTCGTCGTGTTTATGTGCGAATAAAGTTATGCATTGTCACGCTCTATTCCCTATTAATGTCAGTTGAATGCAAGACTGCGAGGTAACACTAATTAACCAGACGTGACTAACATAAATTGCAGAAATCATATCAACTGAATGTACTGCTTTAGCTCCTTTTACTCAGACGCCTTCAATTTGCATACGTAGGTTACGTTTACCACAAAAAACGAATGAGTACTTGGTAGGCATCTAACTTCCTTTAGCGTAACACGAGACTCATTTCCCAATAATACAACACGGAGTAATAGGATAAGCGCCTACACCTACAATTACATTGTTTAACGTCTAAATCACGCTTTATGGGCCAAACGAGTGACAAAGAGAGTATGTCGTCTATTACCGACATGTCCGTACGCTTCGGCGAAATAGTTTTTACGTTTAGACTTGGCACGGAGCCTAGAATGTGAATGCACTTCTACGTCTGTCCGAACGAAAGTACAAACCTGCAAGTGGGTAGGTAACGTAGGTACTTTGAATGTATAAGCAAAACTGAGTCTGCTATTAATGTAAACACCTAACACATGTATTGCGTGATGATATATTTTCATCTTCCACGTAAAATGTTACATTTAGTTGCTAAGCGTAGGCGTTCACAAGAGATTTATAAAACGAACAGTGGCCACCGCTATAAATAATTGTAAAAAGACTCCGCGTCATCAATGGGGACACGAACATTTGAAAAAACATACAAATAGGTAGACACTAGACAAATTAGAATAATGTTACGAAAGAAATCTGAACAGTTTAAAAAAAAAATAAATGTGATGTGATGAAACTAACGAAAGATAGTTGTCAATTTCAACAGCAGGGCATTTGAACGACATCCCCGTATCATGTCTCGAATTCGAAGAATCTGAACCTGAACAGAAAGAAAGAATCTGAACAGTTTAAAAAAAATAAATAAATGTGATGTGATGAAACTAACGAAAGATAGTTGTCAATTTCAACAGCAGGGCATTTGAACGACAACCCCGTATCATGTCTCGAATTCGAAGATAGCCAGGTGCCAAGAAGTTTTTCAAATATTAGTACACGTTTTATAAACATACCGTGACTAGAAACACGTGTCTTCGGAAAGTAAGTTTAGATAGCTCCGTATTTGCAGCGATGATTCTGAGAGAACTACATATAGGTACGTATAAGAAGTGCATAGTGTACGTACATACACTTAGAAATCTCCTGCACAAGTATGCCGTGTATCGAATTACACCCATTCTGCCAAACAACAGCATCATCAACAGCCTATAAATGCCCACTGCTGAGCAAAGCCTCTTCTCACACGGAGAAGGTTAGAGCGTCAATCACCACGCTTGCTCAATGCGGGTTGGTGATTTCAAACTTATAATTAGAAATTATAAGTCCAGGTTTCCTCACGATGTTTTGCCTTCACCGTTTGTCAGTGGTGTCTAAATAATCTTAGAAAGTACATATAACTCGGAAAAAGTCACATTGGTACTTGCCGTTGGTAGGTTTCGAACCCGCACCCTCATGCATGAGAAGTGGGCGTCTTAAACCTCCGGGCCACCACAACAGCATACGGTGTTGTAAAAGAACTCTTTTAGGAGCTAAAAATTAGGGGAAGGTAGTTTGTATAGGCCTAGGATTGGTGGTGGTTTCTGTAAATCCCCGTCTTTCACGGCAAAACAGTGCAACGACTTGATGTGATTTTTAAGTGGAGATAGTTCAAAGGGTGGGAAGTAACATAGGCTACTTTTTTATTTAAAGTTTTTGGCATAGCAACGCGTTAAAATCGAGCAACAATCGTTCTTAGTCAAATAAACATATCCACAAATAATACCGTTATATCTGAAGCGATTTCCGTTCCTGTATTTTGTTTGTGTGACTGAACTTTATTTATTTCTGTTTCAGAAAATATATCAACCGAATGGGTAAAATTAAGGTTTCAGTGTTTGGCTCTAACAAACGAAGTGATACATCTGTTGGAAACACTGCGGTACGTTGGTTACATTTCATTCAGTTACATATTATGAAGAAATATTTACCATAAAAGGTTCATTTCACTAATAAAATATTTCTCCATGATGTAATTTTATGTTATTTTTAATTTGTATATAATTTTAATTGGCAATTTCTTTGGTGTTTTGTAGTGATTCATCTGGTGTTGCCAGTGTCAATATAAAACAAAGAAATTACTACATCTATTTAGTGGATATTTTTGTTGTTCTAAGATTAATTTTAAATAAAGTTTAATTGTGATAGTAAAGAATAAATATTTTATGAGTATATGGGTATTAAACCCATAATCTCTACCAAGTCTAGTCATTTTGATTTTTAAGCTTTATTTATAGAAATGTTGATTGATCTCAGAACAACATCACCTGTTATCACTTTATTGTGCATGGTGTTATGTGGTACTAAATTATTTGATCATTTTTCAGAGAAACGTATCATGTTTACCATCGTTCACGTCCTGTACACTGCGCATATTCACTAGAGTTACGAGTATTTATAGATTGTTTTCGTAACCATCATTCGATCGTGCATGCCACATAAGACTATGAATAATCAGCGCAATACTGATTTCTCAATATCATAACAAAGTCAGGACCAAAACATTGTGGAGGCATATTCTATAGTCATATTGGGTATAGTACAGACACCTTTGGCAGAAAGTAATGATAATAAATTGAAAGTAAATATAGATATCACTGAGAACAAATAGTTTGGCACAATGAGTATTAATTGGTATTCACAGATGCCTCTGCAAGTGTATTGGGCTGGCTTTGAGCGCATGTTGCTAATAAATGACTTGTTTTTCAACAGTTCAGTTGTTGCTCCACGAGTGAGTAAACTCGGGGCGCTGCGTGCGCAACACTTAGGTTTGAATTGTATTTGTAAAATATATGAGGGAGTACATCACGGCGAAGGTAACACATTACCTCAGAAAATTCAGTTCTACAATGGAGATAGTTTAGAAGTATATTACAAATGTGCAACTTGTCAACCTACTTGACTATTTATTAGATTACCTGATTTTGTAACTAATTTATTAAGATGTTTAAAATATCTCCATTGTATTTTAAACCTTAATATATGCTATTCTGAGATAGATTTTGTCCACCTACTAAAATACCATTAACACCAATTTCTTGAACATGAACTCAACATAGCATATCCCTAGTTCCTAAGTTTTTTTATTTCCTGTGGAATTTATATAATTCATATGAATTGCACTTGAAGTAATATGGTAATTTTCATAATGTGTTTCATAAATTCTCTTGCACAAACTGCACTAGTTCGCTAATTTATTTGACATAAAAATATCTAAAGCTATTAATTAGATTTTACAGCGTGGATCCTCACACCGTAAATTTAAAGAAGTCGTAACAATATTTTTAGTGTCGTTTACATTGGAACCATTGCGGTAGTGATGTGCAAGAGTATTTGGCTTTGTTGTATCATGTGCTGAGTTTCAGCATGAGAACCAGCTAGAAATAACAAAAGGCTGGTCAATAAATGTGGACAGGGAGGATTATCTTCTCGGTCTGATCACGAACGGGCCGTCTCGGGCCCAGTGGCAGAAGATTGAACGGCTGGGACTCCGCAAGTACTTCGACTGCTTGCTGGTATCCGGCGACCTGCCGTGGGAGAAGCCTGATCAGCACATCTTCCTAGAAGCTTGCAAGATGCTCAACGTTGAGCCACGCATGTGCATCATGGTCGGAGACAAACTGGAAACTGATATCAAGGTTAGTTCTATTTTTTTATGGGATAAGCTGGTAAACGCGCAGACGGATCCCCTTAAACGGATCCCCGATGAGTAATCGGCGCCTCCCAAGAACACCCGAAACACTAAAGGTGTTACAAATGCGTTACCGTCCTTTTGGGGATTAGGAATTTGAGAATTCAGGGATTGGGGCGATTGGGAAAGGGTAATTGGGCCTCCGTTCGCCCAATCTATCTACTACCCTATGTCACATTTTCGCTGTTTACTTCTAGAACCTGGGCGCTTACTCTTGAATCCAATTCCGATCGATCGACATTGGTAATGTGAAATTTCGTACTCTTGAGTTGTAACACTAGCGCCCATTGCATCCGTATTGCGTGGATATTGAATGAACTAAATGGTATTGAGTTTGGCCTTATACTCCGTATTCTGTATAATTATGCTATTTTCACAGCTTCGGTTGGGGTTGTATAATTTTGACATTGGATAATTATTGAGATTTTATTAGATTGAAATTGCATTGACATTGAGATTGGTTTCAAGAGTAAGCACCCTGATCTGTATGGTGAACTATGGTGTGTTTGTAAAGGCACTTACGACAGAGGAGAAAATCCTAGTAAAATTAAAGTTCAGTTGAAAGTGTATTATTTGAAAGCTATAACTAGATCATAAATATGACCTTGAACCTCCCGCGTTGCATGTGAGTTTCCAGTATTGAGTGAATGCCAACTGTCATAAAAGTACTCTTACCTTGAATTTGATCGATCGAAGTATTTATGTGGTGAAATATTGATTAATGGCTACTGTGCGACTACCTCGTTGTAGAATAGTTTTTCAGCGGTTTACGACTTCCAAAACCCACATTATATTTAAATCGGTAATAATTTACCTTATCTGTGCTTAATTGTAATGAATACGAAAGGTTTTACTTAATTGTTCCCGCCTAAATCTGCGCCCTTCTTATTTAAAATTGTTTGTGTTTCAGGGAGGTAAAGAAGCTGAATTGGGCGGCACAGTTTGGATTCCTCTGCAGAAAGACATGGAAGCATCCGACTTGCCAGATTTCACTATAGATAAAGTGACAGAGTTACCCGAAGTGTTACCGAACTCTCCTAAACTGAAGCGCTCTGAGCACACATCTAACATCACATGTGCATAACTCTATTTTTTCGATGGCTGTAATATTCTACCTTTGGCAATGACTTTTTGGACATAGACATACGCACTTTTTGGTCTGTGAACAGTATTCAAACAAAAGTACAAAATTTTGTTTACAGTACAAATATATAGGTTTTAGTTTACTACACTCGATATTTATTAACATAAGGTTGCTACCACGAATTTATCTTATGCAAAAGTTACCATGCAAACTTGCATAATCCGTCGTATACTTATCCAAGTATTATGTTACATCGTTAAAAATATTTATTTTTCTGTCTTCTAGGTAAGAATATAAACGCCTGATTACTTTTAAGGAAAAGAAGCATATTTTTAATGCATATTTTTATAAGGAGATTTCAAACTTTATTTTTTAATTAAGTTTTGGTTGTACTCTAAGGAAACTTCTTAAGAGACTGTCTTATATGTGATACTGGTAGTTGTAAATGTTCCTTGTAAGATGTCTTGCTTGGTTTGTGGTCGCTGATTACAATTATAGAAAAATTAAATTATTATGGAGTTATGTCACATGGGTGCTCACAAAGTGATATGGTTGTAGGAATTGTGGGTATTCTGTTACTGTACATTGTCGCGTAGAGATAGCTCATTATATCTGTAGACTGATATGTATGTGTACATGATCTTTAGTATGTAGTTCCTTGTATAAATCTCAAAATTTAGTCAATATTAGTCTTATGACATACCTACCTTTGGTAGCCAGATTTTATCTATGCTTAATCATTATTTTAATATGTACGTATCTGTGCCATGTTTTGACTATGAGGTTTTTAAATAAACGAACTTTAACTTGACAATATTCTTGATAGTTTGCTTCTTAAAATCATCCCTATATTGTCCTCATTATAAGATCAAATACACTAATATCCATTATCTTAGAAGGTCAATAAAAATTGGGTTATAATAATAATAATATATTTTGTTTTATTTGTTAATTAATATTTAGTCCCCTCCTTTAACTCCCTCAAAAGTAAGTACTTAGTAGAAAATTAATGAGTTCTAAAGATTTCTGTTCATGTGATGTGGTACTTACTTAAAAATACAACAATGTTCTAAACATAAACCTACTTACCAACTACAGAATATTTACGTTCATCCGTAGTTCACAGACGCGTTGCGGGCACCCGCCCAGAGCCGTAGGAACGCGTATGAGTTTCGGGCACATGAAAAGGGCAAACATTGAACGCAATAGTGCGTGCGGGGCACTGTAGTTTTGTCTTATAATTCGGGCACTGGAAAAATTCACTGCCTAATGAATGCGTTATATTAGAATTTTTTTTATTTATTCTTTTATGTACACAATTTTATTATGGCACATAAGGCGAACTTAATGCCATATGGCATTCTCTACTAGAAAATTGGTACTAGTTGCCTGATTGGAGGCAGTTGACAACTTCTTTACTTTTTTTGACCAATTCAAAGTTTATGCCAATGTAACTGGTTGTAACTATGTTGTTTTAGTAACAAATTAACTAAAGTGGTCTTGTAACTAAAAATTAAACACTGGTTTGAAACAGATTTCTTATATTATCTCAAACTATATCCTAATAACATTCACTACCTATATACATTATGTAATAACAAATTAAGCAGTTCTCAACATCTTAGCTTCTCGTTTTTCTTGCAGCAACTTCTTTTGTTCTTCAACTACCTTTTTCCTTTCTTGCAGGAACTCACCATATTCCTGAAGATAATAAATTCAGAAATTATATAGTTGTTTTTGACAAGGTCATAATAAAAACATAATTATCTACAATATTACGAAGGTGTCTGACTCTTTGGCCGAGTGGTTGACTGTCAGGCAAGGGGTCTCGGGTTCAATTCCCAGGTCAGGCAGTTTTACTGGGCTTTTTAAGAATTCTCAGTAGTGGGTTCCAAACTGTAATTGAACTTACTAGTTACTAGATTCTAAAAAAAATTCATACCTTTGGGTCCAACTCTTTGACAATTTCTATTCCACAGGTTCTTGCAGTTGCTATCAACATGACACAGATCTCTTGCAATGACTTCCACTCCAGTGTTGGGTCCTGCGACTTTATTTTGGCTATCTCATATAAATGCTTGAATGTTATTTTCCCACTTATTTCTTTCACTGAAAAGTATGAAATTTAATATACAATAATATTAAACTGTCAAACACCAAGCGGTCACCGGTGACCGCAACCTATTTGTTCTATAATTGTGTCTACAAAACCTGTACTCGACGAGTTAATAAATGACCGACTACTTTGAACAAAATGAAACTAACTTTGTTTAAAGTTCATAGTAAAAAGTATTGTAGTTTTTCTTTAACTCGTCGAGTACCGGTTTTGTAGACACAATGGTATAGAACAATAGGTTGCGGTCACCGGTGACCGCTTGGTGTTTGACAGTTTAATAAATTTATTTTTATTTAATGTTCAAACTTAATTGTATCCCAATGTAATTTACTATTATAAAATAATAGAAGCTGTTTTGATAAATAGGTACATATGTATGTAGGTAAGTATTGCTATCTATAAACTCATGAAATTCATGTATAATATGCTTACCGGGTTCCATAGCACCTCTGCTTATACCAGCAGCTTGCTTCAGGAAATATGATGCAGGAGGTTGGTGAATAACAAGTTGATAGGAACGATCAGCATTAACCTTCACCCTCGTTGGTAGCGGTATTCCCTGCTTTATATTGGCCGTACGTTCGTTGAAATCTTTGCAAAACGCTGCTATATTGATGTTTCTCTAGAGTAAATAAAATTATAGGTTATGATTACAACATTAGATAAATGAAAACTTTTATCAGAAAAGTTCACTACATTTACCTGGCCGAGCATAGGACCCAAAGGTGGACCTGCTGCAGCCATACCCGCAGGAATATTTGTGCGTAATTTCGAACTATGGTCAATTTTGTCCGCAACTTTCTTCATAGATTTTAATCTGGCGACCGATTTAGACATGGTAATGAATGAAAATCACTTCACTTAAGTCAGAATTCTATCACAATTATTATTCTTCTTCGATAGAACTTATTAGAAACAGTAACGAAATAAAAAACAATATTTTTCCACACAGAATGAGAATCTATCTCATTTGATTTTGTATTCGGTTTTGATAACTTTGATAAGTGAATTGAATCGCAGAGATGTGAACCTGGAACGCTACTCTATTGCAATCAATTTTGTTTTGCAATGTTTGTTTTGCAATCAGCTGGGAAAGAAATCAACTGATTCTAATAATGAAAAATATCACAATAATTTAAATAATACCGTTTCAGTTATTTGAATCACTTTCTTTTTTCACAATCGGTTAGTTTACGGTTACGGTAGATGAATTGATGAAAGATTATCTGTATTAATGTGTTGTCAGTCAGTTGTCAGATTTGCATTTGTCACCACTGTGGGAAGAGTGAATAGAAAATAATTTATATTTTTATTTTACAAATTAACACGTAATTATAGTATCCACATTAGTTATTAAATATTTTTTAAGATTATGGTAGTTTGCACTCCGCGTATAGTGGATTGTTGGGCAAAATATGTTTATATGTCGTGAAATATAATTAAATAGTTCAAAATGTGGTCGTTTTTCTCTCGGGATCCTACGAAAGACTTTCCTTACGAAGTAGGAGATCCTGTGCCTGGATTAGAAGATAGAAGTGTGTGGACTTTACACAAAGGCAAGAAGAGAGGGACGCAAGATGAAGTATCAATATTTTTATTCGATGTTCAGAAGCATTCTGAAACACTGTTCGACATAGCTAAGGCCTCCCTAAAGAAACTAAAGACTATGAGACACCCTAGCCTTTTACATTATTTAGATAGCTGTGAAACTGAAAAATTTTTATATGTAGCTACTGAGTATGTAGATCCTCTAGCCACGCACATAGAAGATTTAAAACTTGAGGGTCCTCAGAAGGAATTATTTCTTTCGTGGGGTATTTTTCAAATCACTGTAAGTATTTGTAGTCATTATAGCATAAAGCATTTAAAAGGTTATTACTGTTGGCTAATTTCTTTGATTGCATCATCAATAAAAAGTTGATATAAAAGCACTGGCACTAAATTGATCCTTGTTTATGATTGGCCACTTGAAATTATGAGTCATTTTATTACAATTTCAGATGTGATATTAATCTAGCAATCTTGTTACAGAGAGCATTATCATTTTTAAATAATGATGGTAACATGAGGCACAATAATGTGTGTCTATACTCAGTCTTTGTTACCTTGGCGGGGGAATGGAAACTCGGGGGTTTTGAGTTCCTCTCGGCCCAAGGAGGTGCAGACACTAGCACCCCTATACCTATAAAAATATTGCCAGCTCTTGAAATTTATGACCCTCCAGAGAAAAAGGATCCTGCTAAATTAAAAACAGTTACCAAATGGTTAGTATTGGAGTTTTTTCAGATAAGAACTTAACATTGACCTAATTAGATTGATATTTGAACTGTGACCTAAATTCAGGATTAAAATTCAATTTACACATCCACAAATTAAAAACTTAACAAACAAAATCATCATTTTTTTATTTTAATTTTGTGGGTAGACAGGGTTAAACTTGCAATCACTAATTAGTTATGTAATTTATCCTATGTATGTAAAAGATGAACTGGTGAACAAAATGCAATCATAATTTTAATAAATACTCAATTAAAATATACTTTAGAACAACACTAATAATTTTAACTAATTAGCTGATCAAGCTGACATATCAACAACATGAAACACTAGACTATACATGATCTAACCTCCATAATAACATTAGATATTCTTTTCTAAAAAGCTCTTCAGATATGTGGGGCCTAGGATGCCTAATATGGGAGGCATATAACGGTCCTCTAAAGAACCAGCCAGCACTGAAGACCACTGACAACATTCCTAAGCAACTATGCACTTTATACTGTGAACTGGTCAGTGCCAACCCTGCATCTAGGCCAAATCCAGCTGACATTATAACCAGGTAAGAGTAACCACTTAGGTAACCCGTTAGGTTCTCCGCAGCATGTTTAGGCATATAATACATGACCTATGTTCCATGTATGTAGTTTATTGAGTTGCTTCAATAAAAGATTACATCAACACCAACAATCGATAAGTGCCCACTGCTGAGCAAAGCCTCTTCTCACATGCAGGTTTGAGCATTAATCACCACTCTTGCTCATGGAGGCTGGCAATTTCAAATGTATAAGGTTAAAGTCCAGGTTTCCTCACGATGTTTTTCGTTTGTCAGTGGTGTCTAAATAATTTAAATGCATGCATCTCATGCATGAGAAGCGGGCGTCTTAACCTTCGGGCCAGCACGACACGACGATAATAAAAGATTAAAAAACGAATATTGTAACTTAAATATTTACAGTAATAATAATTTGTAAGCTTAAATAATAACTGATTCCATTTTTAATTACTCTTAAATTCAATAAACATTAATTATTTATAAAATGGAAGGTAGTTTTTTACAAATACCCTCACTTAAACCAGTAAAATCCACTGGTGTGATTCCTTCAAGATTTTATTAAAAAGTCTAACAAAATCGTTTATTTTTATTCTTTACATATGTATGTATAAAAAGTACCTTTTAAGTTATACATACAAAAATTAACAAATAAAATATATTTCAGGTGTAGGAAAATAGGAGGCTACTTCAAAAATGATTTGATAGATTCTATGCTGTTTCTGGAAGAGATTCAGATCAAGGATAAGGCCGAGAAAGGGAAGTTTTTCTCCACTCTCAGCTCCCATCTGGACGGTTTCCCTGAAGCTGTGTGTGTTCACAAGATTCTGCCTCAGTTGATGACAGCATTCCACTATGGAGATGCTGGGTCTTTTGTCTTAGCACCCATGTTTAAGGTAAATAAAACATATTTGTTTAACTGAACTACTCACTACATTTTCTTGTCTATCACACTTGTTATTTCCAGAATTCTATTATGATTATCTCTAGTTATTTTACCTAAATTATGTTTTACTCCTGCTAGTTGGAAATTGAAATCTGATAACATTTTAACAGGTAACCCTAAGTTTAACTGAAGCTCCTGGTTGCACTATGCATATGCAACCACTATTTATTTTTTTACACACACACATACATACATAACATCACGCCTTTTATCCCCGAAGGGGTAGGCTGAGGTGCACATTACACCACTTAATGCCACCGTACAATGTGACACCCACTCTTCACTCTTAATGTAATGAGTCCCATGTAATAAGGGGTAAGCCTATTACCATATACCGGGAACATTTCCTGACACCGTGCTACTACTGAGAATTTTTTTTAAACCCAATACTATTACGGTTCCCTTGCCCAGCAGTAGCACGGCAACTCGGCCAACGAGGCAGTCATTTTTTTAAACTGTAGTAATTTTATTATACATATAGTAAATAGGTGTTCTTAAAATGAACTTAGTTATTTAGAACAAGCACTGGAACATCTGTACAAATTCATGTATATGGTGTATATTTGTGTAACGTAGACTGATATGCAATCGTCTTATTATTTAAAATGTCGAAGATAAAATCGTAAAAGTAATTCTAAGAATTAACTACGCACTGAATACATGTTAATCTATAACATGTACAATACATTATATACTCTAAGTATTTCTTTCTTTTCTTTTTTGACATCTTCAATACTTTTTCTGACTGCCTCGTTGGTTGAGAGGCAAGCGTCCACTGGTCCAACAAAGTATTGTTGGGTTTTCTGTTTCGGAATTCTTTCAAGCTGTACGGCACCCTAAACTTTGTTACATGAGTGAGACTATTTCCAATTGTTCTTCTGCCTTTATTTGGGTTGGGTTTTAATTTTTTCCGCTTTTAGGCGTAATGTTAAGGTTACTTGTTCCAGCTGGGTAAACTGCTAGACGATGCCGAGTACCAGAAGCAAATAGTGCCGTGCGTCATCAAGCTGTTTGCCTCCAACGACAGGACGACGCGGTCTCGACTTCTGCAGCAGCTGGATCAGTTCATCATGCATCTCCAGAACTCTACGGTATGTCTTGTCTATACTTGTGTATTGTCTGTGGTATTTTAATTTAAAAAAAAGACAATTTTAAAAAAGTACGTGTTGTTGTGTGTTATCGTTTGAGTTTGGTAAACAAGTGTTTGCGTGCCATATCTCAGCGCGGATGTGAACGCAATACCGGCATTGTTACGCAACAAACATGGCTACATGAAATTGTATGTACATTTTACCACTCTGTACTGAAATAGTTTCATACAAAACTTTGAGAGAAGTTTTTCAATGGGGCTAGCTATTTAAACATTGTGTCGTCACGAGGAATTTCACGCGATATTATAAAACTATTTATCGTTGTAAGTTTTGTATTCCAGAAAGAATTATAGTAATGTCCATGTCCTATATTAAGATAGACATTAAAAATATAGTCCATTCCACTATGCTATTGACGGCGCTGATCACTAATCATCAGGTGATAAAAAAATCCCAAAAAGTAATAAAATTAATAATACTTATCAGTTTCTAATATTCCCTATTGTGTTGCAGGTGAACGACCAGATATTCCCGCAGGTGGTGCACGGGTTCCTCGACACGAACCCTATAATCAGGGAGCAGACAGTCAAGTCCATCGTCCACCTGTCCTCTAAGCTTAATTACAATAACCTAAATGTGGAGGTCCTGCGGCACTTCGCTAGGTTACAGGCTAAGGATGACCAGGGCGGTATACGGTGAGTGAATATCTATTTTGTATTTAATACAAAAGGTTTTAATTTCATTGTACCTTTCTGAAATTTTAGCATTAATTTATCTTGCTCTGTGTTAAGGATAGACCTGCGAGTTTGTGTTACAAAAAACTTGTAATCAATATTCATGCAATTGTAAAATATAAATAACCCAAGTCACACGAGAGTTTTTCGCGCCATCTAAATGCAAAACAGGGCCAAAGTCCGCCTGATGAAAGGGCTCGAACACAAAACTGCGATGCGACGTCGCATCACAAAAATGTGTGAGCTCCCTCTACGCATCGCAAGAACTTGCGAATTGATTCGCATCGCGCGTAGCAACCTTATTTTCCCTAAATCTTCTTTGTTTCTTTTTCTGTATCTCCTAAGCAATAACAGAAGTGCACACTTCTTCTTACGATCTATGTCACGACCTAGTTTTCAATTTAAAATACGTTTAGTACGGTTGACGGTCGTCGACGGAATGCTCACCATGGGAGACGCCTTGTTGCACGAAATCGCATCGCACGCAGCAATTCGCATCGTAATTTTCTGTGTTGCGAATTCGCATCGCATCGCAGTTTTGTGTACGAGCCCTATAGCTGTCTGCAAAATCGAGCTTTAGTGCGTCGATCTTTTACAGGTTTTTACCTAAACCCCAAAATTACTTAGGTACTGTGATCTACATCAATTAGTTTTATTGAAAATTATTCGTATACAAGCATTCACTTACGACGTCGACCCCCCAATACGACGACAATATCCTTAAAACTTTTCGATATAAAGTCCATTTCCTTTCCAGAACCAACACAACAGTCTGCCTCGGCAAGATAGCTCAGCACTTGCACCCACAGATTCGCCAGAAGGTCCTAGTGTCAGCGTTTGTGCGCGCTACCCGCGACAACTTCCCGCCGGCTCGCCAAGCGGGCGTACTGGCGCTGGCGGCGACGCAACAATACTTCTTACTGGCTGAGGTCGCCAACAGAGTACTGCCTGCTTTATGCCCACTGACTAACGACCCGGAGAAACAAGTGAGTTGTACAGCTTTTTTAAATACAATGATTGATTTCATATCTATATGATTTCATAACTTTTGTGAGACATAATAAATTCATTATTATGTTTTCGGCTTACTCACGTAACTGTTTGATGAAGAACTCGACTAGTTTCAAGCCATGCTAGAAGCTCATATTCATGAGCACCATTCCGCGACGCGGCGACTATCGCGCTGCTACTGGCTGCTCGGGTCTGCGGCGGTACGGTCTAGTCGAGGTCCTATCCAAACAGTTACGTGAATAAGCTGAAAACATAATCATTGATTTCATAGCTATTTTGTTAACAAGTAACAATGCATACAAATTCCTGTGGGATCGTTTTCAAAATACATGCGGGACGGAGTTACGTAACAATACTTCTCGTTCTAGGTTCGTGATGCAGCTTTTAGAACTATAAAAGGATTTCTCGGCAAATTAGAAAAAGTCTCTGAGGACCCCAGTTTGAAGGAGGGAATGGGTAAGACATGTTCTTTATTTGCTTTATTACTCCAATTTCATGAAAAGATTCCTAAATACACCGGTATTTGAATATTCTTTAATTGTATCTTCTGTATTTGATTCTCATATTTTTCTTATCGTTGTGAGGATGATCCCCGAATCCTAACCAATCTTCAAATTGCGCCTCTGGTGTTTTGGGCGTTCATCAGCGGCGCCGATTAATTAACATCAGGTGATCCGTCGCCTGGTATACCGGCTTATCCCATAAAAAAGTTAACGGTTTCTAAAGTTGTTTTTTAGAAAAAAAAATGTCATAAATCCCTTTTTTTGCTACAGAAGCGGACGTCCACACGGCGACTCCCTCGCTGAGTAACGCTGCGGCGACATGGGCCGGCTGGGCCGTCACCGCCGTCACAGCCAAGTTCTACCGCTCGCACTCCGACACGGCGCGAGTCTCTCACCCCAAGTCCGTTCTGTCCAAGCCTGGATCACTCGGTAAGATTTCAAAACATATTTATACGCTATAAAACGTATTAGGTATAGCGACTTCAAAAAGGAGGAGGTTGTATGTTCGGCTATTTTTTTTTTATGTATGTTTGTGTTGGTTAATACATAAACCCCTATAACCCTATCGAGAAAGCCTTCAGGCTGTAAAACTACACTCTACGACTAATAGAAACCGAGCAGTAAATGAAATTGAGCTGGAGTAGCTAATAACAAAATAACAATGAAGTCTTGGTGTTTAATATGATAAAGAGAAGGTCACAAAATTTTGTGTTTCCTACTACTAAAATGGTCTTAAGCCTGTCTACATCGCAACTGAAGCCTATGCGTACAGTAGTTAGTTATGAAAACGGTAAAATACTCATTATGCAATTTAGTAATTTAAAACTTGGATACAGCTCTCTAAATTATATAATTTTATGATACGTTACCTAAGCAACCATAAACACACTTTTTAATTAGTAGGTAATTGTACAATTTCAATCATAATTATACATACAATGTTCAATTTTCACTTTTCAAAATATTTAATTTCAAACAAATATAAGCAATTGAGTGAACATCTTGATCAAAGTAAAAACTTAATAACGGACATAATTCTTATAGCGATTTTTATATAAAATGTTTGTAGCCACAATTAATTTTGAACTTTACCTAGTTCACAATAAAGTTACAATTTGCAGAGCAACCGTCATCGAGCAGTATGTCAACAACTACATCGTCAGTGACCTCGATGACGTCACTGGAGCACAGTGAGTCGGCTTCCGACTATGATCCAGATCATTGGGACATGGCGGCTTGGGGCGAGATCGACTCTAGCGCAGGTATGTGAAATAAACTAAACCCACTTACGTACATACGCACTTAAAAATCATCGCTTTCACTCGTTTTTTTCGACCTCACTTAAATCTTAAGGAACGCCTAAGCTATATAGGTAACACTTAACAACACCTGACAGCACAATTAAGGGATTAGGTTTGGTGCTCCCTCACGGTAAATAACTCTTACTTAAGAGATAGTTTAGGGGTGTTTAGTGCAAATAGCCAGTCAAAGTCAAAATCATTTATCTCAATTAGACCAGAAAGGCACTTTTGAAAGTCAACAAAAAAAAATAAAAGTGAAGCTATTTTCTCATTTCAAGGTGTAGATTCCTATGGAGAAGAACGAGCAAGAAACTCCATAGGTTACTCTTTTTCAATCAGGTTCACAATACAATTATCTAGTTACATAGTTTTGTTGTTTGGATTGTGCGAGAATTAGAGATCAACCTCGAGACATTTGTTAGTAAATGACTCAATCTAATACTTTACTTTTCATCTGAAGCCTTAGTACGAGTTTGTTTTACGTATAAAGTGTTCGAAACGGGACCGCGTTCCGCGTTCTGATTGGTTGGTTCATTGGAGCCGGCCAATCAGAACGCCGAATGCGGTCTCGCGTCTCTGAAAGTAAGCGGTTCAAAAGCAGTCAGGTTAGGTTTAATTCAAAATGCAAACTATATTTTGATAATCTTTTTATTTATTTAATCACAGACAATAATATGAGTAGTATATTAAAAGAATAACAAGATGTAAAAACTACTAGTTATATTATAGCTGGATAAGTTAGACTTATTTAAGTACAATACAACTTTCTTTAAAAATTAATTTAAAATTCTAAGAATAATCTAATCACACTATTTGATAGTTATGTTTTATAATACTTTTTATTTGTGGAAAACAACCCCACAATATGAATAACCTCTTATTGTATGTTTCACATGATAATGGTATTTTGACATACTTGACATTAGAGCTCATTATTGATCGCTTACAAAACAACCAGAAACTGCTAGATATTCTATAGCTGTCAATTTGAACTTCGGAAGTAAGCTCGATCGCATTCTCGCCCGTCATTGGTCGAGATATCCTCACAACCAATGACATAGCGGACCGCGATCTGGTTCACTTCGAGAATTATAAGTTACAGAGGGTTCAGTACAAGTTTGTTTTACGTTTAAAGTAATCGTAATTGCGGCGCTGATTGGCCGGCTCCAATGAACCAACCAATCAGAGCGCCCAACGCGGTTTCGTTTCGATTACTTTAAACTTAAAATAGACTCGTACTGCGCAACATGGTTACACTACGGTTCCTATAAGAACTGAACTATACTATAATGTCTAGTACATTTTTGCATTGTACAAATAACTTAAAATAATATTGAATGCATTATACTGAAATAATCTTGAATTGACTATCACTGAGTTTCTTGATATTCACAGCTTTGGGATGGCAATCTGAAACCAATAAAAAGTAATGTTATTTGATATGCATCGCCATACTATTTCATGGATCATAAATTCTTCAGTTTAGTGTTTTTTGTTCAATTGTGTACGTGGAGGAGCATTATTATTATTATTACTTGTTCTACACTAACCTAAGTGGCTATTAATAAAATATGCGTACTCAAGAACCTGAAGAAAATCTTAATGGGTAATTGTTGGTATCCGTACTCCGTAGTAACACTAATCCAATTTTATTTCACCAAGATTATGTTCTAATAACGCTTTGTTAACTGAGAAATATTGTTTAAGAAATTGAATTGTTTTTCTTATACCACAAGAAGATATTGTGATTTTACTCTGTAATTATGTCAAGTATATGCATACTCTTGTAGGTACCGGCGCAAGCGCAAAGTCCCCGCCGAGCAGTGGCAGTGCGCAAGCGACGCCTGCGCTTGCTGCTCTCTGTGAGGACGACTGGGACAACGAGGAATGGGGCGAGCTACAAGAACAGCCTGTATGTATTTACTATGATATTTATAAAATGTTGCCGGTCTTGTAAATGAAAACTATGTCGAATATTTATATAGTTTTCTATTATTTGACAATGATATTTTTAATGAAACAATTAAGTCCTCAAGTTCAACCATGTGGACCATGCGTATTACAAAGTTCTTTTAGAAACCCGTCAAGTGATAAACCAAATATTTAATAAATAGAGATTGACAAAGTCATGTGGATTTTTAGGTACTGTTTACTTACGTTACTTCTACTAATATAAAATTTTCCAAATCAGTGTGCAGAAGCAGAATTGGCGAGCCCTTCAGAAACTTGGAACAATTCTCAATGGACGGACCCTATCTTCAACAATGCTAACGCGACATACGTCCGCGGTGGACGCTTGGAACACAGACCCACTGCGCATCAGAACAGTAACGACTCCCTCGGTGGCTGGGAGGACAGCGAGTTCGAACCCATCGAGGAAAATGCTGACGGTAATATTATTATCATGTTTACTATAAGTGTGAATATTGTTTGCTTCAATGCATTTACAGTTGGGTAATATTGTGCTATAACCCAATACGAAACAAAATAAAAATCCTGCAGTACATTTGCAGCACTGTAGCACCTCTGATGTTACAGACGCCTGGCCTGATACTAAACAATTAGCACATTACTTGGTATAAGATGCTTCGTCGACGCTCATTTGCGTATTCACAGCCTCATTCATTTCGTTTATGTGCTCGAAAACTGTATCTTTATTACCGAATTAAACTTTCACACAGCCATTCTAGAATAATATTAAGTGTAATATAAAATTCGTGATATAAGAACGATTTTACTATAGCAAACATTTTCCATTGAAGTATTCATGTAAATATAGCTTCGCAAATCGCTAGAATTGATTCCAACCGCTCGACTCCTATAAAACAATCTTCCCAAGTTGATTTGCCTTAACTCCTTGCCCTAGGAAGGACCTGGTGAAGTATCAAGTAGTGATGGGTTGCAGACAAGGCAAAGATGTCGCTGTATATTGGTATTTACGTGTAAATTGATCGCATTTGAGCTTCGTTTATATTAGTCGTGCATCGAAGCTATGTTTTATGTTTTTATAGTTAGTTTATACAAGGCTTTTACAGCTTTAGGAAGTATTTAAAAGAAGATAGTGATAGCCTTATTGCATTCCATTTTTACTCCTTTTAAAGCGTACCAAAAAATTGTTTATGTAATTGTAATTTCGTTTGTTTACTTCGACAGAAAATAACGCCTCAAAAATGGACGAGATGCGAAGAAAGAGAGAGGAGAGGAAACTTCAAAGACAGAGGGAGATGGAAGCTCGTCGCTCGGCTCGGGGTCAAGGACCTATGAAACTGGGCACTAAGATCACCACCGCGCCTCCGCCATTTTAACGGACAAACACGGTGAATTCCAAATCTAAATTTTAAATCAATTTTGAAATCATTTTTGAACGTCGTCTTGTGTGTGAAACTGGATTGCTGGTAACCCTAGATTAAATCGAAACCAGTGACGTGGAAGGCATTTAATTAGCCTTTTTACTTATATGTCTTGACATAGGGATGGCAACGTGAGATATCTCGGTATCAGGCAAAGTAAGCTATGAGTATTATATATCTTTGCGTCAAATTATAGTACTAGTTCTTAAAGTTGCCTCTCCTATCTTCAGACATTCTTGATAAACTTTGATTGGACTCGATCGAATCTTGGTATAAAATGTCCATTCAAAAACGATTAATCGAGTGACTCGATATTTTCAATTTGAACGATTTCGAATTTTGATATTTGAATAAACTTGACACAAACTCCTATAAGTTACAGATCTTATTTTAAAACTTTAATTCGTTAGTGCATATTTTAGGTTTAATTTTGCGTTATTTATTTGAAAGTGCATTATAATAAAATTATTACTATATTAATTATTGACCGATAGACATTCTAGTGTTCAAATTATCAAACAGGAGTTTGGCGACTGTTTTATACAGCAAAAGGACTGCGACGAAGATTGAGATGTAATAAACACTCTTTCATGGGCATTAAAATATAAAATAATAATAATGTCTATTCATATTTATCATGCCAAGTGCAATGACCCTCGCGATATACCCAGCTTATGACTCATCTACAGTTTCCTAACGCACTATTAAATAATTACTTCATAACAATACAAAATCTGGTATGATATAACTGCCCGTAGATCGCTAGGTGTGGGCACAGCCTTAAAACAAATCCATTCAAAAGATTGTGAGTCAGTGACGTCATCATAGTGTTCTGATTGGTCGATATTAGGGAACAAGTATTGTAAATTGATATGCACCAAATATAGAGCGCTCAAGTGAGACTAGACGCCATTAAGGCATTAAATAATATTTTCAAAATTGTTCTTAGGCGAGACTTGTACCGCTGAACATGAAATTTTTGACCTGGAGTGGTGATTTTTTAATTATATCGAGATATGATATTGAATTTTTGCGACCTCGTATAGTCACGTGGTTAAATCGATAGCCGATAATTTTAATCGATATTTTGTGTGCACCTCTAGTTGTCCTGTTGTAACCACGTGGCTGTAAGGGGGTCATTGATACATAATCGATTGCCATGTTTTCCTCTAGCTTGTAATTGCGTATGATATTCAAATAAATGTACAGATGTATGAAAAAAAAATGCTTTTTTTCCTGTGGTGATTATGGGACTTGTGCAATCGGCAAATGAGGGTGTCAATTTGATGTAAGTTCTTGTGTGGATGGGTCCGCTTAAATATTGGTTTAGACGATACTTGAAATTGTGGCCAAACACGTTTAATATTATTTCAGTTCCTTTGGAAACATTATAATGCCTATGGGGATATTTTGGGCACATTCATTCATAGATATTGTAATTAAACCTGTGTGTTACTGCATCCTAACTATCTCATTGGGCATTATGTTTGAAACTATAACGATTTATTATCAAGTCAACACCAAAAAAGGATTATTGTCCGATCAATTTCAAGTATACGAAACTCCTGAAACCGCTCGTACGAATAGTAAACGCTATTTACATAGTATTAAGGCTACATTTTCAATATCCAGATAATTTATATGCGGAATGAATACAGGTTCAACAGTACAGTTGTTTGAGTTAAAAAATGGACGAATTAATGTAACATTGGCCCAGGCAAAACATAAACTCATTTATTTGTTCCATGACGGTAAGTAGGACTTGTTTAAGTCGGCGTTAATCGCTTACCATCAGGTGATTCCTTTACCCGTTTACCCCCACTATGCTATAAAAAAACACGCATTTTACTTTGACAAATAATATGAGAATGGCATAGACATAAGACAGAAACATCAATGTATGGGATTGACACTTAATTGACAAATAATGTCAAAAAATGATGTCAAACAATACATTGACTTTTGTATCCGAAGGTTTATGTCATTTTCATGAGGGGAGTGCAATAAAACTTAATATGACAAGTGTATACAGGGCGTGGCATAATTTACATGCGGCATACATCTACTTATGAGGTGAAAACGGGCTAATCAATGTGAATAAACTCACATTTTTTTCTCCCATATTTGGATACAAGTGATTAGAGGCAAATGGCATAGACTCTAGCCAAGTAAATAGAAAATTCAAATGTATGGGAGTGACATTGAACAATGCTGATTAGTACGCACGTGCTGAAGTAATGTGTACGGTACGTTGCGTTAAGTTTGAAATTCATGTCAAACAATACATTGACTTTTCGATCCGACTTATGTTTATGTATTTGTTTACAATGACAAGTGTATATATAAACAGGGCGTGATAATTTATATACGGAAAAGTTACCTACAGGCGGCTACAGGTTCAGCATTACAAAACAATGTTGTTACGTTGAACTAAGCATAAATTCACTCCTTTGTACCATAGAGAAGTAGACAAAAAGTACGTGTTTATGTTTGATACTAAAATACATGCATTTTACTATGACAAGAGATATGAGAATGACATAGACATAGCTGAATATAGAAAAATCAATGTATGTAATTGACACAAATTAAGCAATACATAGACTTTTCACTCGATTCAACTAATGTTTATGTCACTTTTCTAGAGGGGAGTGCAATAAAACTGAAAATGACAAGTGTATACAGGTTGTGGTCTAATGTTACAACATAGGTCAAATTTTACTTCGAGCGACTGACTGAAAATCTTACTTATTCCATGCATACATTATCTGGATTGAAAAAATCAGTGGAAATTATATAAAATATTATGTATATAATATTAATTATTATAATGTATGAAATATCAGACTGAACTGGTCTATGGATTTTATGTATTGTATTTGGCGTTATAAATGTACTTATTTATGTATTTTTGTCGAGTGTAATGCAGTGTTTCACCGAAGTTATATACATCTTTTGAAATACCCCAATAATGATATATGATACTCGATAGATTCATTACAATAGTTATAGAAAATGTTCATTCCATTTTACTCTTGCACAGTTGCCTTTTAAAAAGACATGCACCAAAATATATTATCAAGAATTTATAAACATACATATATATTTTCAAAGTAATACTTCTCCGCAGCTAAACATCTCTGTATCTTTATCTCAATTCATATTTTAAATTAAAATTTTTGCTATTCGACAATATTCCGGATCATTTGACGTAAGACATAGACATAGCTTCTACATAAATTAGTTTTTAATAATGAAAATGGATTATTATGAAGAATGTTGATCTTAGGGACGTATTAGACCAGTATTTTTACTGGTGACGTTATAGAGATTTGAAATATATTGAGAACAGTTATTTAGTGAAGTATTTGCTACTGAGGCTGCAATAGACGAAAAAACATACAAAATGATATATTCTATTTGAATGTGTGTTAAACGAAAATCTTAATCTATCCGCTACATTTACACTTCTGTAAATAAAACATGTAAAAATGACAACTATGTGTTTAATTTAACCCACTTACTATTACTACTTCATTACGCCAAAATGAAATAAAACAAAAACATAAGCAAAAAAAAAATTTAATGATGCAATTTTAACACAATACATGTTAGTTACAAATATAATCTCTTATATACTTACTTCATATTTTAAGTACATATTTCCGAAGCTTATAAAAAAATTGTATAATAATATGTAATAAAAAATTCAGTCAGTATCCTCCTTTGTAAAAAATGGCGGCACTGACAGTTTTTAAGCATAAATCTAGCGTTACAAACTAAAATTGGCAACATATAACAAATATTAGTATATTAGCGTTACTCTACATACATAAGAAGCAAAATCTAAGGGGCAATTTATACTACAGCAGTCGAAGCGTCTTTCCAAAATTGAACATAACAAATTCAACCTTAACTCCTCAGCGTAACGCACACATTACTTCTGAGATTTTAAAAAGTCGCGGTCATTCTCCGGTATTTGCACGGCTGCGCGTGAACTACACGGATTGGTAAGCGCCAGAAGTAATTTGTGCGTTACGCTGTGGAGTTTAAGGTTGAATTTCTTAAGTTCAGTTTTGAAAAGACACTTCGACTCTGCACTAGTATAAATTGACCCTTAGTAGCAACAAATATTCATTTATGGGCGCCTTGATATTACTTTAATATAATTATGTGCTAGGATATCCATAATCAATTGGTCACCCCATCAAATGTAAATGTCACATGTCACTTTGACATTTATAGTGACCTCAACCTTTGATGGATAGAAGAATTGACCCTGCAAACTGTAAATACGCGAACGACCAAGCAGAAACCACAAGATTCAACACAAAAAAGCAAATAGCTAAAGAACAGTGCTTTTAATAACAACAAAATATAAATAGAAAAAAAAATCAATCTTTATTCGAATTCTAGTTCACACAACGTTTCTGATTGGTTGATGAGCTGTCATTAATGTCATATGGGCCACTGTAATCGGTTTGAATTTAAATTCTTTGTTTAACTTTAGAATAGGCATTCAAATTGTTTCACCCAAACGACAATCTCAAGGTCATCCATTGGCGTACACACTCATTTTAATTTCCTGTTTTTACGATAACCAAATACGTAACTAATGTGATAAGGAGTGCGTTAAGTGATTACGCAATGAGGGTTAATAATTTACATGTGCATATCTGAGATTATAGAGGTATTAATCAATATTATTATGCAGGTATTCAAAGATAATAAAACCTCTCAATACAAAACTTGCAGAAGGTAAATGACAACCAATTCACAACCTTGGTACAACAAACTTTAATAGTGCAAGAAACACACACAGAACACAAATCATCTTGATTATATTAGTGACGTCATTTCTTTGTAAACAGATGTTAGATGGGTGCTGTATGGATGTGCCGTGATGTCTGCTCGGCCCCTTGACGTACTTACAGTTTAGAGCGCAGGTCGGATGTCCCAGCGGCTAATTGTCAAGATGGCTCCTCGAACCTGGAATAAAAAGATAGAATTACTTTAACTAGTGAACTATCTAGTTGAGTACAACAACGGGCAACAGAAAATGACGATAATAAAGACTATAAAAAATGTATCAAAAAATCTTCTTTAAATAAATCGCCAATCAAATCAATAAATATATTTAACTAGCCCGCGGTTGCAAATAGTCCGATCTCTTCAGCCGTTTTTATATGAAGAAGTAACAAACATAAAATTTCGCATTTATAATATTAGTTATTTATATTCCAACAAAAATCATGCATAATATCAACTTTTAATGAATAAATCAAATAAACATTATAATAAAGGATTAACATACCGCATGTTCATAGCGTTAGAGTTTCCGGGTTCCATCTTGTATCCAAGAGTCTCATAGAACTTGATCAGTTTGTCTTTGCAGTCCAAAGACATCTTGTAGCAACCAAGCTCCTGAGCTAACAGCGATACTGTTACTACGATCCTGGAATTGAAGTGTAGAAAGTTAAATTATATTGTAAATTGTAAATTTTGTTTGTTGACCAACATTGCTTTTAAAAAAAAAAAATTAAATGTGTAATACTGCCACACTGGTAAAGAAACGGCAACTTTATCTAACAAATGAAGTGTTTCTGCAATCGATATCACAAGGCGACGACGTACCTAATTGACGGTATTATAATTGAAAGAATTTATCTTCCCCTAATGTAGTAAAATAATATAATTCATCAATCTATCCCATTCTATATATTATTATGTAAATGCTAAATACTTACAATTTTCCCAACTGCTTGCCTCTGTAAGTGTCGTTGACAACAACATCTTCAAGTCGTCCCCTCTGAAAGAAATACATACACATGAAAAAAACATACGATTAAATAATATTACCAAAACCTATAATTCCAAGAATAACTTCTCAATATTAAGTAAAAACTTGTTTAGGAATTGTGTCACGCGCGTCTCAGATGTCCACGACCAGTTGTACTATGCAGTGAATCCCAAAACATCGTAATATGTTAAACAGCTTCTCAAAATAAATGTGACCGGTTCACGTAAAATCAAGCAAATAAGAAGCCTATTATTAGTATGATTTTCTTAGAGACATTCTTTTAAAAGACGACAATAAGCTTTTTCTGTGGCGAATACGCATTACTGCTTTTTATCACCATTAATAGTAAACTAATCGTTATAGTCTACAGCTGAACTATGAGCCTCATCTACATAATCGTCGGTCGGGTTGGAGACCACAGTTCAAGTGTTCAGTATAATAAAAAAAACTTTGCCTCCCACTAAGATTTTCTCCAGTGTCGTGGGTGCGTTTACAAACATACAAGTTCACATACACATGACACCCAGACCCGTAACAACAGTTTGTGGATCACACAAAGAGTTGTTCCGTGCGGGAATCGAACGGCATCCAGTTGGCCAGCCACCGCGTCAACCGTGCATTTAATAATGCTTTAACTCAGGGCAAGCCCTTTCATAAATAAATCTCTCGAATCTTCTTCCAACCCATTGTGCAAATAACTATAGCACTTATTGTAAAGTTAACAAAGCTTATTATGACGTACCACAGAGCAGTTATGTATGAACTTCTGTTCAATAGTGAGTGTGGCTGCTCCAATCAGTTTAGATATACGGGTGTCCTCGATGACTGTGACGTAGTAACCGCCAGACTGCTTCATTTTTGTGAAACGATCTGAAAATAATAAACGATTAGAAAACGTATACAAAAGTATGGAAATGCCGGTAGATGCCGCTTTAGATGAAAATAAGTATGGATATCTATTTATTTGTTGAACTCATTAGAGAAATACTGTGGAATGTTCTAACTGGTGTACTGTGTGACCTGATGCAGAAATATACTGGACCCTAAAGGCAATCAGCGTCGCCGGAACACCAGAGGCATAACAAGTGCGTTACCGGCCTCTTGGGATTAGGAGTTTGAGGATTGTTGGAGTTTCTTGCTCGTTCTTCTCCATAGGAATCTACACCTTGGAATGAGCAAATAGCTTCACTTTTAATTTTTTGTTGACGTTCAAAAGTGCCTTTCTGGTCTAATTGAAATAAATGATTTTTGAATTTGACTGTTGGGGATTAGGGACTGGGGAGATTGGGGAAGGGGTGGGCCCCACCCCTTCCCCAATCTCCGTAACCTCACGTAATTGGGCCTCCGGTAACCTCACTCACACGACGAAACAAAAGATATGTGAGGATCGTAATAACAAAGCTCTAATTTCGGCCTATCCTCATAAAATAAAAGCATGAGTTTCTTTGTCCGCTTTGGCATTCTCGTGTGGGCTCCAAATGGTATATTTGAACTCTGAAAATGATCGCGGAGCACGACTTCACAGTCGTTCGCGCCAGCTCATATTATATTGTTTGCATAACAATGCCACCAGAAACCAAAAGTACCTACAGTTATAGCAATCTGTATGTTTTGGAAATACATTTATTTTATACAGGTTGTCATTTTTGCGCTTATTTAAAACATGCTCTTTTCTTTGGTCACTAAACGTCTTAATAAAGATTAAGTCAGCAACGACCTCCAGTCATTCTTACACCAGTTACTTTCAAAGAGAAGAATGATAATTACACTTGTGCCAATGTCGTGCAAAATATAGCTTCATATGACTACTCAAAAGGCAGTATAGATATACCATCTATCTACATAGAAACATAAGCCTAATTATCTCTTCCATAAGTGCTCAAATCGCTCACAACGGTCAATGATCAGGAACTTGAGACACAGAAAGGTCATTATCATTGCGCCGGTTTCGCCAAGGTCGCATACTTAAATGTCAATAAGTTTCGCATACCATTGTAACCAGTTTATATGTGGACATCAAAATAATGAAAACGAAATTTATTATTATAGTTTTTCGCGTTCTTATGTTCTTATGGCTATTTTCTATACTCGGTACTAATCGAGTCAATAGAACTATTACCACGGCTCCCAAAAAAACCGGCACCCGTAATGACAAGCAATGCACTTCTAACTTTTCTGGGACGTACGGGTGTCCAAGGGAGCGCCAATAGCTTACGATCTGGTGATGCGTCTGCTTTTTTGCCCACCCATTCCACGTATGATAAATATTACCGTGCCCATATCGTACAAAATATTAAATAACACCCTAAAGTGTAAATAAATTCATCATAAGCCGAAAGATCCATCCATCCATCAATCCACTGCTGGACAAAGGCTTCCCCTATACACCACCACGCTGAACGACAATTCGACACTTGCATCCAATAAAGGAATTAAATTACTAAAGCCTAAAGTATTTTCGGGAACTTTACGACTTTCGGATGTTAAAATTTTTTGATATATTTATAATTGAGATCTAGTTTTCGTGCATGTAAATTCTACAGCTAGAACTGATACGTAAGTACTTAATTACAACGATGTAACTGTCTACCAGTCTACAAAACCTGTAGTGCTAATATTAAGGAGTAAAGATAACTACTTTTCAACAGACTGCTGTTTACTAAAGTGACAAAAGACTTGCTACACGTATGCTAGACGTGCCCACATTTTGCACATGTGTGACGTAAGATAATTAGGACCATACACTGGTGGCATTCAATTTAAGTTGTTGCATAGCATACCTATCGAAACACATTAACGTAAATGCCATTTACAAATTCACCACAGTTTTTATTTTCATTTTGTTACATCGGTCATGCTCATTAATTCTGTTACAGATAACACTAATTGGCGCAATGTTAGGAATTTATTGGCGAGCCATTAATATTATAACTCTAGGCTTTTGTGGGGCCAGTTGTGTTAGAAATGAATATTTCACCTTGAGAACCTTCCCTTCATGTTATAAGACAAGTAGTGATTGGTTTTCGTAACTTGTTGCTACTAATGCGCGGATACCGCAAACCAACAGCTTTTATGTACACTCTGAATAGCATTGAGAATTTAAAAAATATATTAGTTATTTGTATGACTATAAATAAAGGAGTGTAATATCCTAGCATATTTTACCTTCAAACTGCTTTCGCGTGACATTGCCCACACTGGTCAGCTGCCCAAGCAGCTGCAAGAATCCTTTATCATAATCAGAGCGCTGTAGTGGCCTTACGGCCATCCAGTCCTCCCCGGGATTCGCCGCGCTGATCTTAGGCTTAAACTTCGCCGGGCTTTTGTCGAAATCCAGACGCTTGAGTATCTCGGGAGGATACAGGTATTCTGATGGCTTGCCATCCTGGTTCAAAAACGTTAACAGATTAGAGAACTAGATACTAACATTGAAGCTCAATTAGTTTTTTCAGTTGACAATACTTAAAACCCAACTTCTACTCCAATTTAACACATTCGTTACTTCATCTAACGCTCACGCGAATAATTCACGTGAGATGTGGATTATTGTGGATACATAAGGGTGATATTTTAAAAAGTTTTACTGTCAGTGACACAAAAATTAGCACTGTAATAATAATAATTGAAGTAAGGGTATACTGTTACACTAGTGCGTGTAAAATAGTTGAGTTCCTTGTCAAACTATTACGTGAGTAAGCCAACAACATATTAATGAATTTAGTATTTCTCACGCACAAAAGTTTTAACATAAGTAAACCTATAGTGATAAAATATAGTCAACTACATGTAAAATATAGTTTACAGGAAAACTATTTTGATAATACATAATGAACTTCCTGATGGGTAAATAGTTAAATTGTTGTGAATACATAAATAAACGCTGTATAAGATATTTATACACAGGTTTTATAATAATTTCACCTTGTATGAAATCTCAATTGAATAATTAAAAATGTTTGTTGAAAATTTAGAAGGGAAGAATCCAAAAAATATATTTTTAAATATCTAAATATGAGTATTGTATTGTACATGCAGGTCAACATCATATTTATAAGAAACTTCTTTACAACAAATCACAGTTACTTTTCCTATTTTCTTATCTCTTAAAATATAAATATTAATCAGTTAAACATCTATGACACTGGCAATGGATACCACTTATTGATTCAAAGAAAAGATATTAATTTATTTATAAAGATTACAGAGAAAATCAATTGAACACTATGTATATTTATCTTATCTTTAGATTCCTGTTAAGGTGATAAGAGTAAAAAAAATATTCAATTTTATATGATATTAGGAATAATAAACTTGAATAACATAATCTATACATATAATAAAATTGTAGAAAAGTGCTGTCTGTACATTGAAAATAAAAATAAAAAAATAGCAGGGGCTATTGTTATGTCGATGTCGAACCCAAAAATGTAACTAACTTTTTTTTTGTCTGTTTGTCTGTTTGTCTGTTCACGCTAATCTCAGAAACGGCTTATCCGAGTTGGATGTGGTTTTCACGAATATATTGTGGTATGCTTCAGTTATGCTTTAGTGTTTGTTTCATGTCAATCAGTTCATAAATAAAAAAGTTACGTCAAATTAAAGAATCACGTCGAACACTATCTATCTATCTATCTATCTATCTATCTATACATATAATAAAATTGTAGAAAAGTGCTGTCTGTACATTGAAAATAAAAATAAAAAAATAGCAGGGGCTATTGTTATGTCGATGTCGAACCTAAAAATGTAACTAACTTTTTTTTTGTCTGTTTGTCTGTTTGTCTGTTCACGCTAATCTCAGAAACGGCTTATCCGAGTTGGATGCGGTTTTCACGAATATATTGTGGTATGCTTCAGTTATGCTTTAGTGTTTGTTTCATGTCAATCGGTTCATAAATAAAAAAGTTACGTCAAATTAAAGAATCACGTCGAACACTATCTATCTATCTATCTATACATATAATAAAATTGTAGAAAAGTGCTGTCTGTACATTGAAAATAAAAATAAAAAAAATAGCAGGGGCTATTGTTATGTCGATGTCGAACCCAAAAATGTAACTAACTTTTTTTTTGTTTGTTTGTCTGTTTGTCTGTTCACGCTAATCTCAGAAATGGCTTATAAATATATATATATTTAACAGGGTGCGGAAAAGGTGATAGTGGTTTTATTCCTCAGATTCCTCTCATTCCAAAAAATTTTCCGTTTAATTTTAAACGAATTCAGTTTCCAGTGAGCCTATGTTTCGCCATGACAATTAATAAAGCTCAAGGTCAGACTCTAAAAGTTGTGGGTATAGATCTAAGTATCAGCTGTTTTTCGCGCGGTCAATTGTATGTGGCTCTGTCCCGTGTTAGCAATCCCAGCAGCCTGTATGCTTTCACCCCCGATGGCCATACGTCTAATATTGTATATAGAGAAGCATTACAGTAAAGTAGGTTTTTTAGCTACCCAAAATGACTGTGATTATGATCCAAATCTAAAATAAAAATAAGTATATATTTAAAAAAAAAACGCTGCTCATAGTCACTATTCTACGCGAACGAAGTCGCGGGCACAGCTAGTTATGAATAAATATAAACAACTTAAAGTTAACCAAAACTAAAATAGTGAATAAAAAACTTTAAAAAAATCCATCAGTTTCAGCGTAAAATTTTTAGGACAATTATTTCGTAGGTGGCAGATTTAATTATATATCTATTTTCATATTAAAATTTTATATGCACAATATTTCTAATAAAATATACATAATAAAGAAATATGACTTTTTTGGGGAGTTAGATTCCGTAATTGACACATAATTCCGCATGATTTTATTTTGAATAGCAATATTATATTTTGCCCACAGGACAAAATATTGAAAAATGATGTTTCATAAAAATCGTATTCAAGTTTCAATCTTAAGTTGATAATATTTAAATGACTCCTTATATACAAAATTAAAAATAGGTGCAATAAAAAAATAGGTAACACATGTTTACCACCACTCAGTATCAATTTTAACAAAAGATAAAGAACTTACCATATTGTTATATTTCTCCATACCCATTTTCACTCGGTTGCTTATTTTAATTTGAGTGAAAATTATGTACACATGCTTCACAAGCGAGAAAAGGCTCGCTGTTTACGTAAAATAATTCTATTTGTGTACGTGGCTCTAATGGAACGCACTTGTTTCGTCAGATATTAAATAAATACCACGCCAAGACTGGCATACTACGTTACGAGAACCGCGGCCCTGAAAATTCTTAATAGAATAGTAAAGTGAAAGTATTATCGCAACCAGTCTCGGAACAACTCAGCCGGTTGTCCATCCACTGATCAGACATTTGACAATTCTGACATTGAAAAATGTCAACAAAGCATGTCGAAGTGACGAAACCGACAGAGAAAAGTCAATATCAATCGCTTGCAATCTTATAGTCGATTAAAAATAGTCCACTATGTACACATTTTATTTACTACTAACATTAATAAATATTCTTTTAAAAGAATAATTATTCACCGAATAGAGTCCATTTCACGAAAGAAGTCCCGCGGACAATTGCGGAACTAAATTTGACAAATGGGGAGTTCGGCCATGTTGTCGTTTGTCGAAGTTGTCAAGGTGGGTTTGTTGTGGTAGATATTTTGTTAGTTTATTATTAAATTAGTGCATTATAAGGTTTATTTACGATGCCAAAAGTTGTAAAAAGTGCAGGTCGAGAAATGATATTAAAATTGAAAGAGTTCTGTGAAGCGGAACAGAAGAATCGCGGCGTTTTAATACCATTAGACAATGTTCGCAAAAGAGTTGCCGCCATAACAGGTAAATTTTGGGGCTGCCATATTAAACATATTTTTTACCAATTAGACTTAAGTTTTTTTAATGAGGAATTAACATAACACAACAAAAATTTGTAAAATTGTATTCAACAATAATATAATTAAATGCGGAAAAAGTCACTGTTAGATTTTTTTTAATTGTTCATTTTATTGCAGGTGTGTCGGAGAGTCGTGTGTTATAAACAGACGGGTAGCGGTTAAAAACGTGGGCCAAGATCCAAAAGAAATTGTACGCCTAACAGAAGAGGCGTTCGAGACTGTTACAGCGGAAGATTGGGCAGTTCAATGCAAACATGTACAGCATTTGGAGGAAGAATATTTAAAAAATGATGGTCTTATGGATGAAGAAATGCATCGATTTATTATATCTACGGCTAGTGATAATGAAACAGAATCTAATTCTGTTTCTATTCACTCTTCTGACAGTGATCATAGTATGACCGATCATAATTATTCAATAAAACTTTAATAAAACTTTTTAAATGTTATTTTATGTTTCTAATTTGATGTTGGTTGAACATCTTTATTTCCATTTTATATTTTAGAAATTACAGGAAGATTAATTTTTCACTAATCTGACCTTAGCAGTATAAACATAAATACCTATATAAAAAGACATTATTTTTAAAATATTCCTCGAACTGTTCGAGTACGTAGTTAATCAAACTAATGTCAATTTCTCCTGATTTCCCCATACTATATAAATTTAACCGTGGCAACATTATGTCGCGCGAATACAGCGCTGCGTCTGCGGGACTTCTTTCGTGAAATGGACTCTAAATTAAATTCAAACTCCAATAACACTTAAGAAGGTGGTAAAATTAACTATTTTACGACGGTACTATTTTTAGTCGATTATTCGCTTCTTTCTATTCTCTTCTTTTTATTCATTTCTTTTTTGTCTATTCTACTCACTATGCCAATAGTCATCTGTCAAAAACAGATGTAAAGAAAATACAATATTTTGAAAAATTAGGTTATGTACATTATACAATTGTATTTAAATAAAAAGGATATTATTTCGCGGGTGACTTAGTTATGTAATTATTATTTTAGTGCGGTGTGACGGTTTTAGTTTTATACAATGGCTTTGTGTAAGATAAACACTTTCATGAATCTAATAAGACATAACACTCCAAACCCAATTTTGTGTAAATCATTAATAAAAACAAATAGTGTCGGTTATTCTAAACCTTTGTTAGTTGGTTCCCAACGCTGGTTATTTCATGAAAGTAGTAGAAAAGGTGGATATGAAACAGAACAAAAAATATCAAATTTTCAACATCTTAAAAATGGATTTAAAGAACTGAAGGAAGAGTTTAAACTTTTTGGAGAAGAAGTGAAAGAATTAATCATAACAGATCCATTATTGGTTGCTAGACCAGGTATGTTGATTATTTTGAGTAATAAAATTATATACAGTCGGCTGAATAATATGATATGCGGGTAAGAAAATAAAGCTTAATTTGTTTCAAAGACAATAACCAACCAGTATATGTACTGATCCAACCAAAAAGCATACAATTTAACAATAACAATGGTATGTAACAATAATAATGGTAAATGGTATCTGTACTGTCTGTACATCAATCTCTATTTTCTTACCTACAAACCAAATAGCTTGAACAATTGTTTAAACATAGAAGTTAATTGAAAAAATACTATTTTATTCTGTTGTACTTGTAAACATTAACACTACAACCTATGAACAATAAAAAATTGAATTTTATCTGTGAAGTTACTTTTGTTAAAAAAACTTTATAAAATTAAAAATGTCCAATATTAAAACTGAGTGAATGTCGTAATCTTTGTTTGTTTATCAATAACCACTGCTTACATAAAATGTGAAATTGTTAAAAAACATTTTTTGCAACACATATTTTAGTGTTAAACAATTTTATTTATTTTTAGAAATAAAAAGCATCTTCACCCTAAGCCTTTGCCTAGGAAATGCGATTGCTTATTTTAGGTACCTACTATACTAGTAATGAAAAAAATTGTTATTTATGAAATTTACAAACTTAAAAAATTGTTCCAAATTCAGATTTAATATTTTTCTGTTTTCATATTAAATTAGCACTAACCACTTTTTAGTCGATTTTATTTTTAGGCGATTTTTCCTTATGGTCAGCTGTGACAGCTGACAGTGTCACTAAGAAAAAATAATAATTTGTAGTCTGTGACAGGTACATTCAAAACTTAAAACCGTTGAAGTCGTTGAGCCAAGAATAATTTTTGCTTCTTTCTATTTTGTTTTTGTTGATCCACAACTTCCACAAGTTTTATAAATAGCACCTACACTAGACCCGACCTGTAACTGTCGAGCAGTGTGTTTTAAAAATATTTACAGTCTCAGAACAATAAAGGCGAATGTTTTCAAACTTAATCCTCAACGATTCTTCTTTTGCGTCTGATAAAGGCATAACAACCTTTTACAAGAAATTCCAAAATCTTTTGGGTCGAGGATCAGAAAGTAACAGTGTGACAATTAATGAAGACATGTTGTCTGTTGGAGCAAGCACAACTACATCTGAGGACAGTTTCATAACACCAGTATCTTCGGTGGGTGACCTAATGACGATGTCTCCTAAGCGGTGTAATGATGTGTCGGAACAGAGGAACGAGACCAGCGACCTCTTAACAGGATCAGACTTCGATAGCATTTGTGATGTAACTATGAAAGAAGTACCAATGTCTGACGATATGTTTATTGATGCCACAAGTTTGGACTATCTCGTCAAATGTGCCGAGTCAAATCGCAACCATAACCACATAGATCGTGGCAAGGAGAGTTTGTTTGTGAAGTTTGATCCTCTGTATGCACGGCAAAAGCTAGAAGATGCCAGCTCTGTTAATACTGAATCTGCAGTAGACTCCTCCGAGTGTGATGTGGGATATGAAACAGGCAGCACTGTGTCAAATACAGAAAACAATGTCATTGCACCTAAACACTCGCAGTCTACAGGGGCTATGCCTTCACTAAGTAAACCCATGCAAGTTGTGCCACCTGTAGTCAACAATGAAAACTGTAAGACAAGTGGTAGCTGCAATAAATCTACTCCAGCCCTCATGCGCAGTGTTTCTGCTATTTTGACACCCTCAAGAGGGGTGGCCACTGAGAGGCTCATCAGCATATCAGGCAGTACTCCTCCCACAGCTGCACCAAGAAGTCCTCGCTATCACAATTTTACCTCACAAGATGTAGATCACCTGCATACTCTGAGAAGTATTCTTCAAAAACAAGAACAGGAGGTATTGCAGCTCAGACAACAGAATAGAGAGCTCAAGTGTACAATACAGGATATGCAACATGATCACAACAGGGTAACTGAAGATCTGACTGCTAAAGTTAAGAAACTGACTGATGAAAAGGAAAATTATTTACAAAAAGAAAATAAATTGCTTCAACAAATCAATGACAAGATTTTAAGCAACAAACAAATGAGTATTGTCATGGAGGAGTATGAGAAGACAATATCCTCACTAATTGAGGAACAACAGCGTGAAAAGGTACTCAACTATGAGACTCTGGAAAAAGTCACATCAGAAAGGGATCAGGCTTTAAACCATTTGAGTAATATGGAGAGTTCTTTCAATGATCTCCTCACAAAATATGAAAAGTGTAAGAGTGTGATATTGGAGACTAAAGAGAGGGAAAAGGTTTATGAACAGAAAATGACAGAGTATCAGGCTGCTGTCAAGAAGTATGAAGAGTTGTATGGGAATTTGAAACAAGTGACTTCTGAGGCACTGACTAAGGCTAACGAAACACTGGACAACCTCAAAAAGAACTACAACATTGAAGTAACAAAGTTGAATGCTACTGTTAAAAAGCATGAAATTACTATAGCTTCCTTACAGGAATCTTTGGTCCAGAAGACTAGAGATAATGAGGAATTAATGAGGTTATATGATCAGCTCATTAGTGAAGTGCATTAATATATTTACTAAATTTCATAATACTATATCTTCACTTGGTGCTTTTTCACATTTCCAAGCATGTGATGTTATAGGTCTGCTTGTCTTAGCTAACTTCTCTCTGTGATGAATCTCAACTTTTTTGTTAAATTGTTAGTTTTAATAATATTATTTATTAGTATTTAGTTTTTTAACTTTTTATGACATTTGTTTGTGATTATGTTTCTATTTTATGACAGTATTAGTTCCTGACCTGTAAATCTAAATACACTGCATACTTTTTGGTATTTTTGACATAATAGAGTAGTAGTAAAACTACAACATTTTAAATTAAAGACTCGAATAAGATTTTACAAACAATAAATAAAGCTGTTTGACACTAATTATGCAACTGTGTGTTGAATGGAACATCAAATGTTGTTCTTGTAATAGAGTAAATTGTGGTAACAAATAACTATAAAATTATTCCAATGTGATAATCGAAAGATAACATATGAACAGCTATTAGTAGCTAGGTGATAGTCATTAAAACAAGACATTTTAGTTACTTAAAGTACCTAATATAAAAGGCATCGAAATAAATATGAGCCATGGAGCAAATACAATCATGTTTTAAGATTTGATATAACTATTTTCCAAGACTTGTAAAATATTGTGCCATCAGAAATATTTCGTAGCTAATAATACTTTAAATTAAATAACTATACTTACTGCTGGACATCTAATTGAATTCAATATTTGAAAATAGAATACTGATGAAATTTATAATGTTTATGACAATTACTGCTTTTTTTTTCAAATTGTCTATATGCAAGATTTCTACTACCTACTGGCCTTTGCAGTTTTTATATATTATAGAGATAAATATTCTATTGTATCTACTGCTAATGTTAGATTCGTAATGCTAATTTTAGGGGTGTTGGTAAAACCCAGGATATTTCATTTCATTTCATTAAATTAAATACTTGTGTAGTAATGATTGAGAATAAGTCGTAATTTTTCTCTCCAGGCGTGCATTTTGTACTTAGATATCTAATAAAGGATTTTTATAATAATATTGTTGTTTTAATGTTTACAAAATCTGCTATTTTAAAGTGACATAATTATAACAGGCGAAACGGTTTAACAACTGTATGCCAAAGGTGCTTGTGCAGAAGAGAAATGAAATATGTTATCAAACAGATACACAATTTCCAATAGGTTTACGGAACACATAAAAGCTTTCGGTGTTCCGTGCGGGAATCGAACACGCGACACGTGCAGCACCTGGTTGTCTCAAACTTGCCTAACAATTTTTCTTTTTTTCAGGTGAAACAGACATACTCTGGTGTTTCAATGAGTCTAGTAAGTTGGACAGTTTTACAACGACCTGCGACAGTGACCACAATGAAGGTTTTAGTAAATGCAACTTTGACATGAGCAGCGCCGGTAGAGGCCTGTTCCACGGCTACCTTGATACTCGTGTACCGAAAGATGGAAGGATAAAAAAGGCGGGCTATTGTGCCATAAGATCGAAGAGAGTACGAGTAAGTTCTTTGAATTATTTAATCTATACGAGTTACAATACTGCTTCGTTGGCCGAATGGTCACAAATGCGACGGTCGGGCAAGGGTCTCAGGTTCGATTTCCGGGTCGGGCAAAATATTATTAAAAATAATCTTAATAGTAGCACAGAGTCTGGAATTGTTCCCGGTATATGGCAATAGGCTCACCCTCTATTACATGGGACTCATAATATAAATAGTCAAAAGTGGGTGTTACATTGTAAAGTAGCATTAAAGTACCGTAATGTGCATATCTGCCTACCCTGTCGGGGATAAAATTCGTAATGTTATATGAGTTACAATACTAACAGTACATTTATAAAAGTTACAGTAAACACCTAACAAGTTGCAGCTGTCGACTTACTGCGCCAGTACTGCAGCAAAAATGTTTTATATAAGTACCTACCTACCTAGGAACTACCGCAGTACTAATAGGTGTAGGTTTCTAAAATCGGTAAACAACCGCATCGTTTGACTCGCTATCAGAGCCAATCACGGGCATTGCAGCATTATTTGTTATTAATTACGTACCTATAGCTAGCCTGGTTTAGACTAAGTCTGGTGGGTTACCTAGAGTGACCCAAATTGGAAACTGCATTTTGAAAAACTTTGCTGTATTAATTTCTAATGCACTCCATTCGTAGCTACTGCGGTCTGAGCTTTATATAATTTTGACTGAACTTTATCTTCTCAGAAATCATTTAAACGGGCGGGAACGTACGACTGGCATCTGTACAATACTCTAGTTCTGAAGATAAGAGGCGATGGCAGGTCCTACCTGCTGAACATATCCTGTGAAGGAGTGTATGATATCACATGGAATGATATTTATCATTACGTTCTTTATACGAGAGGTGGACCTTATTGGCAGATTGCAAAGGTATGTAGAACAGTAAGTTTTGTACCACACCAAAATTTCTAATTGACTTGTTTAATTGACTTTCAATTTTAATTATTGTACCCTAAAGTCGTAACTCTAATGAATGAGCATGGGTAGCTCGCCGCCCGACCAGATCCAGACCCGAGCGTACGGCGCGTCGCGTTCTGCGTGCGGCTCAAAGAGCTATCAGACCACCACGGATGGTGTACAACAGGGCTGATAGCGATACGGAACCGCGGAGGATTTAACGGGTTCCCGGGGCTCCAGCTCGAAGAGCAGGAGTAAGAACAGGGTGGTTTTTAGTCAGTAAGAGTTTGTGACACAAAGCGAGAGCAACCATAAGAAAATTTTAACCCCATAAAAAAAAAAATTAATGAGCATCGTTGACAGTCTCATGTAGCTGGTTCCCGTACATGTGCAATGCAGGTGTAAATAAGTAGAGCTACTACTTTAACATAACTACATGTCGCGAGCCCAAGGCTATGGCTGTATAATTTATTATGCAAAACGTTTTCCCTTGAAAGCTTCGTACTTATTTGCGCTTGAAATAACTTGTAGGCAGGTACTTTCTTACTTGTCTACGGAAGTAGCTATCAAACCTGAGTTCACTATCTCAACAGTTGATATACCTTATTATGTATAGATTAGGAGTGAAAATAACGTAAACTTTTAACATTTTTGTTTACAGATACCTTTCTCAAAGTTCGTGCTAGGTTCAAAAGGACGCATTCAGGACAAACAGACTAGGTTCCGATTTGACAGAGTGACACACTTCGGCATCTCTTGCGGTGACAAGATCAACGGCAAATTCGATCTGGAAATCGAATATATTGGTAAGAAATAACACATGACGTAATTAACGTCTTTTGTTTTCCGAAGGAAAATGGGCGTACATGGACAATGTAACGCCCACTTTTCACAAGTTATGAAGAAACTAATTGCAAACCTTCAGCCTTTTGAGAAGCGGTTTCTCGGTAGTCCCGCCTGCACCATGTCAAGAATTTAATAAACCTAAATGTAAATGGATGATGATGATGATGATGATGAAATGTAAATGTGAAAGTTCATGAAACATGTCTCTAAGTAGGTACTTGTATGATAAAATTTTATCATTTACAAGTATGCATTTCCTCTATGATAATGAAATATTTGTTATTATTATTGTGCTTGACTGGTGCTCTATGAGCCATATGATAAGTAATAAAATATAATTGTATTATGCCCCCATTCAGGAATCGAAACCGAGACTCGTCAGTTACATTGTGACTAGTAAACGAGACAATTAATGTAACATTTATCGCGAGAGATTTAATATACCTACAATGAATTAAATTGATTGGACATTTAATAGCGTAGACTCGTCAACTCAGCAATGGAGGTCTTGCGTTGTATACTTACATTGATTTGTATCATTACAGGTCTGGAGTTTGACCCCACTCATAATGAAGAATTTGCCTACGAAATGTACAAAACAGATAAATATATTGTTGGAGTTTAAATATATTTTGATAAGATTAGTTGAATAATAAACATTAAAGTTGTTAGTTACAATTATTTTTATTCCGTATTCACCACAACCTATCCTCCTTGAGTGGTAAGCAAAAGTACAAATATCCAATACCCATAGGACATAACACCCTCTTATCACTAGTTGTGAATCATCTCACTAAATAAAATTGAAGATAATAGAAGAGTCTCTCTTTGAACAGAAGTCACCTTCAGTCACCTTCTATTCCATTATCTACCATTTTGCAGGCATAATGCCTAGCACAGAGTTTCGTTGCTACTTCAGAGAATATTTCCAACCCCAGATATAGTAATGTTTTACTGACATAATAATGAATATTCCTGTATATGCTAAATAAAACGAAAGAAAAAATGGAGTTTGCAAATTTTATAAAAAAAGAAGCGCTTATTAAGATTTTTTTTTGAAAAAGAAAAACCGTAAATCTGCTTAAGAAATATTACACCTCTAATCAAATGTCAAAAAGCAACTTTTTCTTTTTTTGGACTGTCGTAAAGTGCATTTCCGTCATTCCATTTCCATTCTTAGCATTTCTGGAAATATTGTTGTCTTGCTCACACTCGTTAAGTTTTTAGTTTGCTATCCTGTTGTCAAAACGAGGAGTGGTGATTTCATAGACTAAAATGGTTAACGCATCTGTGGCGTAAATTACTGATGTCATCGCCTTGATGATCATTCATCGTTATTTTCCAGTACAGTGAAGTGATGTTTATTTAATTGTTACGCTTTGTTTCGTTTTTCTATTTTAATAAAATTGTGTATAAAAGTTTCCGATCGTTGCTATTACTTCGGAGCTTTATGGCTCAAGGATATTGCGGTAGGTTATCTCAGCAAGCAACGCAAATTAAAACTTTATTGTTCCTATTCATTGCACCTTGCGTGGGATGTTGACCATTTCACATATTTCAACATTCCCGATTACTTTTTACACTCCAGTGGAACGAACCTAGTCTTATTTAATAAGATTAGGCTGTATTAATCTAATTAAGATAATGGATTTTGCGCAAACCAGTTTGTCTTGATCAGTGGCTTATATGGTGCTAAGTGATATTGCAATCTGTCAATAAAATGTTTACGTACTTTCAGGTGAGACCATGTGAACATAATTAAATAAAAGGAAAATAGTTCGGGAATAGTGAAATCAGTGTGTAGTACCATGTCAGGTACAGAGCAGAATATAGTGAACTCAATGCAGCAATTATCTGTGCAACCCAATATAAGTGGCCCTACTGAGAAACCTACGCAAGTTGTTACACCTGCTGTGAACAGGAGTCAGCAGGCCGCAGCAGCCAAGGTAACCCCTGTAAAAATAAATACTGTGTCCCCAGCAATAGCCACGATAGACCGGTTATTGAGTCTGGGAGCCAACGTCCCACCCCCACCCCCAGTAATCACACGGCAATCAGACATGGACCCACACACTGTAGAACAGCTTCGTGCTGTCAAAGAGCTGCTCACAGCACAAGAGGAAGAAGCACAGAACCTTAGAGACATCAACCATGAACTACGAGAAAGATTAGAAGAATGTGAAACAAAAATAAAGAAGTTGTCTGAACAGAATGAAGAATATGCGGAAAAGGAAAAAGCTCTCTCTCAGCGAGTTGCTGAAAAAGTAAGAAATAATAAACAAATGAGTGTGGTCATGGAGGAATATGAGCGCACTATATCTTCTCTTATTGGAGAACGGGAAGCAGAAGGGAAGAGATGGACTGATGAGCGATCCACCCTGGTGAGAGAACGTGATGAAGCTGCAGCGCATCTAGCCTCTATGGAACATGCATTCAATGATGTGCACACCAAATATGAGAGGTGTAAGGTAATCATTCAAGGATATAAAAGTAATGAGGAAATGTTAAAGAGAACTGTTGAGGAGAACAATGATGCTATCCAGAAGTTAGAAGCAAGATATGAAACCCTCCGACAGCATGCCATGCAGCAGCTTAACAAGGCCAATGCAGAACTAGATTCAGTGAAGAAAGCTCATCAAGCAGAGATCCTGAAACTAAATGCTATGCTTAAAAAGAGTGAAGTACATGCGTCCTCCTTGCAGGAATCGCTGGCACAGAAGATTAAGGATAATGAGGAGCTCACAGCTATCTGTGATGAGTTGATCAATAAGGTTGGTTAACAGCATTCTAATCATGATACTTATGTACTCATCCAAACTTCATTTACATAAATTAACATGCATTTTGTATTTATATGCAGTTGACTATAATGATTAATTATCATTAGTGTAATAATAGTATTACACAATATGTGAAAACTTACTTAATGAAGCTAGTGCTGTTACCAATATCAGAAATTATTAATTATTATTTTTTTATAAAACAGTATGTAGTGTAATAATATTTAAATGTACTGTGCAATCACTATCTATTTTATTTTGTACAATTTTTATAATTATTATAAGTGTAAGATTTTACTACCCTGTGACATCTGAACAGTGAATGTTTCTTTTATTATCTCGTTTTTATTTGGTGCCTGTCTGTATTACCATGCATGTTAAGTGCTCATAAAATTGTAAAAGTAATGAACCTCACTATGTACAGCCTATTAGTATTGGACCATGCTTTTATACCATTTGTAATAAAATTGTGAGAACATATTTTCATAAACTAGATACCTACATGCGTAATGTAAGCTTATCCAAAGATCTGGTTACAGTCTGCTGTATCACTGACTTCTGTCTCCATCGGCTAAGGTCAGGATATAATTACTTATGGTTACTACTTTGTTAGTTTCTTCCAACTAAACCTAGCTGCCATATTTAATTTGAAATTTTCTTTATGTATAAAACATAGGTATTTAAAGCTATAAGCGTGCTTAACTTAAAGTATAATTTAAATTAATAACTTGATATTATTGTTTATAATATAGTTAGCTGTTAAACCTATCAGAATTTACAGGACTAATAGTTAATGTTCTCTAGTCTTTGATCTTTTGAAATTGGTTACAGTTGTGTTTATGTTTATTTAAACTTTGTAAAATATAATAATAGATCAGTACTGTCGAAGCAATAATTTTATAACACAGTCGTCAATCAAAGTAAAGCTTATTTTCATTGTGAAAATATTAAAAAAATAATATTGTACATTGCTTTTCAGCTTGTTATTACTTAGTTGATGAAAAGCAAATACCAAAAAAATATATAAGTCATTAATAAAGTATAAAATTGTTGCAACAATTGGACTTACAATTAGGTTTATTTATTTCATGTAAGTACATGAGTGTATTGAAACTTAGACATTAGTATGTGCCTTTTTGAAATTAAATCTTCACCATCCATATCCATTCAGTCCATAATTTGATATTCATAAAGTACTAGACACCTAAAACTAGAATATTTTTCATCTCAATCTAGGTTAGCCTAATGCAGTGCTGCTAAATAGCTATCAAGTGTTTTGGCCTACAAGTATTATTTAGTGGATGAGGTAAAATAAATTTAACCCTACTAAAATGTTACTTTATTCAAACACTACATTCCACAACATTATTTTTGTAGATCTTTAATCCTAACAAATGATAACACTGCAGAGTACACATACATGTGTTTCCGAGACATTGTGTCCATTAACATTTCCACAACATGCATCTCACGAGAATCCCATTTAGCCTGAATTCGATTATATTTCGTTTAGGATAAGCATAATTTAGTTAATATTATACTACTAAATATTTTTTTATAACTTTGATTTATTTCGCATAAAAATTAACTGCAATTTATTCATATGAATAGAATGAAAAAATAAATTGTTTCCTTTTGTAAATGATTGCTCTTTATTTACACAGATCATCCTTATATATATCCTTGTAATTTAACTGTCAGAAATTCCAAAGGTGATTAACTGAAATAGGTATTTGTTTGTATATTAATAGATTTATTTACACTTGTCAAGATAATTATCATTAGTTAACACTTATCTACGAAACAAACATTTTATGGAAGACTATACAATTACAAAAACGATTTTCGGCAAAAAAAATTAAGAAGTTTCAGGACTTATTCTTCAAAAATTTGTATGTGTCCTTACTAACTAGGTAACTGATGGCTGACACTACAGTTGACGCTGCGGTGACTCCGCACAGAGCTTGTAGTGCTGGGTGGTCCACAAAGCCGAACACAGGTGATGCTAATGTCGTGCCCACCTGGAAAATGTCATAAATATACATCAGTAAACATTAAGGTGGTTATAGTATGCTACATGCTACTTATTATGCTCTGTTGCACACATACACAAATATTTAGGTTTAAATTACAGAATTTGAAACTCACTAGTAAAAGCTGTATAGCAGTGTTAACTTTGCTGATAAATGTAGGAGCGAGCTGCGCCGTGGCGTGAGTCACGTCGAAGTACCGGCTTAGTGTTCTCTGTAAGTTATTAAAGTTAAGGTCAAACACAAGGAAAACATTACACTGCAGTTAAATAAAAATATTATAGTATTGTGACCTACTTTTAATGTGTTTATGTATTTTAAAAATAACAATGTAGTGTTTATAGCACTGAATTTCTAAATAAGGTATTGTTTGTCACAAAACCATGTGACAAACAGTGCAATGAATATACATAAATATTCATGGATGGAAAGGATACAAGAAAAATAAAACAAATCTGTTCACTTATACCTATGAAGCCTTTGTGATGTTATGATAAGAGAATAGTAGAAGACCTAGGAACAAGGAATCATTAGTCTATTGTAGTAAATAGTTTATTGTAGTTTCAGGTAATTGAAAAGTACTCACAGGCGGTGGTAAACTCATATATCTGATGACAAAGGCAGCTGTGACTAACGCAACATCTCTGCTGACTATGAGCAGTGTCAGGGACAGAGGTATCAAGTTCTGGTAGGTCAGAGATATGAATAGAGTGCCAACTAGAACTTTATCTGCCATTGGATCTAAGAATGAGCCCATTTTCGTTGATTGGCCCTTCCAATTTCTGGCTATCCATCCATCCAACTGAAACATACAAGGAAATTATTTTATTTTATACTAAAAGCTGTTTCAGTATATATAAAATAACATCATCATTTGACTTTCACTGTTGGTGCGGTGGCTAGGTAACTGGCTGCCGCGCAATGTGTTGCGGGTTCGATTCTCGCATGGAACAACTCTTTGTGTGATCCACAAATTGTAGTTTCTGTTAGTTTCAGTAAAGAAACAGGTATTTTATAAAGAGGATATGAAAAAAAACGACTGCCTCGTTGGCTGAGTAGTCACAACTGCAACTGCCGGGCAAGGGGTCTCGGGTTCAATTTCCAGGTCCAGCAAAGTATTACTGGGTTATTATAAATTCTAAGTAGTAGTACGGAGACTGGAATTGTGCCCGGTATATGGCAATAGGCTCACCCCCTATTACAAGGGACTCATAACATAAATAGTGAAAAGTGGGTGTTACATTGTACAGTGGCATAATATGCACCACTGCCTACCACTTCAGGGATAAAAGGCGAGATGTTGTGTTATGTTTAAGACATGAAAAAATCTTACCAGATCAGTGACACCAGCAAAAACTAACAACCCAAGTGCAACATTGTAGTCATCATGGATTATTGTGTATCCTAGATAAGGTGAAAGGGCTATTCTTGTAAAACATAAAATATTTGGTATTGTGAGGACATTCTCTTTCTGAAAACAAACATTTTAAAGGATTTTATAAGGCATTTAATTTATCATTCTAATAAGAGATTCATCCAAAGTGATGCAATAAATTACATTTATATGTATGTGCTAATATAGTTAAAACTATAACAGTGAACTTGTGAAGTCTGTACTTCATAAGTTCACTGTTATTGTTTTTGAGACTGACTAAAGCTGATGTTACTATTTACCTCTACAACTTCTTCAAATCTTTCCTTAACTTTTGCTTTGGTTTCGAGTAAGTCTTTAATGATGTATTCTTTCTTCACTCTTAGTTTCTGGCCAGTAACTTCCCTTTGATGCTTTATATCCCTCACTAATTCCTCACCTTTTTGTCTAATACGGTGCTCTGTGTCTTTAAACTGTACCTTTTTGTGTTCAAACGCATCCTTCAGTGCGTCTGTCTTTTTCTCAAAGGTTAGAAATGGTTTCTTATCATCAGAATAATGGAAATATGACAAAGATGTGATTGGTAAGTGTTTTATCCTTCGTCTCGAATTAGAGAGAACGGTAACATATTCTCTGACCGCAACAACGTATTCATGTTTAATAATATTAGGCCGGTACAAAAGAGAGACATGTTTAATTAAGTTGCATCTTGACAGTAGTTTCATAATAGCTGTATTGAAAGCCACCAATTAATAGTTAAACTGATATTAATATCACTTTATCTTCATTTACCACAAACTCAAACCTAAAATTGTGCACTATTAAAATTTAAACAAACATAATTTGACGAATTTATTTCGCCAAAAACGTATGTTCTCAATCTCAATCTGTCATTATTTTTGGTTTTGACATGACATTTGTTCGATATTATCTGTGGTGAAACCAGTGCTTGACATCGTATATTCGACTAAAAAATAAAATTATTCCTTTTAATAACATACATCCCTATGACGTCTCTTCGATAAGTAAATAAACGTCAACCAAATGTCATAAAATCCCCTATATTTATTATACTCTTTGGCTATACTTTGTGTTGGTTTTATTTTCAGAGATTGAGATAACTCGACTGTTATGGAGTTTTATTTTAATAAGCAAACAATATTCTAGTAACTTTCTCAGTGAAGACTTTGTTTAATAATGGTTTTACCTGGATAACACGGTCAATTTGTTTACGTCAGGTAAATTACTTATTATTGTTATGTTTGATTATTTCTGTTTATTTACACATTGTTACTAACCCAGAAGCTATTTCTACTTCATTGTTCGATAAAAAATCTGTTTAATAGTTCGAGACGATTGGTTCATCGAATAGAATGCGAAATGTCGTCCGAATCTGAATCTGTTCGATGTATATACAATCAAGTTTCTTATTAAGAATATGCGATCACACTCCTATTGTATTATATTTTTTTATATGTACGATAATTTAATGTTTCGTCTATCGTATAATCACCATAAACTCTGGTAAAAATTATATCACCAGAAAAAATATATGATTTGTTTTGCAATCTAAGGCTATAAGGAGGTACCTACATAATACCTAAGGATAATGTTACAATAACAATATATTAGGAAGTGTAAACGAATTCTCGTCATTGATAATATTATCCTTGATTGCTTCATTGAACTAGAATTTTAAATGTTCAACTGTTAAATAGATACTTCCTGGAAGCCAGGATATTCAAAAAATACTATCTATTACATTTTTTATGTTGATATTCTCTGCAGAAGTACACAATCGTAACATTATCTTTTTAATAATACATTTCCCTAACTTATGAAACAAAAAATTGCTAATTGTCCTTACCCTAAAAAATTAATTATATTCCATCCATTATATTGTCTGAAAAATAAATATACACACCTCCTTTGCCCTTTCTCCTTTTATGATCTCTATCCCACCACTATTGAACACAATACAATCAATCAAGAGTCAAATGAGTCCCATCCTTATAAACTACCTTCACAATAAAATGCTTTATGATGTCTACCCCATAGCAACAATTAAATTAACAGTGCCAATGACTTGTGACCCACAGTTCACAAGCATAGATAACAGAATAATTATTTGTTTACTTTGACAAGGTAGTTTAGGCCTATATCAGTTTTATATAAGTTACAAATATTTACCTATATACTTTGTTTGTTAAAGCTAAAATACATAAAGAATTGGTCTTCCTGTTTGTTGTGTAATAGTGTGTAATTTGTTGTTGATTATCAGCTAATAGTGTTAAATACTGTCTTGTTTATGGGACAAACCTACCACAACTTTACAAAATCGCTGCAACTCCTGTAAGCCAGGATCTGTCAAATACAGACAGTATAGATGTAATAAGTTGTATACATGTTTTGCTAAAGTTTTAATAGTCGAAATAGTTATCCAACTCGGGCACATTTCTGATCTAAAACATTCACCATTGTTATACTTGTTGCAGAAAAAATAAAACTCCAATATGAAGGAAGAAGAACTGACATACATATTGAAACTTCTTGATCAACTCACAGGAGAAATATATGATGTAAGTTGAAATAAGCACTTAGAACTATTGAATTTAACTCGTCGAGTACCGGTTTTGTAGACACAATTATAGAACAATAGGTTGCAGTCACCGGTGACCGCTTGGTGTTTGACAGTTTAAGCTCTAAAATCTATTTATATAAAACTATCTTCTTCCTCAGGAAATCATACAGCTTTACTATGACATAGAAGAATCGAAACCATGTAAACAATTTAGTAATGAGGCCATAGAGTTTTTAAAGCTTAATTTAAAGAACAATCCTGTCACCACCACAACCATTCTGTCCTACATACAGCAGAATGCTTTGAAAGATGATGCAAACTTGAACAAAATACAAGCACTGTATTTAGACATCTTGAAATATGAGCTGACTGAGACCAACTCCATAGACAGACTCATCTCATTAATCTCTCTAGTTAGATGGAACGAAGGTTACATGCCTCAGTTTGTGAACCACATACTGCAACCTATAGCTGAAGAACACTTCAGACAGTTCAGAAAGCAAATCCTACTGAGTCTCATACCACATGAAAAGCCAGAACTTTTATCTATAACATCAGAGCTGATGCAAAGAAATGAGCCTCAGAAGGAATTCAAACTGACACCTGAGTACATGCTGGAGCTTTGTTACCAGGACAGGACACACTGGTTGCTGAAGGCTGCCCAGGTGTACAAACAGCAGGTCCATGACATGAAGAATGTGACATTCAAAATCAATAACTTTACTAAACAGATTCTAATAATGGTGCTCATTGATCTCACAAACAGTGCTGAAACATTCGACCTCACCTCCCTAGTGCATCAGCTGACAAATATATTCTCTATCCTGGACACTTACACAACTTGTGATGACCACCTACAATTCTACATAACTGAAGTAAAAAGGGAACTGACAATCATAAAGTTTTGTTTAGAAAACAATTGTAAAATAATGACGACTTCCATATTTAGTCAAGTGTTGGCACAGAGTGCTCTCGCCGTGATATCTCAAGTATGTAGGCTTTCTAAAGTAGATAGGTATAAAGTTTCGAGACTTTTAAATACAAACAATGATTTTATAGCAGAGTTGAAAACTTTAAAAAATAAAATGACAAACAAGAGTCAAGAGAAATCTAGCTCTAACTGGGATGTAATGACGTATAATAGTTACTGTGCAATAACTAAAATAATTGACACAATAGTCAACTCCTCTGAAGGAGTAGATGACTCTCAGAGTACTGTGTCTTCCCTGGATGAACTCAAACGCCTAGTGCTATCAATTCAACCTTTACAGAGCTGCATAGAAGTGATAGAGAACATTTTCTCGTGTCTCTTCTTGAGATATGAATACTTTTCTTGTCATGAGCACAGTCAGGACTACCCTTGCGGAGCTCACTCGGATTGTTCGTACTTCTATGCCAAGAAACAGACATCGACCTCGAAGAACATAAACAGCAGTAATGCAGGGTTTATGTGTAACTCGTATACAACTCAACTAGTACTGAATACTTTGAAATTATGTTTGGAGACTTTAGAAGAGAAGTTTCAAGTGGATGATGAGCAGGAGGTGTTTCTGAGGCTTAAGAAGTTGGTAAAGGTGGTTAACCATTCGATTTGGAAGCTGCAGTTGGTGTCGACATTGTCTCCGGACATGAGCCCCTTGCCTTTGAAGCTGTGTTTGGATTACGTGGAAGTGGACGAGAGCAGTGATGACGAGGCTCGAGAGATGGACCTCAAAGTGTTCAGGAAGAAACCAAAGACAAGACGGAAGAATACGAGCTCTAAACAAGATGTTGAACAAGTAATGTTTGCTTCTACTGTGTCTGATGAAAGTGAGTGTTGTTCAGTATTTTTGTCTCAAAGGTCACATTAAATAAATTTCCTTTTTAGTTGCTAAGCGTTTTGAAAGCATCCGATAAATCGATAAGCACAGTGTCTCTGTCAAGTCGAGTAATATGCTAAGCGATTTGGTAATTTTATGCTAACACTACATCCGCATCAATAACTCCTTAGTCTGCCATAAATAGCTTGGAACACTTGATAATTGTAATCAGCTTCTTATTTCTTTCAGCTTATCCATCCAAAAAAGGGAATGGGATCGACTTTATATCGATAATGCTAGCCAAACCGACCAGCCTTGTGGCGCTTGCACTGTACCATAATGACTTCTCTAAAGCGAACCAAATATTGGAGGTATGTGGTTTTGTAAATACTCAATTCTTTTAATGCACAAAACGAATTCATCTTGTAAATATTTCGGACACTTCAGTTTAAGACAACATCCTAATATAATACGGCAAAAAATTGCGATCTTATAGCTATTTCGCCTCTCTTCTCTCCTCTCCTGTCCTCGCTTCACCCAAGTTAATAGGGAATTAACGATTTGCTATAAAGGGTTTGCTATTAGCCATAATCCTGCTTGGCAGACGGGTTGAATATATAGCAGTTACGTCATCGAAAGTGTAGCGTATGCTGTTACTCTACCTTCGGCGACGGGTACCATAACTGTATTCTGTTTCATCACTATCAGCTATGTGATTATACCTTCCATTATACTTTTACTACAAAATAAAAAATAAAATTCTATAATATTTTAATGAAATGTTGAAACTCTTCGTAACATTCCTTCTCTCTTTCAGTAGGCTCGTAAAGTATTTCTCCACCTTTAGTTTTAAATATACCCGGCGGGTACAACACTACGTATCGTTTCGCTTCTTCTATTGTCTGTCGCGGCTTGAAGAACTTGCAACAGAGACAGCAACAACACCAACCTGAGGGAAAAAGAGATGGAAGATAGCTAAAAAGATTTTTTAATAGACCCTATTTCTTTAAGACATTTTGATTGCGCAACTTATGATGCGATGGTGATGTCTAGAGATACTAAGCGACAGACACCAAAACAAACACTAATGCTAATTTGGTTGTTGATAAACATTTGGTTGCGCAACCAAGTCGACCACAGGTTTTGTTCCAAGCTACATCCAACTGCTTTGTGCGACCTAATATCAGGTCGTCTTCGCAAGATGGGTTCTTGCGAATAGACGAAGTGTGTTGAATTTAAAATAATGCAACTTTTCTTTGTGTCTTAACATAAAGATTTTTTTATTAACGCGAGGTTCACTCGTCGTATTTCTACATCATTCAGTTCCGCCCCCGTTTCGTCATACAATGAAACATTACAATTCTGAATCATTTGCGAATTACCTTTAATGAAGTACTAATATCGATTTCATTTTATTCACAAAATCCCAGCCCTTATCTTTACATCACGTGCAAATCCATGTATGATCAGTATTTTCCGTCAACATAAAATTATAGTACAGTATCAATTGCCATGGAAAAGTAGCCCTTAATGTTAAGGAAATAAAGGCGTTGTCGCTAGGCAAATATGTAGTACTTTTCAGCAGAATTGCCTATGAGTTAGCTAAGCCTTGACTTTGTTTACTTTTGTTGTTTATTTAGTTACTGTTCTGACCTCGCTACTTCCTATAAATAGGTACGCTGGGTGATGTTTAGTTAATCAAATTACTACCTTAGTGCAAAGGAAATAGTGATGGAAATTGCACTTACGTGTTAATTGCCAGTAGACTACATTTGAATTTACCTACAGTTTTATCGTGATAGTTGTTGATATAAATACTTTTTGTTTGAGAGAGAATTTGTGTCAACATTATCGGTATAGGTGAATGTACCTTTCGTGAAATAGGCCGAAAGATAATACAGTCTGGACGGTTTTGTACTCATACAACCATTTTGAATATTTAAATCGTCATTTCATTAAACATATATAAAAAACAAAGCACATGTTGCCTTTTTCAATTTATCTACAGGAGATTCAACTCGAACATGGATTCATGGGTCGCTAGGATCCATAAATCCAAATTGTTGTTCCAGATTTAACATAAGTGACTCCCCAGCTTTAGTAATAATTTAAGACTCAAAGTTACATTTTACAAAAAAAAATCTACCTACAACCTTTGTACCCTACTATTTTTTATTTTAACGTTAATGTATATTCCATTTATTTAACTCGTCGAGTACCGGTTTTGTAGACACAATTATAGAACAATAGGTTGCGGTCACCGGTGACCGCTTGGTGTTTGACAGTTTAAGGTGTACAATAAAGGTTATTATTATTATTATTAAAAATAAATCATCTAAATCATACTTTCGATCTCAAACTAACAAGAACCAAGTAAGAAAGAAAAAGCAACGTATTTACTAACATTAACACAATGTTACATTAGTTATATCTTTAGTTTACGCAATGACTGTAAGCTGGTTCATTTAATTAATTAATTATGCGGTACAACGACATACGTGCGCATTGTAAACACACAGGTTATCGCTTGTTTTCGCTACAATGTAATGTTCCTACATTATTCTACTTATTATACAGAGATAACAGACCCTTAACTAGGAATTTATTATGTGTAAACCTCCTTAGATAAAAATCTAGGTAAAATACTATTTGGTTGTCTAGGTAATAAGTAATATAATGACAAGAACTTTGAAAAAAAAAGGCGGACACAGTCACTTGAAACAACGACTGTGGCACATGGCTACTATAGACTTACACGCAGAACATACACACATTGTCACGAAGGACATCTGTCATGTTCTTAAGTCTGGTAACCCTACACACGCACACATAAATAATCCACTGACATTTTGGTGCTTCAATCATTTCTAAATGGTGATATTATGTTCGCATTTCTTCAACGTATACTGATATGACTTACTTTCCATTATATGACCCGTCTGCTTATTTGCCGCAATATACGTATATGTATAAGTTAGTATTTATAGAGACCTAAAATTGATTTTGTCGATCACTATTTCCCTTGTTAAACTCTTTAAACACATACGTTCTTATATATTATAACCACTTCATCTAGATTTATCTACGGTGGAGTTTAGTTTAGGTTTCCGATTGCACAAATAGCTTCCAAAAATGGCAAGATGTCCTTGTTTGTTACTTAGTGTAACTTGAGTGAGTAATATTCTGATAGACCTTTTTTTGTTAAAGGACTTCTCCCGCCTGGGTGAGGCGGGAGGGAATGTCAGTTGCTGACTAAAAACCACCCCGTTTCTGATAGGCCTACATAACAAATTACTTATTGACTACACCGTTATACTGATAAAACAAGCAATATTTTTCCTGTTTTCAGCTGTTGAGTATAAAAGAGCTTATCGCAATGTGAAAAATTAATGTAGGTACCTATGCAGGTTCTTTGAATACATGAAAATTCATTATTTGAATACAACCAATGAATGATTTTGATAATGTCTCAATCAATGGCAACACAAAGTCCAGACTTTGCCAGGCATAATTCCAGATATATGATAATAGACTCGACATTTTTACGTATTCTAGTAGTTTAATCTCTACGGACTACTTGTACAAACTGTTATTAGTGTATGTTACATTGTATATTTTTATGTAAGCACACCTCTGCCTTCTCCTTTACTATTAAAAGGCATTAACATTATGTTAGGTACGATAAATTATTAAGTTATATTTACCTCTAGTGCACCACAAAGGTATAGCCACGGCTAAGTACACAAGGAACCATACGAAGAAGATCCTCCAAAGCCTGGCCATTACATCTCTCAGCGTATACCGGTGGTTGATATAGTCTTCTATCAAGCACTTCATTGCAATCAACCCTATCCCGTCCACATAAGAGCAATTTGTCACATCACTTCTGAACGATAATAATTTCATAAGCTCATTCCAAATTCCGTATTGCGATATTGTGGTCACTGGAAAAGAATAAAGAGATTTTTAGTAAGATTGACGTCGAGAGGAGTGCCAAGAGGCTCCTCAACGATGATGCGCTTGTGGAGGTCCGGTTTCAAAGCCTCAGACACAGGCGTAAGGTTGCAAGCCTTTCGGTTTTCTACCGGACACATTTCGGTGAGTGTGCAGGAGAATTGCACAACGTGATTCCCCCTAGTCCTTTCCATCATCGTACCACAAGACAATCGGCGAAGCGTCACCGATTCATGGTAGATGTCCCACCCACACGCACAAAGCGTTTCGCATCAAGCTCCCTTGTGCGTACTGCTAAAGATTGCAATTCTTTGCCACTTTTGCCAGAGTCTGTATTTCCTGAAGGGTATAACCTGGGAGTCTTCAAGGCCCGAGCGAATAGGTTGTTTATGGGTCGACGAGCTCCGAGCGTAAACCGCATCATCGCTAACTACCAGGCGAGATAGTGGTCAAACGTCGGGCCATCAAATATAAAAAAAATCTTCTCTTCAAAAAGATGAATTATCAAATAATTCTAAGATTGTTCTACGTATGTTTTCATCTTTAGGCTTTCCCCTTCTATATCATGTTGAGAACACTGTTATGCACTAGGCACAATGGCCCAATAATAATTTTGGACACAATACAAGACCAAGATTCTCATTTTATGTTCTGATTTATCGTTACATCAAAAGCAATAAATTGTAATATGGGCATTGCTATTGTTAAGTAAAAACGCGGGTTACTCACGTGAATATACTGAGAAAAGCTCTACTAGTTTCGAACCACAGAGGGGTTCTTCCTCATGAGCAGCGTGCGCGGTCGCGGCGACGTCGCGCAGCTCACTGAGCTGCGCGACGAACCCCTCTGTGGTTCGAAACTAGTAGAGCTTTTCTCAGTATATTCACGTGAGTAACCCGCGTTTTTACTTAATTTAGTATGTCTCACGATAGTTATTATAAAAACATTGCTATTGTCTTGGCTTTTGAACTAAATTCTTAAATGATCACGTGTATTAGTCATTTCATATGTTCATTAATTAGAGAGCGTGGAATTTACCTGCTTTACTCATGTGATACGCATTGCTGGACTGAGATTCCTTGATCGCTTCATCATTATACTCATTCACTAATTCATCGTAATCGTAAGTTTCTTCAGTTTCCGTTTCAATTTGTCTTTTATTCGTTTTAGTTATAGACCTCTGGAATTAACATACATTTATAAATATGATAGAAATCGTACGGGTTTTTAGGCATTTGTAGCGTGGTTTGTTCATGTGCAGGCCTTACTCAAAAAAATTATTTCAAACAATGATATTATGACTTATCAATGTTTTGGTTTAAAATTTTTTTTTCTTTTGTTTAAGTGCGTCTGGTTTTGCACATATTTGTTGCTAGCGGTCATTGATGCCACAGCAACAGCTGATCATACAAAATACAACTGTACAATGCGGGTTTAACTAAATCGATACAATGATTATTATTCATTGCTCATAATTAAATAAACCGAGACACTGATGTGAATACATTATTGTTGTCTGTAAATTAAGATTAGATCATGTTGCCATTTCTAAAAAAAGGATATTCCTTTATAAATGGGGTTTAAATCCATTACATATAATCTGCCATATTAGAAGTTACTTAAAATAGGCAATTCATTATATGAATGTTCAGCTGGTGGTAAATTTTGATATCATTCAATTGAAGAAGATAAATTTAAAGTAAATAATGAAATTCGTTGATTAATTATAGATTCTCAAATAATAATTAATATAAATAAAATTGCTAATAATGAAATATATGATCCTAAAGATGAAATAATATTTCATGAAATATAAGAGTCAGGATAATCTGAATAACGACGAGGTATCCCAGCTAATCCTAAGTATTGTAATCACCAAAAAGTCTTTTTAACGTCCAGTCCACAAGGAAATATTATACCTTCTTTCCATGAGTGGCGCTGATCGCTTACCATTAGGTGATCCGTCTGCTCGTTTGTCTCCTATTCCATTTCGGTCAACAATCTCACCTAGGTACTAATAACATTATTTAAAACTAAGCATTATGTATTTGCTTTAAGACATAAAATACTAAATTTACTAAAAACCACGGATTACACACGTGAATATATACTGAGAAAATCTCTACTAGTTTCAAGCCACAGAGGGGCTCCCCGCTAACCCCGCGATTTTTAGTTAATTTAGCATGTCTCACGATAGTTATTATAACAGAACAATATCCTGCTTACCGGTTCTGGATACGTGGTCAACTTCTTCTCCTCATTTCCCTTTGCAGATATTATCTGCAGACTAGGTTCGTACGGCTGTTTAACCATCTTCGCTTTTACTTTATATACTTCAAAATTTTCATTTCTCGCTATCCTGCAAACGTGCGGCAGTGTTCCCTCATACATATGAGCCTTTTAAACTTCGATCCTCAACCTGACTACCTAGCGTGGAAATAATGGCAAATAACCCTTACCCCTGCGAAAACGGACGTCGTGCTCCATCGTAGACCGCATCATCGCTTACCACCAGGCGAGATAGTGCACAAACTTCGACCCATCAAATATAAAAAAAACAAGTAGCATAGTCAAGGGGAGGGCATAGTCCAGCAATGGACTGTCGTAGGCTCTTGAGAAGATGTCAGTTTGTTTGTTCTCCAAAATATAGTACCAAACTAAAGTTAAGCTCGTAGTTTCTTGACCCTATACTCATTTAAGCCTTACGCTATCTTCATAATACTTCTATTAATATCTGACCCAGTTTGTCTATTGCGACACTTGTCTATCAATTAATGCCTAGTTCATATTGTCTTATCATATTCATCTTAAAACGATCTACATTTGTTATTTAAATTAAGTTTATTTCGATTTCCCCTTTGGTCAATAACTGAACCTATACGAAATCAGATATTACTGTAAAGTCTTCAGAAAAAAAAAACTTTCTTCAAGAGCTCAGTAGGAGCTCTTAGATAATAAAATCATCTTAAGACCTTTATAGGACTTAACATAACATAACATCACGCCTTTTATCCCCGAAGGGGTAGACAGAGGTGCACATGATAGCACTTAATTCCACTGTACAACGTAACATGCAATTTTCACTATCTACCTATATTATGAGTCCCATGCAACAGGGGGTGAGCCTATTGCCATATACCGGGCACAATTCCAAACTTTGTGCTACTACTACTACTGGGATTTTTAAATACCCAGTAACACTTGCTTGGCAGTCGCACTTGCGACCACGCGGCCAACGAGGCATCCCTTATAGGATTGCTGGTATTTCAATTATTAGCGCTTTTTTTCCCCATCTCGGGTGAGTCGAAAGAGACTCACAGATTATTACTGACTAAAAACCACCCCGTTCCTACTCCTGCTGGAGTTCCGGTAACCAGTTAGGTTGTCCGCAAATACAATTTAAACAATTTACATGATTATCATACTCATCCAATTCCTTAAACTTGTATTTTTCTTTGTCTATTTTAAATTCTTTCAAGTGTTTCTCATCTATCATTTCGTAATCATCATCAGTTATCATAAGATCCACTTTGTAGTCCTTGTCGTCTTTAAGTAAAACGTTATATGTATCTTGAAGTATAAAGGCTTTTATACTCATTACGTTATAAAGCCATAAAGATATGAGCCAATACATATTCTTATAATATTATTATTATTGTAATAATGGTCGTTTACAAACATTAACAAGTTCTTGACGCATGACGGTCTAAACGTCCGTTTGACATTGCAACTTTTTTTTATTTAATGGCATTAACATGTTCAAGTAAAGAGGTTGATCATCTCGAATGATCTTTTTTATTTTTGTGTGTATGTTTATCACAAGTTTTGTTCTCAATCAAGAACAAAAATAACAGGTCCATGAGAACGTTTTGTAATGCAATTTTTTTTTTGCAGATGTTCGACTTAGCAGATTCCGAAATAGCTACAGAAGTAACATTTACGGAGCAACTGCGAAACTTAATAGCAAAGATTAAAAATATCATTTACTATAGAGATGACACTCGGTACGCTACCAAAGAACTTTCAGCTTTATCTGTTGTTTCGACTGAAGTTATGGGACTTGTAGAAGGTTTTTTAGCGTCGAACAGAGCTCCGAATTCCTTCGACATTATAGAACTAGGCGCTAGACATCCACACTTACAACTATACAACCATCAAAATGCTCCATTCATAAACGCTGTAGACATTTTATTAAGCAGTGGTCTCAATAGAGAGATCACATACGGACTAATAAACGTTGTAGAAAGAAAACTAGCCGAAGTAAGAAATTCCACTGACATAGCTGCCGTTAAGAAAACAAATTACATACGCTTCGTAGAAGACATTGCTAGCGTTACCTTCGAGATTTTTGGGAACACAGAAAAGTCTTTCAACTTCATCGACAATATCTGTGAGTTGATAACGGACTGTAGAATACCAATCAAACATAAAGATTTCTGCAAATTGAATCAATTGGCCAAAGAGCTTAGGCAATCCTGTGAGGACTTGATTGACGTAGTCACCCCGAATGAGACCGTGGAGATTGATCCCAATTTATTGCAGAAATATCATCAGATTTATATGAATGTCGTGGCAGCATCTGACAAGGATTTGTGCAACATAAGCGAGGTGTCTCGACAAGGAAGTAAGAAGGCGCGCATCCCATATCTACGGATGTGTTACATGTACTGCAAAACGGTGTCTCAATTAGAACAAGAAGACAATCGTTCCGTAGACAGCGGCTCCGACGTGCCCTACTTCGCGGTACTCGAACGGCAACTCCATGACATTTTCGGTCACATGATCAACAACAAAGAAATCCCAGTCACAAATCTGGAACCTATCTGCAAGAAGCTAAACGTGAATCTTATACCAAAGCTCATATTGAACTTTTGTCCTTCAATCACATTGGCTGGGCCTCCAAAAGAAGCCAGTGAGGTCAACTTTAACAATCTACTCCACGTTGTGTACGATTTCAAGAATCCAGAAGAGAATTTGTTCTTGGATCCCGTTACGAACTTCGCTCCCTTGCCGCGAGCTCCAGATCCACAGTGCCTTACTTACGTAGTGCTACACAATTGGGTCCTAGCACACATTATCAAGAAGATCCATACATCTCCAAACGAGAACAGTTTGCAACAGAGTATGGATGCACGAACGAAGTGTTTGAACAATTATATGGAGCTGGAGCGGTTCAATTGCACGAAAGATTTATATGGCAACAACAAATACTTGGCATCTCTTCATACTACCGTCGACTTAGACAAGCTGTTCTTGTTCATGCCACAATTACTTGAAGCCGGAAAGATTTTAAAATGTCTGAACATAATAGACTCGTTGTCAGAGCGACAGTTAATGTGTAGTGCCAATTTATCCAATTTGAGGGACTTGATTCTCTTCAAACTGGCGACAAATCCGAAGATTGCGAATAACTGGAAGTATTGCCAATATCTGAAGTGCCCTGAGTTGAAAGTGGACCTTATTTTGAACAACTTAAGCGTCTGGCCCGCGGATGGGGCTCTTGAAGTTTTGGATTACCTGCGGTTCTTGCTTAACCAAGACCTTCTAGATGACGGATTACATGAACGATGTTCTGATTGGATTATTAAAATACCTTTGTACGACCAGGTATAGTGTTCGTCCTAGATTCATTTCAAAAATTCGCTTCCTTACTAACATGTCATAATGCTTTTGATATGATATTACAGATTGCTGCTATAATGGGTGCGAGTCATTGGTACAATATTTACGAAAAATCTACAGAAAACCCTGAGAGCGTCATCGAAGTTCTTATGGATAGTCAACAGGTAACACACTTATTCTTATTGTTATTTGTTCCCAATTCTTTTTTGACTAAAAAATACTAATTCATTGTCTTATTTTCAGTTTAAACTGTGTCTGGAATGGGCAGACGCTCACGAAGTGTCAGAGAACATGAAGAACTTGATCGTGATGAATCTCCTTCGACAAATGTTCGAATATACGAACCAGGCGACACCAGACCTTGTACACCAACTTCTGCTGAGGCTCCCAACATCACAGGCCATGGACCTCATTCAAGACGAAATGTCCAAAGTCCGAAATGTAGAAATACTCCAAGTTTGCGTAGACTTCATATCAGAAAACTCATTCGATTGGAAGTCTTTTGAAAACATCAAAATAGGTCTACAAATTATGCTTGAAATCGATCCGAATTGGCGACATCTGTTCTGGGATCTCATTGAGAGCCCTCTACTGATGATCGAGCAGTTCCTAATGAATGCCAAGTTGGATGTCCTCGCTAATATCATAAACAAGATCTCACCGAGCCTGAAAAAGGATCCGAGTGGCGACAATCTATACTACAATATTAAATCGATTGAGAGTTTAGTTATATCGAAGAATGCTGTGGATGCGTTGTTGAGATTTTATGCGGAGAAGGCTTTAGACATGAAGAATCCGAGGAATGTGTGTCCAGCGCCACCGAAGCCTTCAGACGACTCTTTGTTGCAGTCGATAGATTCTATTAACATTGAGGCTGCAAATATGCCGTTTATAATGCCGGAGCAAGTCCCAAGCAAGGAGCAGTGGACTGAGGACTATTCGACTGACCGATGCATGCTCTGCAGGACGTCGATGTTTTCTATGATCATTCGGAGACATCATTGCAGGAGATGTGGTAGACTTGTGTGCCACGCTTGCTCCCGCCATAGGATGCAAGTGCCAACGTACCCGAGTGGAGTTAAATTCAGAGTATGCGATGACTGTTACACCCAAACGATGCACAAGAAGGCTAATTCCGAACATGATATGATGTTAAGCAGTAATTCTGACTCGGCGGGCAGTGGAGTGACATGCATGGACTGGTGTCTGTCCACTAACGCGAACAGGAACGATGCTGTTAGAACTGAGTTTGGGTACGAGTTCACGCCTAATGTCACATTGTGTTTGTCTATCATGAAGATGCATTCTATCAATTTGGATTATCCGAGGTGAGTGTCTGTTTTTTTGTTGTATATAATACTTTGAATAAGTGAGATGGTCTCACTTGGTAGTAAGTAGTTAGTCTAACCAAACATTTATTTGCAGCACCCACCACTTTTGGTTAAATAATTAATTCATTTCGACTGAATTTTACAATAGTGAATGATTTATTTTTTCCATTTTTTATAATTTTCTTTGTATTTAAAATCTTTTTAACATTTTCAGGTTCCTTCTAGATCGTAGCGACGAAGTAGCGCGTGAGTTGTCTCGCGGTGGCGACGCGCGCCTACTGGTGCGCGCGCGCCGCTCCCTACTACTCGCTGCTGCAGAACTGTACTCAAGGACTCCACAGGAATCTGTGTAAGTGGCATTTAGCATCAATATATTATATTTGATTGACTATTACATAGAACTCTTACGATATTGAACATAATATACAATAAATAAGCGACGCTTTGAACATTTAACCAAACAAAAATTAGGTTTTAATAAACGTTCGATGTTCGATAATCTGGACATTACCATTCGATAATTCTGAAAGTGTTTGTATTTGATTTGGTACCTACACCCTCTTTGTGGATTGGTGTGGAACTGTGAATGACAGACATGGATCTCGTATAAGAGTGTTGTTGTCAAATTACTTGAATTTTAATTAAAAATAAATTATATTGACTGTTCAATACAATAAAATAGTAAAAAATATTCACACTTCCATTAATCGCTTTTATAACTAACTTAATTTTAGCATTTTTTCAGCAAATTTTTTAAAAATAATATTGCTGTTTGACGCTAAAAAAACGTGACGTCACAATACACGATCTCGTACAATATTCATAGAAAATTGTCATTTTTGACAGTTCGAAAGAAGTATTGAATTTGAGTAATTGGCAAATATTAAATATATTGTCGTCGTACGTCAGTGCGGGCGGTAGACTGGTGGTGGCGGAGACGGGCGCGCTGCACGCGGCGCGCTGCCTGGCGCACGCCGACGCCATGGCCACGCTCGTCACGCACCAGGCGCAGCATCTGGTGCCGCACCATGGAGCGCATCCTAGTCAGTACACCTTCACTACCTAACTTACTTTCAGCAAACCATGGTCCGTCACGAATAGTCCAGCTCTCTCTCAAGCGTGGCGATTAATGCTCAAACCTTCTACGTGCGAGAAGACGTTTTGGTCAGCAGTGGCCACTTATAGGATGAGTCCAGCTTGATCAGAATCATACCAGCCTCACAGATAACTTGGTACTGTGATTTAGGTTGCTGGAGAATCAATCCTCCCCCACATCCCCAATTCCCCAATCCTTAATTCCCTGACCCTTAAAAGGCCGGCAACGCAATTGTAACTCAACATTTTGTATTTAATCTTAAGAAGAACCCACTTTTTCTTTTACAGGTCAAATAGTAAGATCACTCCTAGAAGCTGAAAAATGGGAGCTTGCTCTAGAAATAGCGACAAAGTCAGGTTTACCAAGAAACAGCGTGCTTGCGGCTTGGGGCAAAGCGTGTTTGAAAGCAGGCTGCTTCAAGCAAGCCAGAGAAAAGTTTGCGCATTGCTTCAAAAGCGCATTAAACGTTTGCGCAGAAGTTACAGAAGATTGTGAGATTGGTAAAGAGGCTTCGGAATCTCAGTTTATAAATAGAAGATTGCATAGTATGAGGTATTCTGAACGCACTAGTTCTATGTCGAGCGTACAATCGGATGGGCGGCCGCGGTCCAACCCGCCTTTACTGAACGAAATTATATGCATGCTGGAAGATATGAACTATCCCGTTAACCAGCAGTTGCTGATCAAAGCAGAGACTATTAAGGTAAGTACAAGCAATACAAGTAGTGTATTTATTAGTGTAGAATTGTACAAAAATAAGCTACTTCAATTTGTCATCTATTGATGGAATTCCAACCTTCCTATTTTGTAATAAAGTCGAAATCTATTCTAGAAGGTTCACAGTTTGTGATATTATAATTTGATACCTGACAGTATGTACCCTAACAGTCATTTTAGAGTTAAACACCAACAATATTAGTTTACAACTAATGCAAAATTGCCAATTATAAATACATTTCCAGTCAACCAACGAGAAACTAACAACAATGAACACGAACAAAAAGAAGATACAACTAAGCGAACCAGCTTTAAACATAATGCATACACTGGCCAGTGTCAGAAAGATCAAGCAAGGAGACTATAGTGACTTCCAAACTGCTACAGTCCAGCCTAAGAAGAGCTTAGCCCAAGGTCTTTTGCGAAGGAACAATAACCACACCGAACCGAAGATAGACCATCAACACAAAAGACTGGATCCGTTCTTTTATAAAGAATGCGTCTATTATTTAACTAACTATGGGTCTCATACTGCAAATATAGCTTTTTATATGAAACATAGTAATTTGAGTGAGGTCATCAAATATTGCTATGATAATCTGGTCGATAAGGAGACTTTTACTGAGTCTGTATACATGGATTGCTTGAAGAAAGACAAGGTCAATGATCTTTTGAAGGCTATGTCGGATATTGATAGTACGCTCGATATGTGGTCGGTGAGTAGGTAGTTCTTTCTTATGTTTCAATATCTTAAAATATGTTTAGACAATTGTCTACAGAAATTCTTATTGTTTATGTTTTAATGCGATGTATGAAATAAAATGAAATTATATTATTGAATTGCTATTTAAAATTGTAATTTTTGTTGTGATCTGAAAGTTACTAGTATCGCTTAAAATATTTTACGCAACTTGCAAATATAAAACATCTAGTTTTAGACGTCGTAATATTTTTAGCGCAAACTTTTGTTCAAAACAATCCTGCGCAACAGTTTGCGCAATATTTGCGCAACAATTTTCAAACGGTACTTCTGACATTAAAATACTTTTATATTCACAGGAGTACATAATGCACATTTGCCGAACGCTCGAGATGTCGAAGCGCCTAGAAGCGCTATACGGCGTGCAGTGCGGTAGCGGGCAACACGCGCGCGCGGCGGCCACGTGCGCGCTACTATATGCGCGCCCCGCGTCCACGCCCGCGCGTCTGTACTCCGCCTTACATGCCAGGCAGCATCACCTCTCCGCAGCTCTAAGTCATCTGTCACACTGTGTTCCTGCACCCACTAGTAAGTGTGATCATACGAATATTATAGAATCGTTCATTTCCTCGTGGAGTGACGGCAAAAAATAACATATTTGGCTCCTTCTTCTCTCAAACAAATGTCGTAAGGGCCGATTATGTCGCGGAGAACCTAACGGGTAACCGGGGCTCTGACTCGACGTGCAGGAGAAGGAACGGGGTGGTTTTTAGTCAGTAAGAGTCTGACACTCCCTCCCGCCTCACCCAGACGGGAGCAGTCATTCAATGATTTTGCCCCCTTAAAAAAAAAGGGCCGATTATAGGAATACATAATTTTTTGACAAAGACCAGGCAACTGTATTCTCTGATCAACCTTTTGAACTGCGAGTTTGAACCCGGAGATTATGGCAAACTACTCGATTGAAAAGAAGGTCCATAGTTTAGCATTGGACTAATAATTTCTGTCCATCAGCGCCTTCAAAAAATTGGATAGTTTCCTGGTTCAAATATAAATTATTTTGATTTTTCAGTCCAATTAAATATTTAGTTAGTTTCATTCATTGATTTGCCGGTGTACTTAATTTTCGATTTATTCTAGCAAATTTTTTAGTTGTAAGTGTGCTATTTGACGCGAAAATATGATGACGTCATAAGATGGTATTTCATACAAAATTCATAGAACAGTATCGTTTTTGACGTTTCCATAAAAGTATTGAATTTGACTAGTTGTCAACTACCGTATTGTTGAAAATTACCTGCAGACTCGCTACAACCTTCTACAAATATTCTTATATATATTCGAAAATCATCAAATCCGTAACAAACGATACTAATTTATGCCTCTACCGTTAATTTTCAGAAACAAGTGACTCGAGATCATTTCACTTCAACCTAGACAAAGCAACTATAGACAATTTAATGACCACAATAACGCGACAGATGGAGCTTGCGAAGTACCTCGCATCATGTGAAGCTAGTGGAAGGCTCACTGAAAAAGTATTAAACGAAGCTATACCTATACAGAATGCTAGGAAGGAGAATGAAACGTCTGATGTACGACCTCTAACGCTATTTGGATCGACTACAGATAAAATAAGACTCGTAGCTGTTGTTCTCGCTAGTGGGCCTACCATTGAAGTTGGATTCGAATTGGCTATCAAGTAAGTGGATTATACATTTTCAGTAAAATTTTGCCTAGGGTTTTCATTTTGGAGTCCCTTGGCTGGCGCTAAGATCGCCTAAAGTCCTATTAGTATTTTCATTGTCTGACCAATAAATGGCCTATCAGGATATCACTAAGTGTTGATTAAAAACTTATATTATGCAGATCCACTAGAATCCAGACCCACATAACTGTCATAGTTAAGTTAGTAAACCAAATTTTAGGATGAAACGAAACGTGAACATTTGTTGTTTTTTTTATAACTTTGATTCATATTCATACTCTTTAACAAATTTTCGGTATTTTTTCCAGGATCATAACAGAACACAAGTTGGACTCAATGAACATCTACATTCACGTGGCGAAGTTCCTGGTACATTCCGACAGGTTCATGGAAGTTAAGACGCTGGCCAAATGTGTGCGGGCATCTAAAGAAACTGCAGCTAGGTAATATAAAAACATTGTGACATTGTGTTGTCAAACCTTATAACCACCCAAAGAGTAGACTGGAAACATAATATATTTATTAATTATGTAACATAACATAACATCACGCCTTTTATCCCCGAAGGGGTAGGCAGAGGTGCACATTATGTCACTGTACAATGTAACACCCACTTTTCACTATTTATGTTATGAGTCCCATGTAATAGGGGGCCTGATGCCATATATCGGGAACAATTCCAGACTCCGTGCTACTTCTGAGATTTTTTTTAAAACCCAGTAATACATTTAACTACCCGGGAGTCGAACCCGAGACCCCTTGCCCAGCAGTCGCACTTGCGACCACTCGGCTAACGAGGCAGTTATTAATTATGTATTTAACAGTATCTTCGTAGATAACCAGCGTTTAATATATTTTGCATTGCGTTTCGCTCAGTCACTTCTTCTTTCCCCCAAAGCCTGTAAATCCTTTGTTCGATGGACGGCGACAATTTCTCATCATCAGTTGACCAGTCTGCTCGTTTATCGCGGAACCACTTTGTCTCTCTCTTCAAAATGCCCGTTATAAAAACGATACTGTAACTTCTCATTGTATATATTTCAGTCTAATGAGTGATCAAGTGTTGGAGTCGGGAGTGAGTGCGGTGGTGACGCGGTGTGAGTCTAGAGGGCAGCTCTACGATGAACAGGCAGAGATCCTTATTGCCGATATACATAGTGTCACTATCAAGGTGAGAGTACATATTTACCATTTGTAATGGCCATTTTTATTCTTTGAAAGAATAGCAGAGGTCTGTATTACATGTAAAACCTAGTTTTCGGTTTTTAGTTTAATCAAATGTAGTAAGCTGGTAAGACTGTTAATTTTTATTACATTCTGTGTTACAAATATAAATGTTTTAGGTATAAATATAAAGCTTAGAATTGGACAGTGGTACATACTGCGATTTTAAAAATCAAATCTTAGAGCCAATACAGTCCACTTTGTAACCTTTTTTGCATTGTTCATACCTATCTGTGAGAAAAAGAATTGGCAATATAACTACCTAAACTTGTATCACAATATTTGATAATAGGAAGTTGAAAAAATAAGGATTCATTTGTTCCCAGATATCCTGTTACCTAGTATGTCGCAATGTAAGCAGCGCCTACATTCTCGCAGCACGCAATGACCGGACGAATGATCTTCGCAGAGTATTGCAGGAAGCTGAGAGGCTCGGCAACGACCAAGTCAGGAATGCTTGTCTCAAAAGACTTACTTCTAAGAATGTCCCATGAAAGGCAAAAAAGATTCTTGCCCATAGATTATGGTTAACTTTTTGACAGCTCTTAAGACAAAGCAAGGAGGCTGTTTGTCTATTTTTATACTGTGTGTCTATAAAAGTGTAACACTCTTTTTAACGCCTAATGCAATGTGTGCGCTTTGGAGCAATCTTAAATATAAAAACAAATTGTAAATAGTACCAATGACAATATTCTCATTTATGATTCAAGTGGAGTAGTTATTTATTTCCAAATGGGACGTTTTCTGACTGAAAATATTTATTTCAGTTATAAATTAAGCTAATTTGAAATTAAATTTCTATGATAATTAAAAAAAATAAATATATAAAAATTCGTAATTTTATATAATGTGTAAATTATCACATTGTAGGGTATAAAATCAGGTGCTTACATATTAATTAAGGAGCTATATGTAGCATTTTGTGTATGGGAAAAATATCATGTCGCTTCGGATTAAAATATTAAATGGCTTTATGTGATACTGGTTCATTATAAGAATAAGGCAGAATGGATTGTAAGCTTTTGTCACCATTAATAAAGATTTAACATAGTTCAGTAAAAAAGAAAATATATTTATTTATTTACTCATGTAACTTGGTGCAATTACTGCCTAGCGTGTTCAATTGTGATACTTGAATATGTATATTTTTTAAAATTAATTATAAATTATTAATATTTTCATGGCTTCTAGCAATTTTAAAACCAGTATTATTTCTGATGGTGTTCAATATTTCATGGAATATTCACAAAAATATGTAATATATTTTGATAAGTGATATGAGTAAATTATCATTATGTTAAAAATTCTAATGTTTTGATTGTATTAACTGCAGAATGTATTGGTCTCATATTGTGATATCATTGTAATGTTAACTCATAATCTTCAAATCATATTATTCTATAAAATAAAGATTTTTATAAATATTGGCAGTGTTTTGAATTTAACTTTACCTTTATAAATTAAAACACAAAAGCACATCTGATAAAACTTTATTGGGAGAATGTAACAAAAAATATTGTTATAAAAATCAGGTGCATTGGACGATGGTCAACGACTTAACTGCGTCAGCATCTCTAGCAACAGCAGGTAAGACTCCAACTCTTCGGATCTCACAGAGAGAAGAGCACACTTCAATGGACCTCATCCTACGAGCTAGGACATCACGGTGGTATATAGCAAAGTTCACATTTTGTTCATAACACTATATTGCGCACTTCATTATCAGTCTTGACACATTGTCTTCACATAGCATGGTTACTGTGTAGCCATCGCTTTTTTCTTCGGCTTTTTCAAACGTTTTAACCCATTCACGCTAGTTTTCAGTAAATTGGAATACGCAGTACTGAATGTCTCCACATCGCGCTGCTCTACAACCGTTGAGATTTTTTTACTTTTAGACTGTGCTCGTACCAAACATTTGTATTCTGGGTTTATCACTACTGGCTTACCATCACGAGGTTCTGGTTTAGTACGACCGTCATCTGGAAATGAAAAGAACGTGTTTACATTGTATAACACAAATTACAAGTTACTCTCAATAAACTTATATCTTAAACACTCACATCGTTTCATTGTCATAGTCACTGATCCTGCAGTACGCGCTTTTTGAAATAATTTTGTAAGCTCAGCAAGAAACTGTAAATAAAATCAATTTCTTTAGAATGGACATTGAAGAAATTTAATGTAGATGCGATAATGTTACTTACCTCATCATTTCCCAATAAAACCATGTTTGTAGTTGATATTACGTAGACGTAGTAATTATTTTAAGAGTATTTCCAACCTTTTATCTACGAAATAAGTTGCACATTTTACGAATAAATTAATTGAACCATTCCACTATCACTAAAAACTCAGACTTCGGGACACGTTGACAAGACAGTTTTGACATTTAATAGAAATGTCATGAAATGTGTTACCACATAATAGTAGTTTTTAGTCCTAGGCTCTCGACTCGACTAACCTAAGGATAACATAATATTTATTTGTCATATAATTATACAGATTTAAGAATAACATAATACTACTTTACGACTATACATAAACTTAAAAGTTAAAAGTTACAATGTTAAAAAATAAAATATAAATCTAAAATATTTACACCTTAAAAAAAATAAATCCTAAGACATCAAAGAAAACATTTTCCTCATCGCTACCGTGAGGAAGGGTGCCCAAAAGACTGGCAGCATTGCCACGTTGAATGGCAATGGTTAGCCTTTACTCAAGGTAAATCCAGCCCTTCGATCACCTGAAGTGTCAACCATCCTCCTTACAATATCTTTGTAAAGAAGATGTGCACTTGGGCCCCACGGCCCTAAAGTTTCAACCCCAAACGGTTCGAAAGCATAATTGCCAATCAGGCTATTATACATAATATTATTACTAATTGGTGGAAAAGTGGAGAAGTGACATTGGCTGGGAATGGGCCAATTTATAAAATCACAGTATGTAAAGCATAGATGTAATCTTTAAAACCATAAGCAATATGTAATAAGTATAACAAACGAACTTTGAAACAAACACTAGCAGATGTGTAGGTACATCTGCTTAATATTGATTAAAAAATAATCTCTAATATTGATTTTGAAGTACAGCCTGTTCTAAGCCATACATTTCTTCTCCGTCCACTGTAAGTACGGGCCTGCAGACGGCGTGCATGGGTAGCTCGCTGCCCTACCAGAACCAGGCCCGAGCGTACGGCGCGTCGCGTTCCACACGCGCCTCAATGAGCCATCAGACCACCACGGATGGGGTCTAAGAGGGATGATGCCGATACGGAGCCGCGGAAGACTTAACGGGTTTCCGGGGCTCCGGCTCGAAGTGCAGGAATAGGAACGGGGTAGTTTCTAGTCAGTAAGACTTTGACACACCCTCACCCCCACCTCTCCCAAGCGGGAGAAGTCATTCAATGATTCCCCCCCCCCCCATAAAAAGTCTATTGCACATCAGTATCATTCCTATCAAATTCCCTGTTTAGAACAATCAGAACGCATAATTAGCTATATTCCTTATTTCGCTAACTTTACGAGAAATGCGAAACCTTCCAATCTTCCATTAGTTTTCAGCTATACAATCATACATAACTAAGCTAATACCTATATAAAAACACTACCCTTCTACAATCGAGTAAAAATAACTCAGTTGGAGGATGAGGAAAAGGAAGACAGGAGGAGAGTCGTGGGATTAGTGCACCCCGTTCCCGTTATAACTTGCCGGTGTGCCTATCTATTTATGAACATAAAATTAATTCGTATTCACTGGTCTACGATCTGCGTACAATTATAACTACAAAAGTGTACCGGTGTCCGCAAACTTGACTCGCTTATCAAAAAAAAAACTTACAATTTCATATAGGCATGTTTACCTACGTGCAACAAACTCGTAATCACATTTTCGTCAACTATAATATCAGTGACGAACTCCGGCGACACATTTGAGCTTCATACCACACACAAACAAGCTAATAACCTAGTAATATTCCAACGCGCGACCTCGGCAGTCGGCGCGACGGCTCACAATCCTGTTTCGCTCGGCGTGACCACCAGAATTCCATTTCAATATTATTGAATAACATTTTTGTTCCGTAACCATGTCCAGTAACGGTAAGAATCTATCGTTCTTAGTACTTTTATGTTATGAAGAGCTTCTGTTATCTATCATAATAGCGACTATATAATATATTTTTTTAGTATCAAAATCTTTCTACAAAATACGCAATTCAATTACAAACATCACACGTAAATTGTTATGTCGCTCTCGCTTAATCGCAATCGAGACGGTTTATGATCCATACTAAGCGAATCAATTGCTTTTCCGTTAGTACCGGCTGGCGGGTCTAAAATGTAAATAAGCACTTGGGTACGCAAGTAAATAGCGAGGTAACTACTTATGTAAATATATTACTGAAGCATATGTATAGAAAGAATAATATTATGCATATTAGTAAGTTAGAAACTCCAAATAAGTTTTAAGTAATAGTATGATATTAACGTAAAGAAAATCAAATACTGCATAAGTGCAACATAGGTTGTATAAAATATACCTAAGTTTATAAACATTATGTGAGATTTCTAAAAATAGTATCTTATCACACACCGCGAAGAACATTGTTGACATTTTTTTGTTTGCATGCTGCTTAACTCCACCTCTGGAGAGTGGTTATTGGTGCAATTTAGTACATGATTCCTACCTAAATTTTAATACATAATGTATTTTAATTATTTGAAAACAATGTGATAATCGGGCCAAAATCATTAGCCAGAGTACATATTTATTGTGAGGGTTATCATAATAGGTTGGGGGCATATTTTATTGATCACGTAAAATACATGACAATGTTGATGAACTCCTCAATACAACCTCTGTTAATATAAGATAGGTACAAAAATATCAATGGTTGTTTGATAAAACAGAGGTGCAGCCGTTGTGAGTGATACTGAAATAATGCACGGTAGTTACGCAACCTTAGATGGAAAACAAATAGTTGTCTATGATTGCGTAGGTCAGAGTTATTGATGTTATTTTTATAGGTATCTCAAATTGCCAAACTATTTATTGCCTTTCTTTGGTTGTGTAATAAATTCAGCCAGATCACCCATGTAGTTGCGCATCGAGGGTCCACGAACGAGGAAATGATTGTGATCCTGAGTCGGCAAAGGCAATGAGATCGAATTAATTTAACTAAAGCGTCACCTTGGTTAGACAATCCCACCTAACTATAAGCTGCTGTAAGACATTTTTGGCACAAGCCATTTATTTCTATCGGTACCACTATTAGATACTCTATCCTAGCCCATATTTATATATAACCCCCCTTTGTTTTTCAGTTCCATATTATGTAACTGCCACGGTTACTGCAGCTGGTGTTCTGGGTAGCGCTTACTGTGCTTACCGCCTGTTTCAAGAAAAACCAGTGAAACTTCCAGAAAAATGGGAACAAGTTGGAGTTCTGACGGAAATCAACGTGTACCCAATCAAGTCATGTGGCCGCGTTACGTTAGAAACGGTTGAATGTACTAACATGGGGTTGAGAGATGGATGGCTTCGGGACAGGTTCGTTCGTTTAATTCAGAAATAACCGTAACTTAACTGGAGTTACTATTATTGATTTCTTTTGTTTCATTCATTTACAGTTTTTATCTCTTTGCAGGGTTCTGATGGTTGTCGATGATAAAGACAACTTCATAACAGCGAGAGGTTTCCCTGAACTCTTGGCTGTGCAGCCCACAATTAGAAATTCTGTTCTCACTTTAGAACATCCTAACATGGAACAACTGCACGTCAATCTAGCTGAGGTAGGTTGTGGAAGACAGAATATAGAGTGGCCTTATTTTAAGCGATTTATGTATCATTTGAAGGTTTATGATATATGATAGGTACTTGACACTGAAACGAAAAATTTCATGAAGATTTTTCACACGATACTCATAGCATTTATATATTTATTATCTATTTATTTTATGTAGGTACCTACTGATTTAGCGAACGATTGTAACTAAGTATGTTGTACACAAAGATAAACAGCGCTATTATCAACATTATTGGATATCAGGCCTTGTATTTATTTCCCGATAGATGAGTAGATACAGTCTCCTAGTGTTTGGGCTAAATATAGCAAGTTTAGCTTAATACCTTAGATAAGTACCTAAGTACATTACATTCATCTACTTAAATAAATAGGTCCATAACTGAAACGAATAATTAATTCTGTACCTCCTAAATTAATAGTTTTTAATACCCCCCACTCTCCTCACGCTTCTTCCGAATTCTACCGGCATACTTAGTAGGTACAATCTGTAATGCTGATCTTGATCACAAGAGTGTGAAGCCACGGGCAACCGGCAAGTGCTAAACACTTATTAGCGTCAATAAATAGGACGTGATGCGACATAGAAACACCAATTCAGTGAACATGGACAATTTGAGAAGCTCTTTTAATAATTTATTTTGTGGTTTAGATTGTGGCTCTGCAGAAACCAAAGACGGCAGTTGTTTGGGGCGATCCTGTTCCCGTGTATGACTGCGGCTGGGAGGTGAGCGAGTGGTTCTCAAGGTGAAATCCAATGTTTCAATGCATAAATTCACTAGTCATTTGCCTAGTAGGTACAAGATAGCCAATGAATTATTTTCATGTGTATTCAAAGTTTTCATTCGTACAAACTACATTCGATTGACGTATGTAAGTAAATGCCCATAGCCCAAGTCGATGAATTTCTTAAATCATTCTGAGATAAAAGATAGATCTTCTAATTTATCAATGACCTAATTAACCATTGTAATCTATTATCTGGCTGGTTACACCCAATTCAAGTAAAAGTATTTCTCGTTTTAGTGTACTGTTATTGTTGCTATTTGACTCTGAAGCGGTTCAAAGTTCGCTGGAACATTTAGTCGTAATTTGAGTAGGTAGGGACCAATGTACATACCTACTACAAGATCTGCTTGATCATTTCAGTATATTTCATAACTACAACGCGTTATCTGTCCCGTCGTTCTCGTCATGTCTTTATATAAATAGAAGGCAAAGATAAACTTTATCAATACTTAATTTTCCATTTCGTAAACGTACTTACGATCGTTGCATAATTATTTGTTTTGAACAAAACTGTTCAAAATGTTTTGGGTAAGTACGTTGTCAGACAATGCGTACAAAAAGAGCTTTAAACTGTCAAACACCAAGCGGTCACCGGTGACCGCAATCTATTGTTCTATAATTGTGTCTATAATGACGGTACTCGACGAGTTAAACATAAGTTTGCAACCACTTACATTTACAATGCAACCCACACAATCACAACACAATAACTTACGTTAGTTTTGACATTAAAATTTGAATTTCTATTACAGATTGATTGACCGTTCACCCCTAAACTTCCGTCTTGTATACTATGCATCCGAAAACTGCCGTAAACTCCGCGGCAATACCAACAAGGTCTACAAATTCAGGAAAGAAGATACGGTAAGTCCCAGGCTCTTTTCCACATTAGTCTCATCTTGAGTCACCGATCGCTATTTTATAGCGATAGCAAGGTAGTACCTAACTAACGAGGAGAAGTTCCCCAGTAAAACCATTTATTTTCAGTAGTACCTATAGATATATTATTTTCAGAATCTTTTCATATTTTTTAGAGACGTGAATACCGAATATCGATGTTACGGCACCCCCTATTTGTTTAAAGTATCTACGCAATACTCACTGCAAAATTATTTTATTTTTCAGGGAGCTTTACCTGATGAGACTTCCTTCAACCTCGTCAACGAAGCGTCAGTTGACGACTTGAACACCCGTCTGTCGGACTGTAAGGTCTCAACTAAAAACTTCAGACCTAACTTCGTGCTCAAAGGCGCCAAGCCTTATGATGAAGACAACTGGAAGTTCGTGAAAATCGGCGAAAATGTGTTTGAGATAATCAAACCTTGTCTAAGGTACTACAAGTTATCGTATTACTTTAGTACCTACTTAATTAATTTTTGAATTAATTATCGAGTTTTGTATTTCTCTTTACCTATTTTTTTCATTTTTTCAGATGTGTCTTGACCACCATCGATCCTGAAACCGGTATTCGCAATGCCAACACGGAACCATTGCAAGAGTTGAAAAAGTTATTATTTATTCACCTATTTTAATTACCTCTTTTTATTGTCTAGGTGCTATCATTACCATTTTTATTTATTTCAGATACCGTCAACTCACAAACCCCGAGGAACGTAAATCCGGTGGTAGCTCTCCTAAGATGGGATTACAGATGGCATTGCGCAGTGGTCCTGGTGGAAAGATTTCACTCAACGACCCTATTTACGTAGCATAGGCGGTTGTTTTTTTTTTTTCGACTAAAGTTGGTTTTATTGGGACTACCCCACATTATTGCATTATTTTTAACTCGTATGTATATTGTGGTGTATTCAATTATGAATTATTAACATGAAATAAAAGAAGGAAATGTTTGTAACTTGTTATTATTAATTTAAATACTTAAATGCGTACAATTTGTGCTGCGATTTTTTTGTCATCTTTGTCACTTTGTATAAGTAAACGCGCGAAGGTACCTCCACCTGTTCCCTTTGTTAAATGCTCTGGATTTACCACGACGCAGCCATTTACTTCCTAGAAGAGAAGATTTTTGTTATTACCAAATAAAATTAACTTTTCAAGTCCAAATATGACAAAAAGCGCTGTCGTTTGAAAGTTATATTAATAGAAAGGGTCAATGTTACAATGAGGAATTATTTTAATTTTATCTGAAGAAGAGTGAAGGAAAACAATAATGATTACAAACCTTAACAAAGTATCTGAAGTTAGATGGCAGCACTAGGATATGTGGAATGCACGACAGTTGCGCATGCGCAGCCCATAGTGCACCGTCGACTGAGAGACCCTGAGCTGGTGGCCAGAGTGGGTAGTACGTCTGTTGCATCAGAATATGTCCAGCTAGCCTCGATAGTTTGTCTCCACCCATACCTCTGTAAATTGAATTAATTTTTTTACCAGTTTCTTACTTAGGCTGTGTCACTATTATGATAATTTTAAATGATATTTACAGAGATATTTCCTCCTGGCTTATGTGCATGAGTATGTCTACACTTGTAACGCCTACAATTATCCCATTGATGTTAAGTGTGCAAGGATCTGGTACAAAGTGAATATTTGAATGTTTCCGCCTGCTGGAATATGCTGGAGTTGGGTAAATGTTCACATGGAAAGCATCCTTATTACTGGAAACTATGTAAATCTTTGTATATGGGCTGGAAACAAATATACATTATTAATTAATGAAATAGTGTTTATTAGAAAAATGTGGGTAAGAGTATAAACTTATTCTTACCTTGTATTATTTAATTCTCCTAAACTATCAATTAATTTGTCAAAGAATGATTTGAATGTTTCTGCCATAGTATTATCTTTGACTTTGGTATGATCACTGTCTAAGAATGGTCCAGTCATAATAACTACATGTGGTCTGTGTGTTGCAATGTAAGTTACCAAGTCTTTTAAAGGTTCATATTTCATGTTATCCGATGTTGTATATGGTCCTGTGGCTATTACCATTGACATTTTGCCTAGAATTTGTTGAAATCAGTTTTGTTTGAGAATTCTAAGGTATACACAGATTTACGGAATTTTATTGAAAATAGTCCATATTTATGTCATACCTTGTAAGGTATTCATAATATCTGCCTTATGATCTGCAACTGCAGGTGATGCATCACAGAAAACCTCGTGTGCTACGAACTTGTCACCACGCGTGTTTACGCCCTTCATTACAACTGTCTGGCCAGGGAATAAAGAATACTGCTTCACACTGCCACAGAAATAAAATACCTATAGAAGTTTTAATTAATTATAAAGAAAAGTTTGAATCTAAATAAAAATAAATATGGTGCATTGCCTCTTCAGCACTGTACAGAATTTAAGAGACAGAACACACAATTCTATTTTTGAACATAATTATTTTGCAAAACTATTTAAGTCTTTTTTTCATAACCAATTTCAATGCAAATGATGTTAATGAATCTTCCATCTTATATATTATTAGTTATACAAACTTGTCCAGATCCACTGGTACTGTTTGGCTGAGTGATTGCTCCCAGGTTCCTTGGAGAACAACACTCTTGGGATTGAGTCTGGCATCAGCATCACATTCTATGCGACCAGCCACTGCTACTTCAGTCTGTAATTTCATTAACCATTCACATTCCAAAACTTCTTTACATATTTTCTGAAGATTTTCATAATTTTGTTTTATATACCTGTGTCTTACACCTTACAGATGTCAAATCTGTGATTCCAGACTTCTTCATGATACACTGTGAGACATAGCGTATGTTGCCATCAAACATACTGGCTTTCTCATGAAGTAGTTCAAAGCCAAACCTAGAATTACAATTTTATATCATATGGTTTTCATTACACACATTGATTTGTGGCCATTTCCAACAACCTATAGCAGGATTTAATGGGTAGAGACAGCATGTGCCATATTAAATGTCAAATATTATCTTTAGTAATTAAAACCAGTAAAAGATTAAATGGCCATTAGTCATGTTACTCTATCTGTACTTACATGGCTTTGTTATACGTGTCACCATCGTCATTAGCCACTTGTGTAATTTTCAAATTTAAAATATCATTGGGGCCACACGGCTCTGAAATGTTCTGAAGTAATTTCTCATCACCATATGAGTGGACTACGGCACCTATGTTAGTCCTCGATGCATATTTACCAGACCCACTGAAAGAAAATGTATGCCTGCTTTTTAAATTACTAACTTTATTTTTTGTTTTAGTGTAGGTAAGTATAAATTTAATTTAAAAATGTGCATAGTCTTTTATCTCTTGAAACACCAGCTCCCGGTATAAAACACTAAATCCGCAACTTTCAACATACAAGAGGATAGCACACAAATCTATTATGGGATGTTAAGATCAATGTTGTGTAAGTATGTTTTATTCTAGGATATAGATGTAAATCAAATAAATGCAATTCAAGGCTTTGGAAAACCTATAAAAAGAACCCAGTTTTTATACATTTTTTATGTAGACACTTACACTGATGGAGAGTAAGAAGCCGGGCACAAGTCATTGGTCTGGTTGGATACAGATTCGATTTCAACTTTAACTCTCTGAAAAGTATTGAAATGAAATAAATCAATAATAATTTATTAAAAAGTATTTTCAACCATCAAATTCGCACTTACAGTTAGATTTGAAGACGCAGATTAAGTTGATGGCTGCAGACGAGTATGGATCTAGTCATGATTTGTAATGAACATGCACCAGAAGCAAACTCGCCCACAAATATCATCAAGTTAAATTACACAGCCACTTAGATCTTCATGTAAAATTAATGGTTACAAGTAATGCTGTTAAAATAAAAAATAAGGAGGTACAAAAATATTTTTTTAATATTCAGTAAAAGGGAATACCTGCTCCTGGACAATGGTTCAGCGTTTCCAACGATGCTAGGCCTAAATGCTTTCAATGAGTGTAGATCTAGTCACAGAAATAATACACTGTGGCACTAGACATATACCCATTAGGAGCAAGTAGGTGAATCAACTGACTTCATTTGCTTGAGTAAAAAGGCAGGCGTTGATAAATACAATAATAATAAAACTTCTAACAATAAAAAAAATTGTATCTACATTCGTTGGTAGCTGATGCTATGTTAGCACTAAATTATTTTCAAGTGTGCTAAGGTTATATTATACATACGTAAGTAAGTACCTACAAAATAAAAACTATTTTATTGAAATACCTTCGGTGTTGTGGCCATATAATCGGATAGAACTTCATTGTCTGATCTGTATCAACGCTAAGGAATGAAACTGTTGATGAAATACAACTCATTACAACCAACCTTACATTAGAAAACAAACAATCGACAATAAACCGTTAACACGGCGGCGGCAGCTTATATCACAAGTTGCAAACTACAAGTAACAAAACTTCGGTAAATAATGAACACGTGGAGCATGCGCTTTAAAAGGATACTGAACTGAAGCGGGTGCCCCGTAAACCGTCAAACTTGAGCCGGTACCCACTTGTCCGTTTTCTTTAGAGGTTGCGTTGGAACGATTCGCCGCCCGCTTGGAAAATTCCTTTCTCACAAATGTATCCAAGTTATCCAAATTCGGTGATGAACCATTTAAATGATTTAAACTGAAGGCCATCCATTGTTCAATGAAAGATTCGGCGTCGATGTTGTATTCGTCGCATAAACTTACGCCTTAGAAAAAGAAGTGAATAATGGAACAACCTTGAACATTCATTTTGATTGAAGCGGCATAAAGTTATATCCAAAACTTTGATAAAGTTGATGAACAGATAGATACATTACAGAACAACTTATCGCGAATTATTTGGGTACTCACATTTATTTATTACTTCGTTGGGCACATCTATACCGAAAAATTGAAATTGCTCAGTCACCAATTCTTCGGAAGCCATTTTCTGTAAATTGAAAGAGCGAATGAAAGGAAAGGAAGCAAAAGAGCGCCAACGCCAATCAAAAAGTTTGCGTACGTTTCGTCAAAGTTTTGACCACAGACTACATAGCCCCTATACTTATTATAAAATCTTTGCTACATAGTACACAGATTCAATACTTTTTATTTTTTAAATGGCAATACTGGGTTCGATTTTAATGTTGGCTTCACAAACCTCACAACAAGGAAATAGAATCACGAAAACATTTTGTTTAAACGTAATTAACCAACTAACAGTAATAGAAAAATATTGCCCCCACAACCGAAACAAATAATATATATAATAATAATTATTATTATTACACATACTATCCAAAGGGTATAGAGTGCGCGAAAATAAAATGAATTCAAATGTTTAGAATTTCATTATCTAAAATTATTGCTGAATATGTGTTAAATATTGTATTGCACGAGAACAGCTTATTCTAACAGTTTAAAAAAATGTGAACAGTATTATTTTGAATCATAATTCTACTAAGGAAGAAAGCAGGGTTGAGTAAATTAAAAATCTCATTATGAATCGTGAAGTAACTTTAAAAAATACCTGTGAAGAAAATTACTTCAGCAACATATCGCCGGTTCGAAGTCGATCCTGTTATACGCTGCATCACTGTTTAGTGACTGTATAGTGTAATAATAACAAAACAAGATTTGGACGAAAAAGTAAAACATAGGTATTCATTTGGAAAATTATTGTTTATTAATTTTATGAAAATTGCTATAAGGTACTACATAGCGTAGGGTAATCTGTTATATATTTAAACAACTATTCAGAGCAAGTTATTATAAGAATAAATCTATATAAACTCTTGGCCTTTACTCCATGAACCTTTCCTCCTGTGTCCTTAGAATACACAGATTAACATTTAACACTAATCATATAAAATCATACACAAAAACGATTAAATATTTTTTATTTCATAGTAATATAAATATATCCAACATTTTTAACAATATATTTAAGTTCTTTGGACATGTATATGAAATTTACAAGATGGCATGGACTGGACTTCTGCTGTGACCACACTGTTTATGCACAAATTAGCCAAACCTCCTCGGATCAATCCACAGGTGTATGCAACATACTGAAAAAAAAATATATATATAAATCTAAATTAATACATACATATTTATATAAGTGCATGCTTTTCTGCGGGTAGGCAGAGACTATAGAATGCCAATTGCTGCAACAAACCTACAAGCAAACATGAAATGACTGATGACTGTTAATGAAGTGAAAGAGGTATGCAAGAATAGATAACAACCCAGTAAATACACAACATTGTACTATATTCCAATTAACATCACTATTTCATTGTGTCTAGACAAAATCAGATAGCCTAACCATTATTTTTCTCTGGTGCATTTACAAAACCATTATTTCACAATTATTCTCAAATTAACTAAAATTGCGGGTTACTCACATATATACTGAAAAAAGCTCTAGTAGTTTCGAACCACAGAGGGGTTCTTAATCATGAGCAGCGTGCGCAGTCGCAGCAACCTAAACAAACTGAACTAGTAGCGTTTTACTCAGTATATTCACATGAGTAACCCACAATTTAAGTTAATTTTGTATGTCTCATGATAGTTATTATAAAACATATTCTCTAATTATTATGGATACTTACTCTCGGCGCAAACTCTAGATACTGATGTCCATTAGAAAAGTTAGTAAGGAACCTGAATGCATTATCTTGTAGTACATAAACTCCTTGATGATTAGTTCTTAAATTATCAATTTGTTTTTTATAAATACATGTCCAAAAATCTGTGCAAATGAACTTCATTGTATCCAGTTCATCCTTGAATCTGGGCCACTCTCTGGTTAGTCTTTCCATTATTTTATATCCTGCAGCAAATCCAATATACTCAACGACAGACAGGTCCACCTCCTGAAGTCATATAAGATTATGTTTTCAAATTCGTCAAATAAGTTTAAAAATATACATTCTACATTAAAGCTATATAACAACCTTTTTATCATTGGTATTATCCTTTGATTGATCTAAAGCGTAATTTATTATTTCGGAATGCAATAATTCAAACACAATATCGTCGGCCATTGCTATTGCTTTTAGCAGCTCACTGGGGACTTTCCATACAATACAATAATGAAATGAACAATGTCTTCAAAGCTAAAGTTGTAACTAGTCTGAGTTGTTTTATTAAAATCAAACAACAGACAAACTATTTATCTGATTTTTCGGGTACTTATCAATGTTTTGCGTTGACTAGTTGACGTTTGATTGACGACTTGACGTTTATAATATTTACAATTTTGTCTATGGAGAATATAGAACTGTCATTATCGTACATTGGTAAGCGAGCTATTATTTTACATAATAAAAAACGAAATAATATTTTAAAGAAAAACGTCCTATTAGGAAAGAAATAAAATTAATTTACTTATTGAATAATATTGTTAATTTACATGTTACAATAAATAAAATAAAATAAATAAAATGTTATAATTTACTTTCTACTAATATTGCTTTTTATGTTTGTTACTCAATCACTTCAAAATTCTTTAAGGTATCGGGATTAAATTTTAAATTGGAGTGGGGTAGATTAAAGTTCTGGAGCAACAGATAAGCTGCTTTCTATCCCACGGGAAAGCGGAGAAGTCATTAGCGAAAGCTAGTTTTGTTACAAAAAGTAGCAATTTCGGGTACCTACCAACTAAATTTATTTTTTGTGAGTGCACTCATTTCAAATTATATAATTTATTAATTTACAAATTATAAGTATTCATACGATGTGAGTAAGTGAAAACACCTATAATTTTAAGTACAATTTTCTTATTTTTTGGACTTCGGCATTCATTTTCATTTACCGAGTAGTTTTGAATCCTTTAAAACTATTGTAATATCTATTGCAGTCCTAAATTAATTGTATAAACCGCAGATCTTTCTCGTTTCTTCATCATCTAATGATGCGATTTGCGAAAAGTCGGTATGTATATATTATACAGACTAGCTACTTCCGCGCGGTTTCATCCGCTCTGCTCTGCGCCTATTGATCGTAGCATGATATTTTATAGCCTTCCTCAATAAATGCACTTTCCAACACAAAAGGAATTTTTCAAATCGGACGAGTTGTTCCTGAGATTAGCGCGTTCAAACAAACAAACCAACAAACTCTTTAGCTTTTATATGAGATTATAAGTATTTATTTCCTAATATAATAGAGGAAAATATATTTACTCGATATTTATCCGAAAAATCGTCCTTTTATTCCACAAGGTTTCACTAATTCCTATTGGTTATTGCGACATATTTTATGGCTTATTAGCAAAGACCAAAACTAAACCATAACACAACTATTCGAACTCTTGTTTGGAGATAAGTAATCATGATTTTTTTTATGACATATCAATATTTTATTAGGTCATGTTAAAAATTACATAAGATTAGGCAACCCTAACTGCGTCACCTATCTAGCTAGTGGTAGTAAAATGTAACAATGAATGAATAAATAAATAAAGATGGCGGATTGCGTCCTCAGTGCAGTGCTCCGTGGAACAATGTACTTTTATCAGGATTTCATATAGTCATAGTGGTGTTAAAGTTGTAATATCAGTGCGATTATTTATGTTTTCATATAAAAAGTAAGTTTTAATTCTAAATAACTGTGCTGTTTTGTCTCAAATGGACGGAAATAATATTATCGCTATAAAAGATGGCGATCAGACGCGACCAGGCGAAGTAGATGCGCCATCTACTGTAGACGTACCGAAACAACTTGAAGGACTTAAGAAAAAACGGCGGCGCGGGAAATCTAAACGTAAAATCATGAAACCTTTTTCGAAAATACCTTGGCAGGATCGGCGTAAAAATGAAAAATCTAAAAGAAATAACAGATTCAGGAAGATTGTGATGGCAAAAACCCATGCACCTTTTAATAACAACCAATTCTTAATGGAAATACATAAACCCGAACCAGAAAATTCTTTCCAACTGTTACGAACACCGTCAGCAAGGACTCGCGATTCAAGTTTTAGTGTGGACTCTGAAGATAATTATTTCTTTTCTTTACCCGAAGACGAAGAGGAATATTTGACAAAGGAATTTTCAAGTGTATATGAAGATGCTCAAAGTGAACGTTTATCGAATATGTCAAAAGATGATCTCGTTCAAGAGTATCTCTTTTTGGAAGCGAAATATGATAATCTCGTAAAAAGAACTGAACGTTCTAAAGCGAAGTGCATTGAAGAAGACAAAGACATGACAGCAAATGATAGGGATACTTCCGTTACAGACAGGGATAGTATGTTAACTGACAGGGACACTTCAGGCACTTCTGTTGGGTCCAGTGTGGTGGAAGATCAATCTTTTAGCGACTTAATGCTGCGTCTGAAGGAACAGGAAGAGCAAATTCGTTCACTACAGATAGACAATGAGAAGTTGAGACTTGAAGTTGAACATTTAAGACAACATTCTCAGGATTCATCAAGTGCAGACTCTGAAAGTGATAGTTCATCCTCATCAGATAGTGACAGCAGCTCTAGTGGGAGTACAAGCCCCATTGCTGACCCAGTTGGTGAAGAATATTTAGTTGAAGACAATTTGATTAATGAAAATTGTGTTCATGTTAATGGCCAAAATGAAGAGACTGAAGGTTCAGGGGCCCCATACCCAATGGTTAATGGTTGTCATGATTCAAATGATTAAATCAGTTGTATTAAGTTTTAAGTACCTAGTCTGTAGGTAATTTTTTAAGTGCTGTAAAATTTGTTGGACAGTGTTTGAATATCTTTACTCTGCTTTTATTTCTATTCAACAGTGGACAAGTTTACTTCTTGCGGATAAATGTGTGATTATAAATACATGCATTTAGTGACATGCTTGTTATACTATGTTATACTTAGCACCCTACTGTACAAAAGTCCTCAAGCATTCTTTCCTGTAAAACACTGTGGGAATGTAAATGTGAGATCTCAATTTAGATTTAGTGAAATTATTCTGTGATATCCTTGTGGATATTTTATCAGTAGTAATATATTGTAATAAATTGTTTTTATTTCCAATAAGATCTCACTTTTATGTTTTATACAGTGGGATATAATAATAAGCTAGTTGTAAGTAAAAATGTTGTAGTGAGTAATCATTTATTTTGTATAATTATATATTCTTAAGTATATTTTATGGACATTGTTGGATTTGTTATGTGTATGGGTGTCTTTTTGTGTTTTAAACCAAATTTGAACATGTCAGGTACTTTGTAGAAATAGATTTATATAATTTATGAGACCTATACTTATATTTTAACAGGGATCGTGTCTGCGCCTGCGCCATTAATTACAGTTATTATGTCAGAAGTATAATGTGTACTCTTATTTACCTGTCCCATATTTTTATGGACATTATCCATTTAATTATTTAATTAACTCGTCGAGTACCGGTTTTGTAGACACAATTATAGAACAATAGGTTGTGGTCACCGGTGACCGCTTGGTGTTTGACAGTTTAAAACAACTCATTTTAAAAGATAGTTTATTTTGTTTCATTGCACAAATTATCATTTATAATCAATAGAAATCTTACCATCTATCTAAACTATAAATAAAATTAATCAAAAATTCTAAACATGTTGGCAAGTTTTTCATAATGAAAACTAAATAAATGTGGTAAGTTGTGTGATTCTTTTAATAAATATGAACATACTTTATACGAAATATTAATTTATAGTTAAAGTTTTATCTTTTTTCACTTTAGACTCTGGAGCATTGGGGTTAGCACCTTTATAAAACTGTTTCAGTAAAGCCATGGCCTCATTTGCCATTAGATTTCCAACCAAATTATAATTGTATTCATAAAAATTGCTTATATCTAATACAGTTTTACCACCAAATCTGTCATTGGCACAACCATATACAACTTCTTTTACCATTAAATTACTAAGGGCAGCTGCACACATAATACAAGGTTCTACAGTTACATAAACAGTTACATTTTTAAAATATGACATGTAGTCTATATCATTAGTTTTACAATGTTCTATAACAGAATCAATACAATTAATTTCTGCATGTCTTGTCGGATTGTGTGTGGCATTGACAATATTTCTAGACTCTGCAATAATCTCGGAATTTATAACAAAAACACAACCAACAGGTACTTCTTGAGCTGATAAAGCTTCTGATGCTAATTCAAGGGCTCTCTTCATAAAATCAACCATATTTTGAAAAGTGTGCAGCTCTAGCAATATATTTATTAATTCTAATTCAATATCACAAGTCTTGTAATTTTATTTATGCTGAAGGCTGCTTGTAATACTGAAGCAGATCATTTTCTTTAAAAAAGAGTATGTTTTTCTCTATCCAGTCATTGTTATTTCGTACTCTGGGGCTTGGGTGTTGCATGTACAGAATCTGAAATGTAAACATATCAAATTATGCATACCGGTACTAACAAAAAAGAAAGGACAATAACAATTACATGTTTGAAATTCATACCTTAATAGGTCTTGAAAGAGAGAATCTCTTTAAAGTTTCCTTAGCTCTAGTTTCACAGAATTTTCCAATGGCAACAATAATCTCAACTTCATACAATTCTAGCACTTTGTGAAATACATTGTCACAAATTCTGTATAATTCTTGTACCTCAGGTTTCTGAAAGTTATAATAAATTAGTTTCTTACATACATTCTTGTCTGTCCCGTTGGCCGAGTTGTTGCAGGTGTGACTGCCAGGCAAGGGGTCTCGGGTTCGATTCGCGGGTCGGGTAAAGTATTACTGGTTTTTTTTTAATCTCAGGAGTCTGGAATTGTGCCCGGTATATGGCAATAGGCTAACCCCCTTTTACATGGGACTCATAACAGAAATAGTGAAAAGTGGCAGACACCTTCGGGAATAAAAGGCATGTATATTATGTTACATTCTTGTCTGCTATGACTAGAGGATATTATTAGTTTAGATTTTCGAGATGGGCAATGATGAATGTACTACAAACAAAGCAAGTGTACTTTTTTTGTACCCAATGTGGTACAAATTTCGAAATAGTAGTTGGTGTATTGAAATAAACTCACTGTATCGGGTCTTAACATAATGTTCTATATATTATGAAAACCATGTTCTATACTAAATAATAAACCAATTGGAAATAAATAATTAATAAGGTATATCTTACATTGAATTCACCTGGAGTTAAATTTATTCCACTGCTTGTCATCCACTGCTGAGGCAAGTAGTTGTACACAAAACTGGATTTGAAGAAATTTTCCGGTGTCCCACACAAAGTTTTAAACAGGCCCCAAAATCTTTGACCACTAACCTGAAATTTTATTTGTAAAAATATTACAAAATAGCTTCTTCCAGTGGTTTCGCCCACATTTATGTGAGATAAAAAGTCTAAGTTATTCCAGGCCATCATCCACCCCTGCCCTGACGTCCTAAAGTCAGAATGTTGCCATTGAAGGAAAGAAACAGAGCTATACAAGTCGTCTAGAGATCTTGTTCCCTCAGCAGAAAAATTCTGGCTTTGAGATGTCATAATACGCCTGTTCCAAATTTCATCCTGATGCCATAAGATATGATTGTGTAACAATGTTGCAAGGGTAATGGAAGAAAGGTTAGAAATTTAGGAGGGTACTCACTCAGTACCGTAAAATGGGGTGAATAGGGACAGAAGACGAGTGAATAGATATAAGGAAATTCTTCATAGTATCAAATCACCCCTCTTCTGTCCGTTTTTGGCGCTCAAACCCTATTCACCCCATTTTACCATATAGACCTAATGTGATGAGCAAAAATAATAATTATGAGACAAGTGAGTGGTGAATTCAAATATGGAAGGATGGAAAAAATTTATAGATCATGTGAAGAGAAAAGATGCTAAGAAGCTAAATGGCAATTTTGCTTTGGTATCTGAAGTGGCCAAGTAAAGACATATTGATGAATAAAGTAAGTAGGTATACATACTATAAGATCAGTAAATGTTTTTGTCTATGTTAGTTTATTTATTTCTTCTTCACAAAACACAACAGTGAATGGCAGATTTAGTTCTACTTACTTCAGATCTCTTGCATTCAAAGCCCAAAACTTCACGACCTTTTACTTCAACTGGTGGTTTTCCCACTGATCCAGTAATGCCAAGCCAATCTCGAACTGCCTCTATTTCACCAAATGGTACCTGAAACATTAAGTAGGTATTTTCAATAAGTTATAAGTATGAGAAATGTGTGGCTTTTTTTAAAACTCAATTTGTTGATATGAAAATATTAATTACTAAACATATTACACACATCTATCACAACAACTAACTACAGACATCTATTTTAAGTGGTCCTTACTCCAGTCTGAGACATTCCAAAAGGTCCTGGATTCATACCAAAGAATATAATAGGTTTCGGTGTGTTGCAATATTTACGCACATACATTTCAAGTGGTTCTCTAGCGTAAATAGTGGGATTATAAACCGCTTTTACTTTTTCAGGCATTTGAAACTGTTCAAGAGATAAATTTAATTCATCTACTAAATGTAAAAACTTTTCACTGATGTCTTCGGAACTGGATTCTCCAGAAGAACTTGTAAAAAACGATGATACTACTTCGGTTTCCATGGTTAGTAAGATTGCAGTTTACTAATGCTAATAATTAATTATTATATTGTTGCACACTGCATTTTTATCACTTACGAATTTATCGCTGATTGATATTATCCTTATATGACATAATTTGCCGCACCCATGGTCTAAAAACAAGCGTAGTATATTGTTATACTATGGCCGCACCGAAGTATAGGCGTAAGTTGTGTTTAAGTAGGTAAATTAAATGTTTGTGATGCAGGCAGAAAGGCAGAAGCACAACACAAACACAATTTTAATTTGACAAAACAGCACTCAGCAGTGTCAGACTGTCAGTTGTATTTGTCATCATTGAACTATAAATTCAGAACGAATTTGTTAATAAGTCTAGCTTATCAGTAGCTAGTTAGCTAGCATTTATATTATTAATTTGGTAAAGACATAATATCCATAAAGTCATAAACATTGAAATAGATTTATCAAATTAATGCTATTACACAACATTAAAGATAACGTATTTCGTGAATCGTGATCCATTTTCGAACGAAAATTTGTACTGTAAATAAACAGCTAATACCTAAATCTTTCAACTGTCAACCCTCTTGCTGTCAACGCAAAATTGTTCATTTTAATTTTTAATGCCTACTTACTTGTCACTTGTCAGTTTCTTGCTAACTGTCGTAAAAGTACGGTGTATTACTTCATCGATAAATCATTAATATTTGAATGACTTAATTTTATAAATGAAATTTATGTGAACACATACTTTAAACAAATGTCTGTACTTAGTGAAGATATTGTTCGCAATCTTATAGCAAATTCCAGTGTGCCATTAGTGTTCCGGGGCTATGTGCGAAATTGGTCATTATGCCAATGGGATGTAGAGAAATGGTGTTCAGTTTTTGGAGAAAAAGAGATACCATTCAGATGTTTAAAAAAAGATTTCTTATCAGACGAACCTTGTTGGGAACGACGATGTTCTGTTAAAAGAATGTCCTTCAAAAATTTCGTTGATACATCTGCATCAAGCGACGAATGGATGTACTTCGATTATAAATACCTTTATCAATGGTTTAATGGAGACGATGAGTTGTATAAGGTAATTAACGTCTGGAACTCGACGAGATACAGTTATTAGATCATACAAAACTGACACACTCTGTTATACATTTTAGGGTGTTTCATGGCAACAGTTCGGGTATTCCGACAAAGGTGCTTCGGATGCAACACTTTGGGTGGGCAGTAGTGGTGCACACACACCAGCACATCAAGACACATATGGAGTAAATATTGTGACTCAGTTGTATGGAAAGTAAGTACCTATTACAATTTTCAATGATCATGTGAAAAGATAAACTAGTTATTATAAAACTAATCAATATTGTTTTTCATAGAAAACGGTGGATTCTTTTCCCACCTGAAACAGGTGGTTTGAAGCCAACAAGAGTACCTTATGAAGAGTCAAGTGTATATAGTGAACTTAACTTCTATTGTCCAAATAGTTTAGAAGTTTTTAATGGTGAGTTACAAAGAATAATAGCATTTTTCATGGTCATAAATTGTTTAAGTTTAAAATAGATATAGCCTAAGTAATATATGGTTTCAGGTCTGATTGGAGCTCGCTCTGTGGAACTGTCAGCTGGTGATGCTCTCCTGGTACCCAGGGGCTGGTGGCATTATGTACAGAATTTAGATCCACTGAACATAGCACTTAATATGTGGCTGCCACATGTATGTTTATAATTTTTTATTTCATGTCTTCTGAAACTCCCCTTCTCAGTGTTCTTACAAATACATTGTCTTATTTTATAGGAAAAAGATGGTTCAACAAGAGTATCTGAAGCCCTCATCAAAATATTTGTGGCCCAAATATGTAAGGATTTGCCACAAGAAACTGCAAAGCTGATTGTTAATCCAAATGAGGTATGTTTTGTACATTAATTTATGATAAAAAAAGACAAAAAAGCGGAATATCTCTATGAGCAATTCCTTTTATAAAATAAAACTTGGAAAGAAATCAATTACATAACTGAAAAAGTGTTTTGTTTTATGTCCATTGTTCATAAATGAAAACAATATGGTGTAAATTTATTATGATTAATAATACTCCAAGGTAATGAGAGTTAAACAGTTTTCAACACAATATTTGGATGTTTGCCAAATTATTCATTTGAAATAATAAGCGGTACTTGTACACATATTGTGAGTTTGACCTTTATTCAAGTAGGTATGTATGTGTCATCTGCCTAAACAAGTTTGCACACCTCAAGATGCAAATTTTTGGAAGTTGCCATTCTTGTTTGTCATGACTGCCTTTCTACTCGAAGTGCAATCGATGACGATAGCAAACCAAAGAAGTGCTTTAGGGTTAGATTATTACTTACTTACTTACTTAAAGTAGGTAATTCGTGGTTTTCTATCTTCGAAATTCAGAGTAATGTCTCCAACTTCTGAATTCCTCACCCGTAAAAGGCCGGCAATGCATTTGTAACTCTTCTGGTGTTGCGCGCCGATTGCTTACCATCAGGTCACTCGTCAATTCGTTTGCCGAACCATGCATTAGTGCACGTCTTTTCGCATCTATTTCGTACAGTTTTTGAGGTAGTATACAACATCTAACGTAATTAACGCACACCCTCAAACACCCCAATTAGAATATTATGTTACAATCTTATTACATACACTAAATTTTTAATTTAACATGTATATGCATACTGGTCTTTAATTTTTCTTTATTTTGTATTGAATGATAGAATTTGTATGAATACAAATAAAACTGCGATTTTAAAAGTCTTATTGCTTTGACTTACGGTCCATTTCGATTAGTTTTAACATACAGGGTTAATATGACAATAATTTCCGTAGTTTTAATTATTTTTGGGATAAAAAATTACCTATACTGAAAATTATATAAATCGATTCAGTTAACGATTCTGAACAAACTATTTTCAGGATGTGCGTTATTTAAGTTACATGTTGTATATATTATGCTAAGGCTTTCAAAGGTATTAAAGTACTATTGTACTTTCGCTTTCGAAACAGCGGTAGTAGTCTCGACCACCACTACTCAACATTCAGGGCTTAGGAGCTTTACTAGTCGTTCCAAATAGAGGAATGACACGAATATAGGAATTCGCGAAACTAACGTGGTTTATTTTTCCTCTCAGAAGGAAAATGTGCATTGCTTTGCGGAGACTTGAATTGACACTTCAATCGCTTCAAAAAAACATATTTCGAGAAATCCTTTCTTAGCGCTTCACTCCAGGAAACATTTCGCAATATTTCACCTTGCTTCATTTAGTAGTTTCAGTCGTGCGTCGTCTGTACTTCAATCAACCTCCAGCGCCTCGTTTGGGTTACGTTTTATTTATATTGATTTAGTAATGGTAACAATTTACTCATCCCATATGAGTCAGTAACTGATGTCATGCCTCGACAATTTGCTACAGAGGTATTAAACTAATGGATTCTTATTATATTATATATATTATATATCCGGAGGATATCCTAAGACCTTGACTTTGCTTGAATGATCTATCATGATATATTGTATCATGTGAGATTAATTACGATAGTGCATCACTGAGTCAATTGCATTGTTACTTGTTAAAATAGTCATTTAACTGATCTCGATGTATTTTATACCCTTGACACGGTCAAGGATAATTATAAAGTGCATGTAACACTCTGAAAACAAGTAATGTGGTCATTAAAACCTATAAATACATACATATCTCTCATATTACAATGTTGCAATTACTAGAACGGACTGTTGAGCTTCCGTGCAGGTGTTATTTCAGTGTATTTAATTAATTAAACTTTCCAATTGTCATTTAATACTCTTTATGAGACTGACTCCTTTTTATAGTCATAATCAATCTGGTAGATAGATACTTACAGCTTTTTGCATGCAATGTCACTTTAAACTTAATGATGAGCTATTTCCAGTCAAATTTCTAAGTAATAAAGTTGACTGTAACTGTATGCATAAGCGATTTTGTAAGTTCAAATTGTCTGTAATGAAGTTAGCATGTTGTTGTTGAGACATGCTAATATTGTGTACTAAAATACATACTTACATTAACGGCTTTAAGTCACTATTATCGCCATACGTGCCGCAATTCGTCTACTGCTGAACATGACCTGCAACCTCAGCGTAGACACACTACTTAGATATATGAGGTAAACAGTCAGCGACGAAAGTGAAATCTTGTGCATTCGTGCATTTAAGATATTAAGATTACAAGGCCGATTCGAACATGACCATTATTATATTCAAGTACCTATACAATTATAGGCTGCCCTCTTTGTTCAGCGGTAGCAAACGCGTTGACTATATATGTATGTGACTATAAACAAATGACCGAATTTACTACTGTACTACTGTAATAAAACCAAATAATAGGTGACAAGACCAGCCAACTCCATTATAATGGACTAGCTGTTGTCCGTGACTTCGTCCGCGTAGAATAATGACTTCTGGCAGAATTTAGGCTTTTGAATTAGTCTTTATCAAGGGATATTCTACGGTAACGAATGTCGTCAGAATTAATTCAGTACCTAGTATAGGGCTTTTCTCTTGTAGATGATAGCGTAATAATATGTAGCCTATATGTTGACCCGAATAGTCCGTAATATTTATGCAAAATTTGAAGTAAATCCATGCAGTACTTTTTGAGATCATCCCGGACATACATGCAGACAAACAGAAAATTTCAAAAACCATATTTTTGTCTTCATTATCGATTGTAGATCACGCTACAAGTATTCTTTAAAAAAAATTCAATGTACAGTTTTGACTTTTCTACGATTGTATTATACCTCTATGTACTACATCTAGCTTCTGCCCGCGACTTCGTACGTACAATCCCGTTTCTCCCATTCCCGTAGGATTTTCAGGACTTTTTTCTGTCTTAAGAACCTTCTCCTGACAATAACAAACACAACAACAAAAAAAAAATCAGCCAAATCGGTCTAGCCGTTCTCAAGTTATGCCGTGACAGCGGGAAATGGGTTTCATTTATATATATATATAGATAGATGACATATTCAATCTCGCGAGCAGCTCATTCGCCAGATGTGGACGCACCATTACGTTTACGCTTGAATTCCTTTAGGATTTAAGGTTAGACTGTAGTTGGGCACAAGCCAGGAGCAATTACATTTTATGTGATACTGTTACATGAAGCGTAACGACTTAAGAGTTTATTATGATTTTATTAGCTACGAATGAACGTGGCCCCGCCTGCTAATTACATTTCGATGCGGTTGACTACCTCATCTGCGTGTTTATGTTACATTAAACTTGCTCGACAGTTTCATGTTTCTCTGTGTTCCGTTCTAAGTACTACCTCTGCCTAGGTATTGATGTACTGTAGTATACTGTAGGATACTTTATATCTAAACCTGTACAAGACTTTGGGTCAGTGAAAATTGAAACTATTTAATTTTCCAAACTGATTAAATATTTTATAGATGATCCTTGCAGTAAATACCTATATATGATAACAACTTTTAAAACATTCTTGAATAATTATACGTACGTAATTCTTATGTACAATTTCAATTTCAGGACGACATAGCGGATACGCCGTTGTCTGTGCTATTTTTACAATTAGAGACAGTTGCAAATGCGTATCTCGACAACCGACGGAAGCTGCGGCGCGCCAAACGACAGAGGACCTGCGAGGACGAACCGACGCCTGCCGCCATCGAAGACTACGACTTTAAAACTTTATTAGAGAATAAAGCTAATAACTTAGAAATACCTTCGAGTATAAGTAGCGAGGAATTGATAAAGATAATTAAACAGAATCTCTTAGAATACGCGAATAGAGACAGGCCGTTGTGTGATGACGAGATAGATGGGTCCACGACTGCACTGTGCCTCACTAAAGCGGTGATTGACTCATACAGTCAAGCCAATGTTATCGATCTCGTTAAACAGAATTTATTCGCTCGTCTCAGTTAAATACAGAGTGTTTCATATACTGTCTGACTGGCTTTTTATACGCCGAGTAATTTATATCGTTTTCGTCCCGCAGCAAAATAACTTGGCATAAGTAACAATTATATGTTATTTATTTAGTTAAAAAAAAAAATCATTGATTTATGACCTATATGTAAATTAGTCGTAACATAGTTTGCTTTTTGCATTGGTTCACTAATTATTTTTTGTTTTTAACTTTTATTTCTTGTAAAACTTGTATATTACCGAGACAGAACCATTTTACTTCGAGACGGAAACTATTTAATTTCATGGTGTGTAGCATTGTAGGCATTATGTATTCTAGTCTTAAGTAAAAGTGAAACTTTTTTCTTGATACAGTGTATTTGTAAAAGCGACGTAGGTATTTTATAGAAGTAACTTTGTTTATGTGCGTGTGCGCATAAAGTACTTCCCGGTATTGGAAGTAACATTAAAAATATTGCGAAGGAAAATCGGTTGTTACGAAACGGTTTTGATGGACTGTGATATCAAATGATAGACTTGAAAGTTTTTTACTAAATGTGACTATAATCTGCGCTATGCATGTTAGGTAGGTCGTCGGAATTTTAAACTAATCTAATTGATCGGTTACAGAGTGATCGGTGATAACAGCCAGGCTGTAGCTATAGGTAACTGTGGTGCAGTAAATGTGAAATTAAATATTTTGTTCCATTTCATTAGATGGTAATTTGTATGAGTTCGAATTGTGACGTCATATGGATTATTTTTAGAAGTGTTGTAATCTAAATTTAAAAGAACTATGAGACATTAGTACTTGGCTAAATGTGCCGTTCACGTGTTTTTGAAATATTTTCCGCTCATTTATGATGAATAGTGGCGATTTGTGCCATAATTCTTTCGAAAAAACCTGTAAAGGTGCACAAAACTTTAGACTAAGTGTATGTACAATTTCTTTTTGTTTATCACTCAACCTTTAGGAGTCATTAGGAGTCAATGCGAACTTTGTTCACTAAATGGTCCCATTTCTTTATTATGGAACGAAATTGCCCTGCAAGAACAGTAAATTAATTAATTTTCCTCACTTTTTTTTGAGGGTGGTAAATCATCCAATCCTTCTTCCGTCTTAGGCGAGGCGAGAGGGAGTGTCATACTCTTACTGACTAAAAACCAACCCTTTCCTACTCCTGCTCTCAAGCCGGAGCCTCAGCAACCCGCTAAGTCTTCCGCTCTCCCGTGGTTCGGCTTCGATGGTTTCAATCATTTCTCTCACTTGAATGTTAATACGTAGTTGAATGATAAACAAACAATATAATGTAGCCAATGTAACACGGAAATATAAAGGTACTTATATTTTTTATGAATTGATATATATAATTGTGATATTAGCAATGGAATTGTCGGATTAGAATATTGAAAAAATGTTTCATTTATAAATAAATGATTATTTAAATTAGATAATGCGTTTGTTTTTAACGTACCAACCTACGTAATTATTTCCTTGATTGTAGCGAGGTAATTAGTGAAGATGTGTAGGCATCTAGTAATCTAGAATCTAGATCAAGCCTAGCTATAATTTGCAAAGAATGAGAACTAACTTGTGCAATCACTTTTTGCTACATAACTATGAGATGCGGAAATACGTTATTATGCTGTTTATGTGAATGGAACTGCGTGTGTTTACGAGTATTGCTACATAATTACATTTACGAATATGTAGTGACTAGCTTTACGCACGCGGCGCGGCTCACGCACATCTTCATTTGCAGATACAAAAATCATACCATAAAAATACCGAGACGTGTAGCAAACTCGAACAAAGAAACCCATTATCGTGTTTACAATGCCAGTAAAGTTATAAGTTATGTTGTTTTTGTGATAGAAGATTTCCAATTCTGTTCGTGATTACAGATCATGAGGTGCAAATTGATTGGATAATTTGGATTGTGTTCTGTTCGATGTTCATAATATTATTTCTATGCTATAACTTGGTAGGTACTGTATATAAAATACATCTACATCGCCTACGATGTAGATGTATTTTATATACATCTACATCGTAGGCGATGTAGATACTGGACCTATCCAGTACCTAGTAGTCTACGACTTGCAAGCAAGAGACCTCGAATTCGATTTTGTAGTGGAACCAAGAATTACTCTATTTCAACATTTAGGTACAGCGACTCAAAACGCTTATAATAACGAACAAAAATAATGCTACGTTAATATTAAGTATATGTATTTACCTGCGGCTTCCTGCGCGTAGGTGCTTACTTAATTAGATTATTAGGTAGTTATAAGGAAATAATAAACAAAAGTCTAATTCATTGAAATATAAAACAAATTAAACGCCTTTTGTTTCCCCCACCGAGGCTGCAGGCTGCAGGCCCTGACTCGAAGCAGGAGTTGGAACGGAGTATTTAATCAAGGAGATATTATAGTATCAAAAAAAAAAGACAATAATGTTTCAACATGTATTACGTTTTTTTAGACTTGATATAAGAGCGGTAGTAGAAGTCTGAGAACAGTATGACCATGAACAAGTTCTGTGGGATGAGCAGGTAGGCAGGCTGGCGGGGGAAGTCGCACTCAGGCCACGTCACCAGCGATATGAAGTGGAACAGCAGAAGCGTGAACTGTAGCTGGAAAATGAAAAGAACAAGTTTTTACATAAGTTTTTTTTATTCGTACACACCCCGTCTAAATGTTTCTTTTGCGTTATGTCCACTAAAAGGCTGTCTTGTAGAAATCACTAAGTGATAAGACCGTCTTTGTGCCCATTTTTTTATTTATGTTTGTTAGTTCTTTTTTCTGTATGTACCATAGATATTATTAATGGTGTACAATAACGATTATTCTATTCTATTTTATAAGTGCTTATCTACATACATGTCCAAAAAGCTACAGGCTACAGAGCTCTTACTACTATATCCATACTTATTTATTTTCTTCATATTTAGTTATGCATTTTGGTGTATAGAGCGAACTGCACCTAACCATGGCAATGAGATCAGCATACGTCCTCCTAGCCTCTTAGATAAAATTCACGGGGATATGATACAAGCGGTTCCTAGTAGGTCGGTTACCAATTATCAATCAAATCGGTGTTATAAAAGCAAATTAATGACAAAAGGCACCTTTCATAATTTTACTTTCGCCCATTCTTTCGACATGGTTATAAATCCATCCTAACACAAATATCTCGATTTTGGTCACTAAGTATACTCACCATACATCATCTTATAAACCGTATCGTTTCGTTATCTCTCGAGGATGCATTTACAAACATAAGAATTTACGTATCGTACCTCCGGTGCTATAACGTCACTTGTGTATTGCGAGGGGCCGCGCGGCGCGCGCAACTGAATGCGCGCGGGTTTAGATTCGCGCCAAAACCGTAACGACAGTAATGCCCTCACGAGGACAGTTTGCGTAGGTAGTACACAAATGACAATAGATTATTATAGATTTAGAGGGCACACAATAATTTGGGGCCCATTTGAAATGTATCTTTTTTTTTAACGTTGCACCACACTAGGATTAACTCCTGTGTTGTGCACATGACATCCAAACCCGAAACAACAATTTATAGACCACACAAAGATTTGCTTCGTGCGGGAATCGTACCGTTGAAGCACAACGTGTGAGTAGTGGGTGTGTTTGTTGTAGAAATTGTGGCACGGGCTCTGTCTGAGTGCCCAGGTAAAGACGGTACCTACTAACCACACGGAACTAGAACAGTCTAGGTAATTGAAGCAGCTGGTACTTAGTCATAACCAGTGTGCTGACCGGACAGTTCAAACGATATTATTTAGAATATATTGCTCAGTGCTATACACTAATCGACCTCACGACATATTACACAACATTCCCCTATTATAGTCGTTATATCCAGTCAATTTAAACTGTCAAACACCAAGCGGTCACCGGTGACCGCAACCTATTGTTCTTTAATTGTGTCTATATTGACGGTGCTCGACAAGTTAAATACTATTTTTTATAGGATTAAATATAAAATAGTATCTGCGTCAGTACTTTATTTATTAGTCTATGAACCCATGTCTAAGGTTAACGAATAATTTCGTTTCGTTGTTTTATAATCGGCTTACTTACGCAGCTACCTATACCGCGAGGAAATGACGTAAATGACCTTTTCGAACTGAAGTCACAACACAGACAATAATGATACCGTTGAATACTTTAATAGGTTACTTGTGTAATGAAATTAAATGATATTTGTGTTTGGAAATTGGCTAGATTTAAAATACATAACATCACGCCTTTTATCCCCGATGGATAGGCAGAGGTGCACATTATGTCTGTACAATGTAACACCCACTTTTCATTATTTATGTTGAGTCCCGTGTAATAGGGGTTGAGCCTATTGCCATATACCGGGCACAATTCCAGACTCCGTGCTACTACTGAGAATTAAAAAAAACCCTGTAGTATTCGGGCTTGGGTTCGATTTCGATTCCCGGGTCGGGAACCCTTCAGACCCCTTGCCCGGTAGTCACACTTGCGACCACTCGACCGAAGGGGCAGTCAGATTTAAAATAGTACTTTTATAAGTCAATATTTTACAATTATCTAAGCTAGACACGTGTGATATAATTTTTAGTTTGTTTTAGAGTACCTACTTAAATATTTTTTGATAATTAATTAATCAATAATTTTTGTGGTTTTTTTTTTTTTTTTTTTTTAGGGGGGGAAAATCATGAATGAACTGCCCCCGCGTTGCTTCACGTCGGTTTTCTGTGAGGCCGTGGTATCACTCCGGTCGAGCCGGCCCATTCGTGCCGAAGCATGGCTCTCCCACACTTAATTAATTAATTTTATTTTATTTTGGGTGTGTTAATTTTATTTTGGGTAGGTACACAAATATTACGGTAAATGAAGGAACGATGGTAAAGATGGTCGATATCAAGCCTCAAGAAATTCTATTTCAATATAACTAATTTAAAATATAATACATGATGAGTGTTTATTATGTAAAATGGTGTATAGTTATCAAGATTAAGAGCGTGTAAGTATCAAATATAAGATCGATCAGTCGTTCAATACGGTAGTTGACAGGTAGTCAAATTCAATACTTTTATTGAAATGTCAAAAACGATACTTTTAGTCTATGAATTTTGTATTGGATCGCAACATAAGACGTTATCATATTTCTGCGTCAAATAGCATAGGTACTTAAGGGCCGAAACACATAATCGTTCCAGCTTAGCAGAGTAATGTCTTCTTAATAACAAATAAGCAATAAGTTTTTCACGATGGTCCATGGCAGAGACACGTCTATCCACAATAAAAAATCACGACGAACTGGTTACCCTACCGAACGCCAACAAAACGCTCTTTTTCACGACGATTTTAGCGTTGCGGCGACGCAACGCGGTTATATGTTTCGGTTTCGGCCCTATTTCTCGTTGAGTAACGTCATTATAGACACAATTATAGAACAATAGGTTGCGGTCACCGGTGACCGCTCGGTGTTTGACAGTTTAAAATTAGCGAGAAAAATCTAAAAGTAGGTAAATTGACAAATCAATAGATGAGAGTATGATTATTTTTTAATTATTTATTGCATCGAAAAGTTGAAATTGAAAAAAAATATTTTAAACTTAGGAAATTTAGTCAATTAGAATGATACCAAAGACCCAAACAAAACAAACAAATGAGGCAAGCTAAATAAAACCGTTTCATAACACGTGTAACTCCGAAGCAGCAGTCACATAATAATTTATTTCAATCTAATTAACCCTTTAACCGCCAAGATTCTGAACTTTCAACTTACCTCCAGCGCCACGTCACTTTAGGTATAAGTTGGAACAGTGTTGGGAACACTTAATATCGATGCATATATTCTTTAATCATTAAAAAATTAAAATCAATGTTTTATTTACCTACTTAATAAATAATCTAAAAATGTTCAATCTTCAAACGAAGTATACGAAAATGTGTATTCGGGAAATGGACACGGCGTCTTCCGTTCTCCTGCTGGCGACGGTGACGATGCTCCACGAGCATGTCGTATTTAATTTAATACTCTCATGTAAACTTCTGAGCGGATTTCCGACAGTACGGTTTCCAGCTCAAAAGGTTTTAAAGATGCAAAGTATTCATTTCGTGGATCACTTGGTCTCTGATCAAAATCTTTGCGTCTCCATCTTCTAACTTTGCATAATGGACACATTTGGTTTTGACTGTGTTGATTTATTTGAGAAATAACAAAAACCCAAAAAAGGGTTTACAACACTAGTTGCATTGAGTGATAAATGTTTAACGTGATTTTACGGTGACGGCGCTAAGGCAACTCACAATACAGCGCTTTAATCTCCTTGGCCGCACGTAATATTACGGTGATGGCGACCGGCGATTGTCCGCACTAGTGCGGTTCTGC